GTTATTACAATTTTATGTTTAGTAAGAAATTATTACTAACTGTTCAATATGATTCTAGAACATTCTTTAAGAATGATTAGTAAGCAAGTATTACTAATTGTTTCATAAGTGTCTAGAACATGTTTCTAGAATGTTTAGTAAGAATACTATCAATATTTGGTAGACTGTTTTCCTTTTCCAAAAGTATAAAAGGACCACATATTCTAACTTTATATATATACAATCTTCCTTATATAGACTTACTTTATATAACATAAAATGAAACTACAAGATTATACATTTGAATATCTATAACTATGTCCGATAATTTCAACTCGAATACTAATCGTATATTCTCGATTTCAAACTTACGTTTACAATTATATATAAGGTAGTGCAGCACACTCTAAGTTCTACTTATATTAGCTACCTTCACCTTCAGTTAGGTTAAGCTAATGTTAGCCTTTTTAGTGCTGCCGCTACATATTCATCAAAAATATATAAAGTAAATTATGGAAACAATTATATTCATAAATGAAATATTGTTCCATTTATATATGCTTGATTTTTCTTTGTCGTGATTATAAACTCACTCGATAGTGGCGTAAGCAATCTATTATTAAGTTGTTTCGGGATGAACCTATCAATAGATTATAACCTTGGTCATTATCATTCTTATAATATATTTCCGACATAATTTGCCAGTAGATGTGTTAGGTTTAAAAAATCCACAAGTTCTACAATCAATAAATTAGAAATATTCTATTCTATTTTTATGTTTTGTAGCTATCCTACAAGGTAAAAGAACTTATTATCCAGTAAACAAAAAAAAGAAAGTGATGATTAAATAAGAAATTTCCAAGATAGATATCAAGTATCTACAGACACATTACAAATGCTACTTTATTACCCTTTGCTATTGGCTCAGTAGTTCCATCCAACTAGAAAACTGAAATAGAAGTGATCTCTATGATTAAGTACTACCTGAAGCAATTCCTCTAAGTAACTGATTCTCAATTATCAAAGACAAAGGGACAATAACAAAGTGTCAAAGTGCAGTACTATCTATCTTACATCTGTTTCTTACGTTATTCCTTTTCTTGTCTTGTCATCAAACTAGTTGATAAGTTGCAAATAAGAAATATAAGTCAAAAGTCTCTCTTACCGCGGCGTGCATTGAACAAATTAACAATAAAAACATATCATAATCTTAAATGGATGTTTCATCCTCTCAAAGGTATTGTCGAAGAATCTTACATCACTACCATCTAACTGTAAACTAGAATTTGTCGCAATGAGTACACCTTTGGAGAGAAGGAAACTAAAATTTTCCAACACGACACGAGATGAGATTCGAAATGATTTACTTAAGGATGTTGCGTTACTTAGTAGATCTCAGGGACCAAATCAACAATTAGAAAGTCTTAAGACTGATGCTACCAAAAGGGTACAATTACTGAGTCAGATCAAAGAGGAGACAGATGATTCTAACATAGAACATGGTTTAAGGAAACTTCGAGAAATCATTGTCAGTATGATGAGTGATGGTGGTCACGATAATCAATTATTAACATTTGCCGAAGAGGTATATATTATGTCATATGCATTCTTCCTTAGGAGAAAAGAATGGGGAAAAGTTGGAGGTATCGTCTTAGAATTTGCCAAGGATAACTTACACGACTTATTTTATGAGAGGGGTTTCCTTGAAGTATATATATTGTATCTTTCTCATTTGGAGCATAATTTGACAAAGTGTATAGACATGATACTACAAGGACAGAAATACAATATTATTAAGATTCACACTGCATTACTGAGACTCTCGGTGATATATTGTGATGAAACTTCACCACCAACTTTATGGTTTCGAATACTACAAGAGTCTCAACTAAAAGAGAAGTATCCCCAAGCCTATCAATTGTTAGAATACTCCGGAAAAATAGCAGAAATGCAAGAAAGATGTTTCAACATTATAAAAGTATCATACAACCAAATAAGTTGGCAATATTTAGAAGAAGACTGGCTCCTAGGGATACCAATGAACGAGAATCTCCGCTCTACAATTGAGAACACCTATTTGATTATCATGAACAACAACGGCTCCAGAACCATCATGCTTAAAAAACCCAAGGCATGACAGCTCCACTATGGAACATCAACAACCTCAACTGATAGAGAGATGGAGGTGGGGTTGAAGCATTGATAAATATCATTTCATCAAGATATTAGTTCAGTAATACAACATTAATAACTTGATAAAGTTCAGCATCTTTAAAAAGTGAAAATTTCCCTTTTAGGTGACAACGCGTAAAATGCTTGCAATAGGAAATTAGTTAATACGACAGAACCTGGGAACTAATGTAATAGAGGACACCTCAATTGTTTCTTGAGAGATCCCTATTATATAAACGGTTACTGTAACTCTCGAATACTATTTTAGATATATACGGTCATGTAATCTCCAAGCATATAATCAAGTATCAATTTAAACTAATATAAAAATATATCCATTGGAAATGTTGTTTGGGGCAAGTAACCTTACTTTGTTTCTGATGCTTATTGCATCATGTTTTGCCAAAGAAACGACACAGGAGTCATTCTCTTCCAAGGAAACACAAGAGCAAACATTTGAAACGAATACCAATAGCGAATTGTTATGGGCACCATACCGTTCTAATTGTTATTTCGGTATCAGACCACGTTTTGTAGATGCGACACCCTTTATCTTTGGGTTAATGTGGTTTGACACGACTAAATTCGACTCTATGACTAGATTAAGACATTTTGTTAGTGATGAAGACCACTTGGAAAGATTTACATGGGAAGCGTACGACCCAAGACTAGGTGGTAGAGAAAATATTATTGATCCAGAAAATAATTTGAATTTGACTATTCATTTTGCCAAGACACACGATGATCAAAACTGGGTTGTCAGAGTCAATGGTAAACCTTTAGATCCAACTTTAAACACTACTACATCTGTCATCCTATACATGAACCAAAATATCGGTAAAGACCCTGAAGGTCCATCTAGATTGATGCATATTGATAACGGCAATGAACAAAATGAAAACACTTTTGAATTTACAGGATATTCCGAAGATCTAGGCAAATACGAAGTATTAATCAACGACAACTACGGTAATTACTATACAAATGATACATTGGACAGTGTCGAAGTTGTTCCTGGTTGTAATGCCTCCAGAACTAGTCACGTTGGTTTGACTATCCCAGATACTGAGGTCTGGAGAGCAAGAGATATTTTCCAATCTTTATTAACTGACTCTATTAAGGATATTGTAAAGGAACTTGGTGAAACCATTGAGCCTGGTCTAGTTCCAAGTGTTCTAACTTTAAGAAACCTTCATGAGTTCGACCAAGGTAACTTCCACTACATCCAAAAGACCTTTAGTATGCGAGAGGAGAAAGGGTTTGAATTCGATGTAGTTTACAATAATTTGGATTCAACTCAAACCATCGATTCTGGTAAAGAAGCAACCAAATTGATTAATGATGCAATCTATGAGATTAATGTCAGATTCGATAATCATTTTGATATCGAAGATGTCGCCAACACCGGTGACAAGAGAAAATTCGCTATGGAAGTTTTAGCCAATTTGTTAGGTGGTATTGGATATTTCCACGGTTCTCAAATGATTGATCGTGAAACTGTCTTAGATGAAACCCATTTCGAATCAATTAAATTTGAACATTTCAGAGAAGAAGGTCCATATAGTTTATTTACCAGTGTTCCAAGTAGGGGATTTTTTCCTCGTGGGTTTTATTGGGATGAAGGTTTCCATCTTTTACAAATTATGGAATATGATTTCGATTTAGCTTTCCAAATCGCGGTTAGTTGGTTCCAATTGATTGATGAAAACGGGTGGGTTGCCCGTGAAGTAATTTTGGGTCCTGAAGCAAGAAGTAAAGTTCCTCAGGAATTCACTATTCAAAGTCCTCAAATCGCTAATCCACCCACTTTATTACTTGCCTTGAGTGAAATGCTTACTAAATTAATTGAAAAGGAAAATGAACCCGGATTCTCTCATTCTGTTGTTGATGCTGAACAAGAAGAAGGCATCTCATCCCAATTGGGTTCCAATTTCGAATACATTCTTAAATATAGTAAGATTATTTATCCACATTTAAAAAACCATTTCAAATGGTTCACAGATACTCAAAAGGGGTCAATTGAAGAATACTTCGAAGATATGGAAGAAGATGAACAATTCCAACAAGTGCATCAGGACTTTGTCTATAGATGGTTGGGTCGTACCGTGACTCATTGTCTACCAAGTGGGTTAGATGATTACCCAAGAGCGGAATATCCAGATGTGGCTGAATTGAATGTGGATACATTAGCCTGGGTTGGTACTATGGCTAGATCCATGAAAAACATTGCACATATTTTAGGTTTGGAGAAAGATGAAACCCAGTATGCTGAAATAGAAAGGAAAATCGTAGAAAACTTAGATTTGTTGCATTGGGATCCAAAGACTGAGACATACTGTGACGTCACTCTAGATTCTGAAGGTGATGATGAAATGGAACGTGTATGCCATGAAGGTTATGTTTCTTTACTTCCATTTGCATTAAAGTTAATGCCAAGAGACTCTCCAAAGCTTAAGAGCCTATTGACTCTAATGAGTGACCCAGATAAACTCTTTTCCCCATTCGGTTTACGTTCATTATCTAAACAAGATGAATATTTTGGTGCAGGTGAAAACTACTGGAGAGGTAAAATCTGGATGAATATAAATTACTTATGTCTAGAAGCCATCGAGCATTATTTCCCTGAAGTGATTGCTGGGTCTCATGAAACCAGCGAACTGCATGATAAACAAGTGAGTAACATGGCTAAGAAACTATACACTACTTTAAGAGAAAACCTAATCAATAATGTCTATGGTAATTGGAACGAGACTAATTACGTATATGAAAACTATGACCCGGTAGATGGCCACGGTACTGGATCAGTGCAATTCACTGGTTGGACATCATTGATTGTCAACATACTGAGACATCAAGGTGTGTAGTCTTTAGCTTACATACAATCAAAAACACGAGCAAAAATATCATATAATTATTTTTAAATTTCTTAATTACTTGTATTATCTGCTATATAGATTAATAGAATATAAACGACCAAACAACAAAATTAGTAACCAAAACACAAACAAACCAGTCAAATCAAAACCCATCTGGGCCACGAGAACGGGTTCAACACAAGGTTGTCAACCCTAACACGGTCAACGTTTCAACCTAAAACTACGTAAAATTCAACTTTCGCAGCCAAAGCAAATCCACGAACGGCGCTCTCCCTCCGGAGCGGGTCGTAGATTGCGCAGCAAAAAGACGGCCGACTTTGTTTATATTTTGCGCAGCTCAGCTCGCTCAACCCAGAGAACTGAAAAATTTCAGCTTTTTTTGTTTATGTCATCTCCGTTTCTGGTAATAGGGCCAAACAAACTGAGCTTACATTATCCTCGAGGAGAGCAGGAAGGGCCAAGGTACTGGGGTCCAGGATTATCTGGTTTGGTGATCGTCTCAGAGTCATTGTCAAATCCTTGCTGCTGTTTACATGTTTACGTAACAGCGAACGTTTGGAGGTTTTGTTTGTTTTATGCTAGTCAATAGAAAAATTAAGGTTTTCTTGTATCTTTTTTATCTAAGCGCAATAGAGTGTATTCCATAAGGTTGATACCATCATCTTAATGTATTGATATACATTGAAGTATCTATTCATTCAAAGGTACTGGAAAGTAACGAAGAAACCTAAAAAAGCTGGTTAAACAGGTTTACGATTGAATGTCGATGTCTCAAATGAAATGATATATAAAGGGAACGATGGTTAGTTATAAATTTCGTTATGAGTTGTTTGAACTTATGGGTTTTATATTATAAGTGTTTTCGATTTACTATAACAACCAATACTAACCGTCTACATATCGTACAATATCCCCCCCAATAAACATAAAATATATATTGCCAACATGTTATCCAGTTATATTTCACTCACATATATTTTACTCTTCACATCGGTAGTGTCCGCCCTACCTGTCTTTCACAACAAAAAGATTGTCACAAGAGTACATACAGCCAGTACCACTAATACTGTCACAGATTTTTACTCTACTACCACCGAAGTTGTTGTTGCTCCAACTGTTGAATTCATTGTCAGCGATGCTGTCACTTTCACTACTACATTATACCCAGAAGGTGTCGATACTACTGTCGAGCCAAGCACAACTATTACCATCATGCAAAATAACGTCAACCCAACCTTCATTACTGCTCCTGCTTCTTCTTCCTCTGTAGTTGACCCTCCAGCCGCTACTTCTTCTTCCATCACTACTTTAGAACCAGCAACTACTTCCTCAGTTGTTATTCCAGTTACCTCTTCCACTACTACCCTGGAACCATCTTCTCCTTATGTCCCAGAAACCACTACTTCTTCTTCTATCTACACTGCCCCAACTAAAGTCGTTGCAGTTACGGTTGCCTCTGAAGGTAAGACTACAACTAGAATGGTTCCCGTACTAACAGATGTTGTCAACAATGAACATATCGAAGGTTCTGCTCCAGCTACTACTAACCAAGCCGTTTTCTCTACAACTACTAGTGTTGATGTCGAACAATCCACCACTTCTAATATTGCTTCTGCTACTTCCACTTACAATTCCAACTCTTTACTATCAAAGATCCCAGTCACTTTAGTCTATTCTCCATATAACGATGACGGTTCTTGTAAATCTGCTACAGACGTCTACACTGATTTGTCTATTATCAAGGCTAGAGGTGTCAACAAGATCCGTGTTTACGGTACTGATTGTAATTCTTTCGAAAATGTCTTACCAGTTTGTGCTCAATTCGGTATGACAGTCAACCAAGGTCTATGGATCAGTTCTGCTGGTGTCGATTCCATTGATGATGCCTTAAACCAATTAATCAGTTACGGTCAAACCAGCGGCTGGAGTGTCTTTGATTTTATTACTGTTGGTAACGAAGCTGTCATTTCCGGCTACTGTTCAGCTGCTGATTTAATTTCCAAGATTGCTTCTGTCAAGGGTCAATTACAAGCTGCTGGGTATTCAGGTCAAATCACTACTTCCGAACCACCTGTTTCATACGAAAACAATCCAGAATTATGTACAGATTCTGCCATTGATTTCGTTGGTATCAACCCTCATTCTTACTTCGACACCTATTCTACCGCTGAGACTTCTGGTTCTTTTGTCCTAGGCCAAGTTCAATTGATCCAAAAGACATGTGGTACTTCTAACGTTGTGGTCACTGAAACTGGTTACCCATCTTCTGGTATTCAAAACGGTGGTAACATTCCATCAAAAGCTAACCAATTGATTGCTGTTCAATCTATATTAGATACTGTTGGTACTGATGTTACAATTCTAACTTATACCAACGATTACTGGAAGAACCCAGGTCCATATGGTATTGAACAATCATTTGGTATTGTTGACATCCTACCATAATTCAATTGTAATTTTACAAATATTTTATGATATAGATTCATCTACTACCATTTTACGAAACCTAATTAACAAACAATCATGCATACACAAACATTTTAATAATATTAAAACACACATACACACACACACACATCACCTTTCAGTTAGATAAACAATTATGTTTTTCATCATAATTATAAAACAAATCAAATAAAGAACATTAACGGACTCAAGAAAAAATAAAAATTTAGTAATAGAGAAGCTCCATTACATAAGAAGTTCTTACTAAACCGCTTCTCATTTCTATATATATCTTTATTTTCTAAAAAATTCACATATATACAATATATTATAATATAAACATTCATCAATATTAATCAGCTGTCTCCATATAAATTAATTTCCGTCTATGCGGACTTCAAACAATACAATCAAGATATATTGGAGTATACAGACATTGTTCCTTCCCTCCACTATGTCGGTTGATAAACTGAATTTTAAAGTTGATACGAGGACCCTCTAAAGAGTAAATCGCCTGGGAGTAGATGAGTTCCACCTAACTACGGGCTCAAAACGTCAAAATCATCTGCATCATTTAGTAAATTGCAGGCTTCTAACAGCGATCTTACGTAAAGAAATATCATAACAATAACACGTTTTAGACCCGTTTGACATATTAAATAGCAGATGGTAGTTAGTAATAGTATAAAGCTTCCGCTTCCGTGTCTCAGATTACATAACGAAACTCTCCTGTTTCCTCAACAACCACCAAAACGCTATACATGCTACGGCCGTAAAATACCACACCAACAAGAACGGTATAACAGAACTCTCTGCTTGTCCCCATCCAAAATATTTAGCACCGACACACCGACGACTTTACGTAATCATTGCTGATCGGTTTTTGCTTTTTCCTCCAAAATTTTTCATTTTTGAACCGTGCCGAAGTTCAGGAACACGCCCCATTTTGCTAAGAAACATCCGTAGCAAATGCCGTTTTTTCTTTTTGTTTCTGAAGGGAATTTCACTCTGTTCGAGCAAAAAGGGAGGCTTCCCATCTCGTTTCTTTTCCTATATATGTAATCAGAAATTTTTCAATATTTTCCAATTAGTTTTGAAACCATATAAAAGTAGATAAGTTATGAGTAGTTAGTTTTGAAGTTTGCAGTTTTGAATTCCTTTTAATTTTATATTATAAGTAGAAAAAGAAGTATAGACGAAGTTCATTGTATTCAACCTACAACAACTACAACTATATTAACCATTCCCCCTTAAAACAAACAAAAAGCATGCCTTTCGTCCAAGATTTTAAACCACAAGCCCTTGCTGACACCAACCTGTTCAAGCCAATCAAGATTGGTAACTGTGAACTAAAGAACAGAGCTGTCTTTCCTCCATTAACCAGAATGAGAGCTTCTCATCCAGGTAATGTTCCAAACAAGGACTGGGCTGTTGAATACTACAACCAACGTTCTCAAGTTCCAGGTACCATGTTGATCACCGAAGGTGCTTTCATCTCTGCCCAAGCTGGTGGTTATGACAACGCTCCAGGTATCTGGTCCGATGCCCAAGTCGCTGAATGGAAGAAGATCTTTGCCAAGATCCACGAAAACAAGTCCTTTGTCTGGGTCCAATTGTGGAACTTAGGTAGACAATCCTACGCTGACACCTTGGCTAGAGATGGTCTACGTTATGACTCTGCCACTGACGGTTTATACATGGATGATGAATCCAAGGAAAGAGCTGAAAAATCCAAGAACCCACAACATGGTATCACCAAGGATGAAATCAAGCAATACATCAAGGAATACGTCCATGCTGCTAAGAACTCCTTGGCTGCTGGTGCCGACGGTGTTGAAATCCATTCTGCCAACGGTTACTTGCTAAACCAATTCTTGGATCCAAAGTCTAACCACAGAACCGATGAATACGGTGGATCTATCGAAAACAGATCTAGATTCGCTCTAGAAGTTGTTGATGCTTTAGTTGACGCCATTGGTGAAGACAAGGTCGGTATCAGATTCTCCCCATACGGTACATTCGGTAACTTGTCTGGTGGTGCTGAACCATTGATTGTTGCTCAATACGCTCACGTTATTGGTGAACTAGAAAAGAGAGCTAGAGGTGGTAAGCGTTTAGCTTACATCCATTTGGTCGAACCTCGTGTTACCAACCCATTCTTGACTGAAGGTGCCGGTGAATACGATGACGGTACCAACGACTTCGTTTACTCCATCTGGAAGGGTCCAATCATCAGAGCCGGTAACTTGGCTCTACATCCAGAAGTCGCCAGAGATTTTGTTAAGGATGACAGAACTTTGTTGGCTTACGGTAGATACTGGATTGCTAACCCAGATTTGGTTACCAGATTGGAAAAGGGTCTACCTCTAAACAAATACAACAGAGACTTGTTTTACGCTATGACTGCTGAAGGTTACACTGACTACCCAACTTATGATGAAGCTATCAAGTTGGGTTGGGACAAGCAATAAACATATTAGAGTTATTATGTATAATCTGATCTCCAGGTTAATTCATATTTGGGTTTTTGACATAAGTTATATTACTTGATGTAAATAATTTATATAGAGATATATACAAAGTGGAATGGAAGTTTACCTTCACATTTTCTTTTAACGTTATTTTAAACTATAAAAAGCACTTTTAAAAACATTTATTTATATTTATATTTATATATAACGAATTGAGCAGTGATGTGGATAGTCATTCTATCTTATTTCACCTTTTTATAGGGCTTCGCTGGGAGTCTAAGCGAGAAGTATATTAGCCGCCTAAAAAATATATATATATATATATAAAAATACACACTATTTAACCAGGAAAACATTATTTATTGTTATTGTATGAGATACCTACTAGATACCCAGGTACTTCATCAATCGATTCGTGAAAGGCTCTATATATCCCATGCCTCCAAAGAAGAAGAGTGCCTCGTTGAAAGGGGAAGAAGGTTCGTCAATGTTCATCATAATATATCATAAGTCAAATATCTTCCTAAAATTTACAATTACTAACCTACTAAAATATACACAGCACATAAAGTAGTCGAACAGTATCTATGTTCGCAAAGGAAACCGTTTGCAATTAATGATATTGTTCAAAACTTACATGGAAAAATTACCAAAAATGATACTGTGAAAATACTAGAAGAATTAGTTCAAGATGATAAAATTATTTTAAAAACCTTTGGAAAAATACTAATTTATTCTTCAAAGGACGTGGATATCAATTATGAAGAAGAATTTGGAAAAAATGAGTTAGAAGGAAAATATAGTTATCAATGTTTAACCCAATTAAATGAAGAATTGATGGAACTAAGTAGGGATGAGACCACAGCTAAGAAAGAACTCGAAGAGACACTTAAAATTCCCACAAATGAGCAGCTGAGGTTAGACGTTCAACAACTTGAAATGGAAGTAGAAAATTTCCAGGAATCCTTGAAGAATGTCAAGGAGAATACTAACGCTGAAACAAGATTAGAATGTACACACATTTTGAATACAACTATATCTTTGGAAAAAGAAATTCGACTTCGAAAGAAAATATTCAATAATATTGTTTTAATAATAAAGGATCAAGTGAGACCCAAATCAATGAAAGAATTCATGGAGGATATTGGTGTTGAAAATTATATTTAGAATAGAAAAACTAGTTTTGCTACCTATCCATGTTTTTTTAAAAAAATACCATACTTCTTTATTATAATTTATTTAAATTATTTATAAAAGATACATATGACAAAAACTTATGAATTGTAATTTCTTTCCCGTTGGTTCCCTAATATACACTGTCTCAATATTGCTTAGAAAATAGTAATAGTTGTAGCAGACGCACTGGCGGTTGTCGTCAATGAAGTTGGGTTACAATCCTCAACATAGGTCACAGATTTATAATATTCGAATAACATTTGTTCAGTAACTCCGTTGTGAACAACATTTCTAACTGTAGTAGAATATGGTGTAGTTTCCAAAGAACCAGTTGGGATTTCATCACAAGAAACTGATACCGAAACATCTTGTGCGAAAATTGGAGCAATAATTGCAGTTAAACTTAAAATTGAAAGGACACAATTATTGAACATGTTGTTATTACTAGGATTTAATATTGGGTTGATATTTGGATTGTCAAAATTATAGGTTTAAGAGTACTCCATATTGATTATTTCTTCTAAAGACATACTGATTATTTTTTATAGATTTATATATCCTGGAAACCAAAATCAAAAATTTCTATTCTAGAGATGTTTTACACTGAAATTGTTTGTTACATAAATTATTAGCTTGTTTTATTTAAAGATGTACTATAAAAGAACAGTTAAAACATGTAATTTTCCCAATGCGGAAACTTACATGTTCTCTAAAACAAAATGTGTTATACCACACGGAAAATTCTGCGGAAATAATAAGAAAACGAAGATAAAACTTTACTTTTTCCCTTTTTGAGGTCAGATCACTAGGATATATTTTCTTTAAAACTGGAAGGATGTCAATATTTAGAATCTGTCAAGTACTTAATTCTTGTCTAAAAATAGTTGTTATTCAATTAATGCGTAAGCGAAGCTATCCATTTCTAAAATAAGCAAGAATATACTATATTTGCTAAATAACTCCAAATTTGATGCTACATAATAATGACTTCTATTGATTATTAGAAAATGCCTTAATCTTAGTTACTCTTGTTTGATAATACATAAAAATTTAAAAATATGAGAAAATATATAAAAGAAATCCGAGTGGATTCAAATCAGGTATACATTTTTTATATCTTAACGAGAGGTAGCAGCGACCTTTTGGAAAGCACCCTTAGCTTGTTGCTTGGACATCTTAGAACCTTGAGTACCAGCTTGCTTAGCCTTTTCTAGCTTTCTAGCAGCCTTGTCAGCAGACTTCTTTTCCTTGTCAGCAGACTTCTTTTGATCTCTCTTAGCTCTTCTGACTTCTGGCTTGATGGATCTTCTTTCCTTGATCAAATCTAGAGAAGCACCGACAATAGCTCTTTGAGCTTTGACAGTCTTTCTGGATCTCTTCTTGGAGACTTCTTCGGTGATACCTTTCTTGTGGTGTCTTCTGTAAAGAACAGTCCAAGCAACTCTTCTTGGGTTCTTTCTTTGCTTGAATAGAGAAGAAGACTTAGAGTTTTGGAATCTGAAAATCTTGGAGTCACCACGGATGAACAGAGTACCTCTACCTGGGTAGATCTTGGCACCGGAAAAGGAATCAACTTCAACCTTCATCTTGTCTGAATTAAAAATTTAAACATTAACATCTTTAATAATGATGCTAAGATTGGTTAGATTGTTAGTAAAAAAGGAACATTTTTATATTAAATTGATTAGAAAATCCAATTATTAGGTGAGATTGTTAAATTTGGGACATAATTCTCAGTCTGTCAGCATATATATTAATTGGAAAAGGATTGTTCGACTTTAAAAGTTATTTTTAAAACGAAACCTCAAATTATGCTTTTAAAGACAATAGTATAACCTCTTATAGTGAGCCGAAATGTATGAACATATTTATCATTAATTTTATATTGTAATATTATTTCTAATAAATCATCAGGGTTCCTACTATCTTACACCAGATATCACTTGCAATTCAAACTTGGATCATAAGCATAACGCTTTTCTAGTTTCTTTTTGTCTTTACTGGTTTAATCTTATTAAATCATGAATATTTCGTCCTATTATCATATTGTATCGGTACAGATCCAAATTCCATCAGCTTGCCACTCTTAACATCGGTTTAATAATCACTAGCTAGCACTATCAACATACCTTATTTTATCGTTGTCGTTTTTAAGTCTGTGTACTATTATGAAGCAAGTTAAAGTTACAAATATATATGCCTTTTTTGTATAATAAAGCCTGTATGTACGCATATTCCGAACTGAGAAGGTTTCCATACTCTGGTAGCTAGCATACTACTGTTCATAGTGATAGCATCAACTGTGTATACATGTCCACCAGTCCAGGCTGAGGGTCCTAACACGTTTCCTGTCCAACCTCTTTCCTCTCTGGAAAGGTTGGAAATTTTCCATCATCGCCTTCTTCCAATTTCAGATTTGTTTCCTTTTGTCTATTTTCTGGCAAAACCTTGTTAAATGTTTAAAATAGAAAAAACCACACTTAATTTTGACAGCAGTTCTTCATAATTGTATGTGATGTTGGGATGTACAATCACAAAATGTACGGATGTTTGGTACCGTCCTCTTTAATTTCCTGAAAAAATAAATGAATGAAATTTTCATGCGTCGCTCACCGTAAGATTTCCCTGCGAAGAAATTCCAAATCTGAACATTTCCGATTCAGATAGAGAAGAAATTGCAAGCAAAACGAAATTTGTAACTGGACCCACACAGCTTGCTTGAACAGCCAAAGTTCTAACGCGAACTGGTTCCGTTGCATCTATCATCATCTCTGGAAAAATTTTAAACTTTAATAATCTAATATTCTGATATCTTTAAAAGACCATATAAATAATCTCATCTTGACTTACTTTACAATTATATATTTGTTTTTGTCACAATATATAAAGAAACCATAAAGTAGACCGGAGTGTTCACACAACTAATCAAATCACAGAGATGGTCAGTATAAATTGAATAAACTTTTAGTACTTCCTTTTTTGTCAATATCATGGTTATATTGCAAAATTTGCTAGATTAGATGGTAATCTGGTATATTATCCTTATTACCAAAAATGGTAGCAAATAGTTAAACGGACGTCAATTAATATATAATGAATATTATTTTACTAACATGAATAAATACTATTGTTGTTTTACTTCTCAACATTACAATTTGTAATGTAAGTGGGTTCCAATAATTTTACTTTTTTTTTTGACAGGCCCCAGTTAAATCCCAAGAATCTATCAACCAAAAGCTTGCCCTTGTTATCAAGTCTGGTAAGTACACCCTAGGTTACAAGTCTACCGTCAAGTCTCTAAGACAAGGTAAGTCCAAGCTAGTTATCATTGCTGCTAACACCCCAGTTCTAAGAAAGTCCGAGCTAGAATACTACGCTATGCTTTCCAAGACCAAGGTTTACTACTTCCAAGGTGGTAACAATGAATTAGGTACCGCTGTCGGTAAGCTTTTCAGAGTTGGTGTTGTCTCCATTCTAGATGCTGGTGACTCTGATATCCTAACCACCCTAGCTTAAGAAAATCGTTAGAAGTACTTAATTACAACTTCTCAACTTCTTTATTTTCTTATTCTAACCTCATTATGAAGTAGATCATTTGTTTTTTAATATTTATCATTATATGTATAAATTGTATAGTTTAATAATCAAAATATTTGATCTTTTCTACAACAGTTGTTCAAAAATTTAATAATATGCACTGCATTGGGCTAATAAAAAATAATACAATGCAACATAAAACTACCGCTCGTTCAGAGTGGCTAGTTGTAAACATATCAAAAAACAAAAATTAATGCGAATTCTGTGGATCGAACACAGGACCTCCAGATTTCTTGTTTGACCGAAGTATATTCTTCAGTCTGGCGCTCTCCCAACTGAGCTAAATCCGCAATTTATTTCAATGAAAAACTACTTACTACTAAGAAGCACAATGTACTGGGTCACGTGATCATATATATAGCTGTAAGAGTAGCTGTATTATTAAACTGGGGGCTTCACAAAGACGACTAGTTACAAAAATTATGTTGGAGTAATTGATTACAAATGTCCTAACAAGAACTAAACAGTATATTAAGAATTGAAGAAAGAAAATGACAGAAATTATGTGAAATTTGTCGGAAATATATTATAAGAGGGATAATGACCAAGGTTATGATCTAACAATAGGTTCATCCCGCAATGATCTATTGATAAGTTCATCCCGCAACAACTTAATAATAGATTACTCACGCCACTGTCGAGTGAGTTTATAATCACGACAATGATAATCCAACATATATAAATGGAACAATATTTCATTTATGAATATAATTGTTTCCATAATTTACTTTATATATTTTTATATAAGATATAAAAAGATCAGACGACTATAAGTTGATTTTTTAATATAACAAAATTTGTTCAGTTAAATAGAAGATTGTCAGAAATTAAGAGTAATATGCACAACACTTAATTTCAATAGGTAAAGAACTACCTTTAAGCACAGTTATTATGAAGCGTGTTAAAATATGAAACAAAATATGTGGCAACATGAAACAAAGTTAATCGCATTATGAAACAAAGTATAATTCGAACCTCAATTGAGATTAGAATAAAACATATATAAAGACAAAGAATTCTGAACTTACATTCGAAGTTAGATTCTATTTGTTCTATAAATAATATATAATATAAAGAGACTGATCGATTATCGTATTAAAAAATGTCCGAATTAAATAAAGTAAAGCTTGAAGAGACTAATAGAGGCAAACACTCTATCTCAGATTCTCTACAAAGATGTCTAATATTCAATTTTCCCATCAAAATTAAGATATCTAAAATGTCCTAATAAGAAATAAACATTTTATTAGGTAATAGTCGTTTAGGCCATAATCGTTTAGAAAATAAGTTCATTACTTATCGATCGTTTAACCAACAATCGTTTAGGTAACAAATCAATTACTTGACAATCGTTTAGGTAATCAGTTTACTACTTAACAATCGTTTAGGAAACAATCGTTTAGGTAATAAGAAGAAACGAAACTTCGATAAAATAAATGATATATAAAGACAAAGAATTCTGAACTTACATTCCGAGTTAGATTCTATTCGTTCTGTAAATTATATACAATATAAAAAATCACTTACAAATATAAGAGAAATATAACAATTATATTTTGCTTACCTAACATTAAAACTTAAGCTACACCATTCACCTCTCTACCTGCCACTATATAATATGAACGAATATAAGTCTAACCACAGTATGTCTGCTTCAGCTCAGAAAATATATAAGATAGAGACAAGACAATTGTGAACTTACATCCTAAGTTATAATCCGTTTGTCCTATAAATTTTATACCATAATAAAATTACTTACAGCAAATAGAAAAGTATAACAAATACTTTTTGCTTTATTAACATTAGAACTCTAGCCACTCGCACACCTTTGATAACTAACAATGAATTAGTTCACACCTAACTCTACTAAAGAAACTTCTATTCAATTATAAATAATTATTTTATGTAGTGTATAGTATATTCTATTCAGTTAATCAAATAATTGTAAACATATAAAGTAAAAACAAAGATATTGATCTTAACTCTGATTTAATAAGTATATACTAAGGAAATTATTTGTAACCTAGCTTGACAGCTTCATCATAAGTTGGGTAATCAGTGTAACCTTCAGCACTTGGAAGGTAGAAAGTGTTGAAGTTGTACTTATTGAAAGGTAAACCCTTTTCCAAACGGTCAACGATATCTGGGTTCGAGATTATATATCTACCATAACCAACTAAAGTATTTTCATTTTCTAGGTATCTCAAAGCGACCTCTGGACGTTCACCTAAATCACCAGTTCTTAAGACTGGACCCTTCCAGATAGAAAAGATGAAGTCATTGGTACCTTGAGGGTGTTCAATGCTACTACTAACAGCATCTGGAACAATGAAACTGGTATCCAAAGCAGGTTCAGTTAATTGAATATAAGCCAAACCCTTACCACCCTTACGTCTTTGTTCTAATTCACCAACAACGTAAGCGTAAGTAGCAAGGAAATCAGGGTCAGCAGAACCTGCCATAGACCCGTAAAGGTTGTATGGAGATAATCTAATACCAACTTTATCGGCACCGACAGCTTCAGTAACAGCGTCAACAACTTCAAGGGTGAATCTCGCTCTGTTCTCTAAAGAACCACCATATTGGTCAGTTCTCTTGTTAGAATTGCTGTCAAGGAATTGATTTAGCAAATAACCATGAGCAGAATGAATTTCGACACCGTCTGCACCAGCAGCAATGGAATTCTTAGCAGCATGGACATATTCCTTGATGTATTGCTTAATCTCATCTTGAGTTAAACCATGTTGTGGGTTCTTAACCTTTAAAGATTCTTCCTTGGATTCTTCAGTCATGTAGACACCATCAGAGGCAGAGTCATAACGAAGACCATCTCTAGCCATCTCCTTAATACTGGCTTGTCTACCTAGAGCCCATAATTGAACCCAGATGAATGACTTGTTTTCATGAACTCTACCAAAGATTTTTTTCCATTCAGTGACTTGTTCGTCAGACCAAATACCTGGAGCATGGTCATAACCACCAGCTTGAGCAGAAATGAAGGTACCTTCAGTGATCAACATGGAACCTGGTCTCGTAGAACGTTGATAATAGTAATTACCGGCCAATTCGGAGTTTGGAATATTACCAGGATGAGTAGCTCTCATTCTGGTTAAAGGAGGCATAACAACTCTGTGTTGGACCTCAGTTTTACCAACTTTTAGTGGCTTGAACATGTTAGTGTCCTTAAAAGCAATTGGAGTAAATGAATCGGCAAATGACATTTTTTATTTGAGTTGATTGAATTTATATGTGTAAGTTTGCTAAAGTTAAGATCTAGTAAGCTTGGACTACTTATATCTAGACATTATAAAATAATGAAGTTTGAAAGAACCTGAATGTAACTATTCCAATTGAATCTAATTTATAGCTCCTTATATACCTTAACTTCCCTTAAATCTTATCGAGAAGTCTTGGTTTACTTTCAAAAGCCATTAACATATTGCTTAGGTAATCCTTGAAGGCTGCTGCGACTCTTTCTCTGCAGATCCCGCGGACTCCCCATATTTTCCCTCCCCCCCACCCAAAAACAAAAATTGAAAAATTGAAAAATTGTGATTCTTACATAAGCCATGTACCATTCCGCGGACTAAGTCAAATATTAGATATTGTGAGATGGCATATAAATCAATGCTCGGAGTTGAAACAGTATTACCCTTGATATTCTGATGAATATATTATATTGGTGGAGACGGTGCAGGAAAGCTATCTGTTCTTATAATAATATTATTAATAGTAAGATAATTTTATTTTGACTTACATGAGATATTGAAAGATAAATTTGAAAATTACAAATGAAGAGTTATATAACATTACCAATCGTTCATTTTCTATTTGTAACCAAGCTTGATAGCTTCTTTGTAAGTTGGATAGTCAGTGTACCCTTCTTCAGTTTGACCGTAGAACAACTTGTATCTGTAGGTGTTGAATGGTAAACCATTTTCTAAACGATCAATGATATCTGGTGTAGAGATGTAATATCTACCGTATCCGATCATAGTTCTGTCATTTTCCAATAATTTGGTGGCAAGAGTTGGGTTTTCACCTAATTCACCGGTTCTTAAGACTGGACCCTTCCAAATGGAGAAAACAAATTCATTAGTACCTTCCTCATGCTTCTTAACAACAGGTTCAGTGATAGGGCCAGTAGAGTTATCATTGATTAATGGTTCAGTCATGTGGATATAAGCTAATGGTTTACCATCTCTACGTCTCTTCTCCAATTCACCGATAACATAGGCGAAGGTAGCAATAGTACATGGATCCTTAGAACCAGACATAGTACCATAAGTATGGTACGGAGACAATCTGATACCAATCTTTTCGGCACCAATGGCATCAATCAACGCATCGACAACCTCCAAAGTGAATCTGGCTCTGTTTTCGATACATCCACCATATTTATCAGTTCTCTTATTAGACAATGGGTCTAAGAATTGGTTTAGCAAATAACCATGAGCACCATGGATCTCGACACCATCGGCACCAGCCTCAATAGAGTTCTTAGCAGCATGGATATATTCCTTGATGTATTGCTTAATTTCATCTTGGGTTAAACCATGTTGTGGGTTCTTAACCTCAAGGGATAATTTTTCAGATTCTTCATCCATATAGACACCATCAGAAGCAGAGTCGTAACGTAGACCGTCTCTAGCCATCTCTCTGATACCAGCATGTCTACCTAAGTTCCACAATTGTACCCAGACAAAGGACTTGTTTTCGTGGATCTTGGCAAAGATCTTCTTCCATCCGGCGACTTGTTCGTCAGACCAAATACCTGGAGCATGGTCATAACCACCAGCTTGTGGTGAGATAAAGGTCCCCTCAGTGATCAACATGGAACCTGGTCTCTTAGAACGTTGGTCATAATACTTTGCGGCCCATTCGGTAGTTGGGACATTACCTGGGTGTTGAGCTCTCATTCTGGTTAATGGAGGCATGAATGCTCTGTGAAGAACTTCAGTGTTACCAACTTTTAGTGGCTTGAACATGTTGGTGTCCTTAAATGAAACTGGTTTGTAAGTGCTGACGAAAGACATCTTGATAAAAGTAAAATTAGTAGTGGTTTGTTATTCAAAGGTTTAACTGATTGTAGCTATGACCTCTTATTGTTTTGATAGTGTTTTATATATATGTATAACAGAACTATAAAAAAAATACACTAATAACTAATTGGAATATATATCAAATACCAGTTTCTTATATACTTATTTGAATCAGAACTCCTCTAATATGTCATTGTTGTGTTTACTAATGGTAAATAAGCAATTAAAATGATCAACATTGAGAGACGTAGTTAACGTAATGTTTAGTAATGAGACTAACCTAAATAAAATCGATCTAAATGAGAACAAATAAGGGATACATGCAAGAACTAATATGGCAAAAAATAGTGAATGGAAAGTGACCACGCCAAGACCTTTTCCTTAGAAAGTTGCTTGATTATGGCTGAAAACTTCGGTAAAACGTGCTTTCGAGATATTTTCATTATAAATTTCCAAAATATCACCTAAGTTCCGTTCATTCCGTGTATCCGTGCTTCCGTGTATCCGTTTGAAATATATTACCTAATCACACAGATCAAACCGTAGAAGAAACTGTTAGATTTATATAGAGAGGAAAGACGGAACAACAGCAAGACGGAACGTTGGTTCTTAGGTAAGCAAGAAACGATTGCACCCTCTTCCCTTCTTCATCGACTGAGAGAAAACATGAAGTATAGAAACTTACCAACTGATACGTATAGAAAACTGCGGTGAAGAGAGTTGCTATTGGAGAATTGTAACAAGTTCCAGGATTATAACGATACACATAATTTAACAATAATGGGAGATTTCTAGATTATTTGATCTATCGATACACTGTAATATCATATGGCTGTAAAGCACTAGCTTCTGAATAAAGAGATGTAAAATTCAATATCATGGAAATAGATTCAACTTCTTCTTCAGCGTTTACAGATCAAATAGATACACTAAAAAAAAGTAAATCATGCGGAAATGAATACACAATTACTAAAATATTTATCGTATATAGATTTAGAAAATGGTAGATAAATGCCCAGATTGATTAAGTTAGATGAAATTTCAACAAAATATATATTTTAACAAAAAGTACACCCAAAACATGGTAAAGTAACTAACATAGCACAGTGTTCGTTCTTAGTAATTGCAGATTGATTTGTTCGAAGCCGAAAGATCATTCTTTACAGTGTTTTTGGAGATCATTCCATTCATATAATTTTCTACCTTACAGAGAGGACAAAACTATTATTCTTTAATAGTCTGTGATAATTACATCGACGTTGATGGGTCGTTATATCTTGACCAACGATTTACCTAAGAGAGAAATTTATGTAAATCGTTTCTATAGTTTCCCCCAAAGTTTGAGAGCTTCGTCATATTTTGGATAATCAATATATCCATGAGGTGACATTGTATAATAAGAATCTTCATCATATTCATTCAATGGGAATCCCTTCTGGAGACGGTCCACCAAATCTGGGTTCGATATAAAGTATCTACCATAAGCTACTAAAGTCCGATCATCTTTTAAAAACTTTTTAGATGTCTGTGGGAATCGTCCCAGCCCACCTGCACGAATTATTGGACCTTTCCATATAGAATAAACAAAAGCATTACTCTCTAATTGATATCCCTCGGAGTTTCCGGGGGTCCACCGAGGAATGGGATCAATGATATGAACATAGGCTAGCCGATTCCCCATCTTCGCCCTAGATTCAATAGCGCCTAATAGATATGCATATTGAGCAACTAACCCAGGATATTTACTTCCTGACATCCCTGCCGTTGAATAAAAAGGGGAAATTCTGATCCCAATTTTTGGAGCACCTATCTCTTCGATCAAGGCATCGATAATTTCAAGTATAAATCGAGTTCTGTTTTCAATTGATCCACCATACTGATCGCAACGTTTATTAGATGCTGGATCTAATGATTGCATCAACAAATATCCATTTGCAGCATGCAGTTCAACGCCATCGGCCCCTGCGGCAAGAGAGTTTTTAGCCGCATGAATATGATCGTTAATGTATTGCTTAATCTCATCAACTGATAACCCATGAATCGGATTCCCCAATTTAACTGCCACCTTTTCAGTTTCTTTATCCTTATATACACCATCCGTCATCCCTTGATATTTCAAACCATCTCTGGTTAAATTCTGAATATCTGCTTCCCAACCAAGAGCCCATAATTGAACCCAAGAAAAACTACCGTTGTCATGTATCGCCTTGAATGTAGGTCTCCAAGCCTCGACTTGTTCGTTTGACCAAATCCCTGGGGCATGATCAAATCCACCGGCTTGTTTCGAGACATATGTCGACTCCGTGATGATAGTAGTACCAGGACGTTCGGACCTCTGACTGTAGTATTCTGGAGTCCATTCTGTATTTGGAATATTTCCTGGATGATGAGCTCTCATTCTTGTCAGAGGTGCTAGTACCACTCTATGTAAAACATCTGTATCCCCCAATTTCAATGAGTTGAACATATTTGTACCTTCAAAAGAAGTAGGCTTGACAATTGTAGAAAACGCCATTTGATGTTGGTTGTGTATGGTTGTGATATGATTTCCTTTCTACCTTCATTATTTGAATCGATTTGATATACTGAAATTTCAAGGGATGATATGGTCTGTGACTTTACTAAGGGCGAGATCTCATTCTAACAGAATATGACAAACCGAATATATATTTATTTATATATATACATAAGAAAACAAACCCAAAATCAACAGTATCCTTGATAATGAATACTAAGATTCGTATAAATACAGCAACAAAATCTGGAAACCCTCATCCAAGAATTCTTTTCAATTAGAAAATGTATGTTAACCCTGCAGCGAATAAAGTTGCGGAATTGACCAGAATCCGATCGACGACCTTCAAACTAAAGGAACAACGAAGAATTCATAGACCCATATCAACAACCATCAAACTAAGGCACTCAAGAGTCTCCCTATTGGTTCTTGTTAACAATCTATACGAATCCTATGATAGCTTATATAAAATACTGAAAAAAGTAACTTCTGGAAAGGGACTCCCCTGCCCCTCCCCCGCAGCGTTACCCCGCACAGGAACGCCACGTGACTTCGCTTCCAAAAATGGCGCGCAGTTGCTTTTTTCTTTTTCGTTGGGAATTCCTGCAGGGCTTTCACTGTGCAGCTGTTCGGAACAACTCACAGCTCAACGAAGCAACCCAATAAGGATATTCTGCCTACCGACCACCCCCACATGGCATACAGGATGAAGGGGAAAGAGGACAGACGGTCAACGTAACTGAGTGCAGTTCCATTTGTGCTGACAACGAAACAGTCTCAACTTTCAAAAACAAAACCAAGAATTTGTTTTGTTTTTGGGCTTTCTTCTTATTTCTTGTCTCACCGCCGGATTATCTCAGCCAGCGTTGCTTTTTTATGGCGGGGGTGGGAGGCTGGAAAAGTTTCATTTGAAAAGTTAGCGAGACCCAAAACAAAAGTGGAATAGTAGTATTTTTTAAATTTTTCACAAATAGATAAATTTGAAAACACAACATTCATTTACTTATTTAGAACAAAGTGTAAACATTCAGTTTCTGTTAACTCATTTTAATCACTAATCAAGACTACCAATATAAAGGTTAGGGAGATATAGGTATATATCTTAATCTCATTAAATAAAGGACAAAGAAAAAAACACGTACATATATTCCAGTTTAAAATGACTACACAAACTCCAATCGAGAAGAAAGAGGCACCAAGACCTCACGTGTGTCCCGTATGCCAGAGAGCATTTCATAGATTGGAACATCAAACCAGACACATGAGAACACACACAGGAGAGAAACCTCATGCATGTGACTTCCCTGGTTGCACAAAGAAGTTCAGCAGAAGTGACGAGTTGACTAGACATAAAAGAATACATACAAATCCGCAACCTAGAGGTAAACGTGGTAGAAAGAAAAAGGTTGTTACCCCTGTGGTTGAGGCAGATCCTGTAAGTTTTGAGACAGGGGGGTCGGATTCGATGGGGATTACTATGGGAGTGCCGATGTCAATGCCTATGATGGCTCCCATTCCAAGAAATACTTCTAGTAGTTCATTACACTCAGTGAGTTCTTTTACAGCACTGAATGGGTTACAGCCATTACAACCACTGCAATCACAACAACAACAAGGGTTGATTAGTAAGCCTACAATAGTGAGAAATTCATCAACACATTCTCTAACGCAAATGAATAACAATGCGGGATCTGCGGGAGGGCTGCTCTCTAGTACCAGTAATAATGGAAGTAGGATCCGTCTTAGTGCATTATCTTCTTTACAAATGATGACACCCTTGGGTACAGCAAAACCTCGTACACATGGATTCATGGATACACCAGAGACAACAGGTGCCGAACTAGCGAGACCTCAATCTTTGACCGATATGACTAATATGAATAGTGTACCATTAACACCCTCTGCATCCTTATCATCTGGTGTTCCTCTACCAAAATTACAAACTCCTGTTCCTAGTGGTAGTGCAAGCATATTTCCAGGTGTTGTTATGAATAGACCAAGCTCTGCGTTGAGTCTCAATGAAATGTTGTCGAAGAATACAAGCAGTTCAGAATCTGAAAATGATGCGGATGGATCTGTGTTAGAGATGAACAGACATTCAGGACGTAGAAGACATCAACGTCAACAAAATTTGAACGTTGTGACTCCTACGACTATGAGTAGATCTGATAGCAGTACAAATTTAAAACAAACCATGGTTTTAAATGGCGTTACTCAACAAACAATGAATGGATCTCAAATGTCCCCTGCTTTTGCCGATGATTTAAGATATAAATTGAATTCTGTTCATAATTCTCAACAACCTACTACAATTAATAATACAAGTTATACAGAGTCCTCGATATTGAGTTCACCTCCATCATACGAAACAAGAAGTGATTTCCCTACTCATCATGTAGGCCAAACAGTAACTATAAACTCTTCACCAACTCCAATAGTGTCTCCACAATTGTTACCCCAACAACAGTTTGTAAGTACGCCAAATGTTACTCAACTACCTTCGCAACAGATGTATGACCCCTCAGCAACCACCACTAGTGCTTTACAACAACAGCAACAAGACAGAACACAGAGTGGCTTACCACCAATCAGAAGTTTACAACTTCAATTTCCTACAGATTAAAGAAAGAAATAGAAATAGAATAATGCAAACCATGGTTCTTTCAATTAATAGACCTTATAAAATGTAAAAATATATATTCCTCTTCGTCCAAGAAATTTCATCACCTATATAGAGTTAACTAATATATCACAGCCTCTCAACACTCTACATAATTTTAATACTAATAATAATTCAATAACTATTCATTACCATTTTGCACGTATCTTGTAGAAATCTAAACCTTCGTTAAATACACCCCCACATCACCATAACAGATCAAAGCCTTTATATATTTATGACATCACTAAAAATTACGTAGCTTTTAGTTAAAATCATGTAATGTTAAAGCCGTCTACTAAATTTTTGAAAAATCCAGCTAAAGAATAGCTGGACCTAAACCCATAATGGATAACTAAATCATAACCTCTAAAGAACTCGGATGTATTACCTCAACGGGTTTCAATTACTTAATCCACCAATATAATGCATTCAATTTTCTTTCTGTGACCTTCTATCAACAAAACTGAAAAATTTTCAGTTTCATTTTTAGCTAAGCAGAACAGAAAGCGTCGTACCGAGATTAGGGCCGGATATCCAAGCCACTGGATAAAGAACCAGAAACCCACACATTCATTTATTCAACCACTAACTGCTGACCTGTCGGAATCTCTCTGTCTCTCTCTCAATTTCACATTAAGATGAAGTTGCCATAGTTATTTGTTCATAATGAAAGATTTCCCAATCCCGGTTTCAAATTAAGTTAACTCAAACAGAAATTTGAAATACATTCTGTTTTATTCCCCCAGTTTGCTTTCCTATTATTATTATCCGTTCATCGGGAACTTCATACACATCATAAGTTTATAGAATATAATAGAAGAAATTTCGTGCCCTATACGGAGGAATCAATCAACAATTATTTATTATTATTTTATTGTTACCGGCCCCTCGTTCTGCGACTTTATTTTTACTTTTTATTTACAGTTTGTTCACCCACCTCTTGTATTGAAATTTCAGATCGAAACTATTTTTACTTCACCTTTACGTTGAATGTTTGTATCATTTTGTTTTTATTTCGTACATAACCTCTCTGTGTGACACCTTGATGTCTAGAACCCTTGTGGTTATACATACATGGCCTATCTTTTTTACTGGATTTAGGGAGATGTCATGACCTCTCTTTTCCTGATTCAGTTGATTTCAGTATATTAATATTAGTATTTTTTTTTTTTGATCTAGGTCTTGCAAAATTACCTTAAACGATTTGTCGAATTTATTTATTTTTCTCTCCTATAAGAATGAATACGTCAGCTGGAAAATAAATGTGTATATATATAAACAATCATTTCTTCATATTTGTAACTTATATAACTCCCTCATTTGTTTTATTCTTATCTTTCAAAATATTATTTCCTGGAACTTAGGAGATCAAGGAAATTTAGAGTTCTCACTTTCAAAAACTATTACAAGACAATGTACGCCTTTAATAACTACTGTCCCGTTTGCGACAAGTTGATCCCTAATTGTTCTCCTTCTAAATTATCCAGAACTAACTCTACTAGTAGTGATAAGTCTACGGATAAGTTATATTGCTCTCATGAGTGTGAAAGAAAGGACAAGTTGAATATTGTCAACAGTACAATCCTAGCATCCAATGACATTGGTGACAGTACAGGTGCTATCCATGATGAACTTGATGAGGTTACCTCTGTGATTTCAGATCAAGGTATGATGGCATTGGATGAGCCATTACAAAATCAACCTGATTATTCAGGCGATGATTCTCATATCGTGCCAGATCATTTACCTGCAGTTCTGGCAAGCCCTGCTTCCTTTTCACATAGTCTCGGTAATGATCATGAAGATTTCCCATCTATTACAATTACTACAGTGACGGGAGATATTACTTCAAAGACAACTCTAGATGAAAGGGAACAACTCTTAGCGTCTCCATTCTTATTACCTTTAAGTTCTAATAATGAGAAGAATTCATTGTTCGAAATGAATGAACATATTGATAACTCTCTCACATTAGGTGAGAGTTTGATTCCACATTATTACAATATACCACCATTAAATTCATTCTATAATATTCCCAAAACACTATTCATCGGTTCAAACTCGAAGACAAGTCAAGAAAATTGTTCATTCGACCATACCGCAGAAACCAATTACAAACTATGGTTATCAAATAACATTCCATAGTATACTTTTATGACTTCCCCAACGATACATCTTTGCATATATTTTATAAACTAACGAAAACAAAACAAGAAACTGATAAAAATCTAAAATAAAAAAAAACTACAATCACAACAACTAAAACATAGCAATTAAAAGAAGGTACAATCATTTTGACCTTCATTTTGACCTTCATTTTGAAGTCTCCCTTTTTAAATTTTTTTTTTGGCTTTTTTTATTATTATTTTAACATTTTTTTTATTATATATTAATAGATTTATAAATAAGTAAATATTAATCTAAAATTATAAATTCATATTATTATAAATTCAATATTGATTATTCAATTTCATGTTATGTGTTTTATAGTCTTTAAAATATTATTTATGTAATAAATATTTTTTTAAACAATTATTTGATAGTTGATAATTTGGTAGTGTTGACATGAATCTTAATATCCAAATCATCAGTATTATCTTCAATACGTCCAATACGGTCCTGTTGAGACTCTAATTCATTACCTGCAGCAAGTGCCAATTTTTTCAGACGACCACTAACCTGCTGAATCTTATCTAGATTTCTATCAATTTCAACCTCCATTTCATCATCTTCTTCATCATTTTCGAATTGATACTTCTGTGCACGACCTAAGATATCCTTTCTCTCATAACGATCTCTGACATCACTAATGTTTCTTCCATTGTCATCCATAGCATTTTCAATTCTATTCTGGGATGCGTTCAATTCTTGGCTCGTATTATTCATCATAGCTTGTTCTTGAATCTTTTGATTCTTAATTCTGTCCTCACGTTCTTGTTTACGTCTTTTAGAATTGAATGGATTACTGACATGTACTGCCCATAAACTACGGTTCAATTTCTGTAATTCAGTAACTTTTTCATCTGCAATCGAATTTTGAATATTCATTAAATCTAGATTTCTTTCAACATTATTCAATTTTTCACTTTGATGACCTAGCAGACCCAATGTATTCATACCAGACATTTCTGCTTCTTGGGCCATCTTTAGAGTGTTTCTCGTCGATGCCACCGAACTCTGTTTGGTGAATTTAATTTGTTGTTTCAATTCATCAACTGCACCGTCCTCCTCTTGTTGTTGACGTTGTTCTTCTTCGTGTTGAATTTCTTCGAAGGTTTTGTAACCTCTATCAGTATCGACCTCTGCATTTAAGTCATTATTATATAGTTCTTGAGATTGGTTTTGATAACTATCATACGCCATTGCTCTATCATCTGCACCATACTGGGTACGTTGGTCATCGGTTGCATTTAATTCGTCTATTTGTTGTAGTTGTTGTTGTTCACGTTGACCTAAATCTGCATTTAAATCATCTGCTATACTTCCACCCCCGTATTTATCTATCGTATCATTTAGATCGACTCCATCAGCACCCGTCCCCCCATATGGGTTAGAGGTGGATGCTATTGTCGGCACACCAACAGCGCTAGCACCTCCCATAATAGATGGTGTTGCATTTAAATCAGTAGTTATATTTGTGGATGTACGATGTATCGGTGCCTTAATCCTTGAAGTTGGGGCTGTCATAGCAGCATTGGCATATGGGTTTGAAGATTTTCTAGTATTATAGTTCGCACCGTTATTCATGGAACCATATGGGTTAGCAGAAGACTTCGCACCTGTGGTGTTATAACTGTCGTTTCTTAATGATGCGTATGGGTTGCTGCTTGCGGATGGTGCAGATGCCTTAGGTTGTCTGCCATCCGTTGGTACAGTATAACTATTATAGTTCTTGAGTTCGGAACCTCTCGATGTCCTTACATCTCTAGTAGATGAAGCTATAGGACCTGAACTACCGGTTGATACCTCAGGTGTGTTATTACGTGAATACATCGGAGAACGACTTTCTTTATAAGGGGTTGATCTGGATGTGTTACCAGGAGTTGAAAAATTCAGGTCATCGGTAGGATCAGGTTGAGCAGCTCTGTTGTAGGCACTATTAATTTGGCCTCTGCCGGTGTCTCCATTATTGGTTTGATATGGAGATTTACCGTAGCTATCGTTATTATTAGTGGTGTAACTTGAATATGGGTCATTATTCATGGAGTTACTATTATCATTATTGGCGTTGGTCGAGTATGGGTTGGAACTAGGTGTTTGACTTCTACTATTTGATGACGGTACAGCGCTTGTATATTGGTTACTGCGCTGCGGAGTACCGTATGGATCTGAGTTTTGAGTTGAATCGTATGGACTTGTACTCTTAGATGTGCCATATGCATTCACATTTTGAGAGGAACCATAGGCGTCTCTAATTTGAGAAGAACCGTAAGGATCTGTGTTTTGCGAACCTCCATTACTATACGGATCTCTTGTTCTAGATGAGGATCCATATGGATCTACGGGCTGCAGCATGTTGCCTGTTGAACTATGTGGGTCCATGGATGACGCTCTGGAGTGAGGTTGTCTCATTGTGTTATTATATTCGTCAAGGTTAGAATTATTATTCATTCCATATGGATCTGGGGATTGGCTCACTGGTTTAGTTATCGCAGCATATGGATCATAAGTGGCAGTGGCAGCGCCAGCGCCAGCATTTGAATCAGAATCCTCAATGCCGTCCTTCTTTGATTTCTTTCTCCCAAATAGACCTCTTTTCTTTTTCTCTTGTTTCTTTTCTTCCTTCAACTTTGCTGCATCTCTCTTTGCTCGTTCATATGCATCTCTTTCATTTTGAGCTCCTTGTCTTTCGTCTGCTTCATCCTGTTGACGTTGAAGAGCTACATCCTCGTAACCAGGAGGGGCATAAAACTTATGGGGATTTTTATCCTTTGCAAACTGCCCGTAGGCTGCAAATTTCTCCTTTCTATTCCTACTCGGATCCTTCACTGTATAACCTGCATCAGATAATGTTGTTCTATTTTGTTCTAGAGTTTCTTCCTCAGGTGGTCTTACACCTCGTTTTGCTAGGAAACTCTTGACGTGTACTTTCATCTTTTCACTTATGGATATTAAATGGACTAAACTCTTGTTTCAAAAAGGTCTGTATGCTTTATTTTGTGTTATCAGATTTGTAAAATGTTGATCTGTGGGTACAGTTATAAATAGCAAAAAAAAGAAGAAAGAACGGGAAATATAATAATAATATTATCTATAGAACTTGTCTCCTTAACGAAATATTAAATAATAATTATACTTTCCAATATTTTTGTCCTTCTTAGCAATATGTTACTTTATTGGTAGCTAAAATGTATGTTCTTTTGGTTCCAGGATCAAAGTCAAAAGGTAGTTACTTCATTTATATTTCCAATATACGTTGTGCATTATGAGTTCATTCCTTTTTTTGGCTTTTTAGTCAAAATAACGCTTCGCCTGCGACGAAAGAATCAAAGTGACGATGGCTGAACTTTTCAATGAAAAGAAAATGAATAAAACGATTCATATTTATAAATTGTGACTATGTCTTATTGTACATGCTGTTGTTGACGACAACTTGGATCTATATCTATGTTTATTTATGTAAATGTGGTCTTTTTATTTGTGTATATGCGTGAGGGTAGTGTACTTTGTTCCATAGGTTTACATACCACGGAATGTGTTTTTACTGGCACTTCTTCTACCTTGGAATCTTGGTTTAGTTCTACCATTATCCTTCTTCTCTTCATCATCAGATTCACTATCAGAGTCTCTTGTGATCTTCTTCTTTGGTTTAGGTTGTGCTTTCTTTGGCACGAAAGTTAATTCAGCTTCACCTTGATGGTTTCTGTGTAATACTGAACCATCATCCTTCTTTCCTTCTTCAAGTTGTCTGCTCCTTACTTGCTTACCGAAACTTACATTAGCTTCAGAATCTGCAGTATTCAAAGCACCATCATTACTTACACGCATATCATTCATATAAGTTTCACTAGCTTCTTTTTCCTTCTTTCTACGATCGATAGCTACCAGTTGTTTTTGTATCTTCCTCTTAGTTTGTTCGTTAACCTCTTCATCTGAACCGGAGAATTCATCCTCACTGTCCTTATCAGATTTATCTTCGTCGGAATCACTTTCACCTTCATCGTAATGGTTCTTGTGACCTTGTTCTCTCATAGTAATTCTTTCTTCATCCGATTCTTCTGCAGCAGTCAATGCTCTGATACGCTTGGCTGCACCTTCGTCGGTTTCCTTTGCAGACTTCACTGGGTTTAATTGTTTGTAATCATAATCGTCTTCATTGACTTGGAACGCTTCATCTTCAAACATTTCTTGGAAACGATCATCTGTTAGAACTTGAGCAGCAGCAGAATCACCACGTTTAGTAGACAATTTTTCAACCAAAGATTTGTTAACTTTAACCTTAGGTTTCTGTACAGCACCAGATGTTCTAATTCTAGATTCTCTTTCTTTTTCAATCCTACGTCTAATTTCTCTTTCTCTTTCATCTTGAACAGCAGTTGGGTTAGCAATAAGGGCGACTTTATCATACAATTCTGTATCGATGAAGTAACCATGCATATAAGCTCTTAAAACCTTTGAACCAATCAAATGGTTTAGATTCAATTTCTTTACATCTGCCTTCGTTATAAATCTGTAATTCGAATAAACAGAATTGCTTGGTTTCTCTTCTAATTCTTCTGTAATCGAATCCAAGAATGAACACCATTGTGGAGCTGGTCCCAAATGTGGAATATAATACGTATGCATTGGAATCCCCTCATTGGCAGTCATAAACATACCAGTCCCTGGAATATGAGCAATATCATTAATATCAACATTTGGTTCCATGGATGCATATGGTTTCCCATCAACTCTATCCCATATCTTTGCAATTCTCTTATCTGTAGTCAGGATCTTGTTTTCAACACCAACATTATCCAACCAAATAATTTTCTTAATTTCAAATCCATAACCTTGATCCTTAACCATAGATGGTTGAGATGTACGTAAATCATACAAATAAGAATAACCATTAGAAGTACCACATGCAAAGTTTAACCCATTATTATGGAAACTAGTTGTTGTTACTTGCATTGGTCCATTATCAAATTGATTCTCTACTTGTAATTTAGCTACTCTAGCTCTAGCTCTTGGATCCCAAAATTCTACCACGTTCTTTTCCATACCTACTGATACTAAACCTGAAACAGAGTTCACAGAGACATGGTTGACTCCCTCTGAATCTAACTGGAATGGATTTAAGAATCTACCTTGTTCCAAATTCAATCTATATAATTCAGAACCACTAGCTCCAATAAAAAGATCACAATTCACATCGTTATAAGCTAAACTTCTTCCAAATTTCGGTATACGTGTAGCGTAATGGATCCCACCTTTATTTTGAAACTGAATGCTTCTATCATTTTGTAAATGAACAGATTTAGTCCAATCATCAGATAAAATTAAAAAATCCACATTTTCTGCATCTGTATGTCTATCAAATTTCAAAGATAAATTTGCAAAATCATAGACGTGGATTTGAGGCTTGTATGTCCCCGTAGCCATACAGTATTGTCCATCCCGTGTGACTTGGATCTTATTAGATGCTTCACTGAATTCAAAATCTTGTACTAATTCCACACGATTTTGATAATCCAAATCGTTTTTCAATGACCGTTTACGTTTCTTAGCAATCCAATCTGGTAAGGATCTAGCAATATTAGTACCGGAAACCTGGTACACAGAGACATCACTTGCAGAAGTAGATTTCAAAACCATGTTCGGTACTTATATATGTGTTATATATGTTAGCTCTGTTGTATTAAAACTCCAGAAAATAGTTGCGATGAGATGAGATGAGATGAGTATTCTACTTATAAACTACTTTAGTTGAAAAAAAAATTTTCTTTCCATTTCGGCTTCATTAAGTGCAGCTTTCCGAAAGGTGTGAAATTGAGAAAAACTATAAGATGATAATAATGGATAACTAACTGTATGTATATATATATATATATATATATTGTTAAGCATCTGGATCTTGGAACTGATCGATATGAATGGATTGAGCCCTGCTGTTATTCTTGACTCTATTGTGTCCACCAAGGATGTAGTTTTTCCCAGTGCTGACGATCTTACTTGCAGACATGGAATTATTCACGACGACATGAGGTGATTCATTCCAAGGATTGTTGTTGATGGTATTGGGAGTCTTTGGAGTCGAATTCATCATCTCTGAGGTCTTGTGAGCGGAAAGCGTGAATGGGGTACTGAATGCTGAGAAAGTGTCTGTTTGGTGCATCATCAATTCGTTGTTCATCGAGTCATCACTTGTTGTTGTTGTTGTCGAACCATGGAAGTTATTAGTCTTGTTATTATCGTGATTGTGAGGTTGAGGTTGATGCTGAGGATGGTTGTAGAGTGTTGACGTGGTGTTGATTTGGGGTGTGTGTGGAGGGATGTTATTACTATTATTAGAAGGTGTTGTTGTAAACAAGTAATTATTGTTGTTGTTGTTGTTACCGTTTCCTGTTGTGGATGGAACAAAACTTGTAGAGTTATACGCATTGAACTTGTTTGCTGAGGATGGAGCCTGGATATATGATTTCATTGATTTCTGAGGTTGTGGTTGTTCCATCTGTCGTTGTATTGTTGTATTAGTAGTAGCAGTAGTAGTAATGGCATGCAATATATCTTGTTGTTGATCCTTTGGTAGATACTTGTATAGGTCCCTCACTTGAATGGTCCGTTGTATTGTGTCTGAAGAAGAGGGTTGACTTTCCATGAAGATACGTTGATAAAACAATGAATATGACGAAGAGCCATCATTCCATCTTTGGATCAATTCCTTTAGGGATTCCAAAGATAGTTTGTTATGTAGGACATCGTCGATCAATGATTCGTTATTGTCGTTGATATTATGGAAAAACAAATGATTTAGCAATCGTATGGATATTTTTTGTAATGACAAATCTTGCAAGGATATCTTATTGATGAATTTAATAAGGTGGAAGATTGCGATGTTCCCATGCAATTTTATTAGATTTTCACTAATCTTAATCGATTGGATCGACAACAATCGTGATATCAACAAGGACGACGACGACAGTTTCTCCGACAATAACAGACTTGCAATCATGGGGATGTTATACAAGTTCATATGATTATGAATCAATATGTGGTTCAACGATTTCTTGTTGGCGGGATCCATCAATGGCACGTCCACATGATACTTGAAATAATGCATTAAGAACGTATTGTTCAGAGCCATCGTGTCGACCAGGCACCAATATAGCAATTGCAAAGTGTATGATACCGGTGGTGTCGGTGTGGAATCCGATGCTGATTGAAACATAAATGATGATTTAGTGATTGGTGGGATCCTTGGGACAATCTCGTCGTTGAACCAATCGGGCAATGTCACTGAATGATCGAAGTTCAATAGCAATTGGGTGATAGTGAACTGGACGATGTTTAGCATGGCATCGATACTCAAAGTGGAACCCATCTGATTCAAATTCTTGTGAATTTCAAACGGTGCCCTACCTTTCAAAGCCTGAAGGGAATCAAACAAGAGACATACGAGTTTTGGTTCTAACAGCAAATTCAGTTGCGGATGGTCTATGATCTCCATCAGCACTTTCAACTGGAATTGCACGTCCTGGTCCTCGCTTTGATACTTCTGTTTCGCCAGCACGAGAGTGCAAGCCTGTTTGTATAAACTCGGTTGAATCCACTTCGAGCATTGAAACACCCTCAACGCGACCAACTGGTTAACAAACCTGTTTGGTGTGGCCGTCTCGTCCAGGCCTATATTTTGTAAATTTGACGTAGCAATGAAGTAATCCATATGCGATTCGTTTGAATACAGTGACAAGACGTCTTTCTTGATATTCAGATGAGTCTGCAACGAGACGTCCTTGCCGTTCGCCCACATCGGGACCCATTCCTTCGCCAGCGTATAAGAGAGACGATCATTCAGCGACAAGAAATGCAACGATTTTTCGTTAATTGAATCCAGGCATTCGATAGCCGCTAGCAGCGTGTAGAAGCCGACACTGTCTGCCTTCCTTGCAGTGTCGTTGCCGTCACCGACGCACAGTTTCCAGTTGTTTATACTCTGCAGAATCAACGGTTGTAAAAAGGAGTGAACGGAGCAGTATGCCACCAGACACGCCACTATAGCGGTCTTTGCAGGCTGCGATGCAGTCGCCGAGTTCCAAACAGGCGTGAAGATATCCAGGTCCTGTGGGAAGTCCAGCTGCTGCACGCACCCACTCTCACCGTTGTCATCCACTGGCAGCAATCTCAACGAGTGGATCAATTGATACGCCAAGGGTTGGACCCTTGCCTCGTGGGCATCGTCCAGACTTCCTAATTGCAGCAATGCAGCGTGTACCGTTTTCAGCAACACATCTCTAGTCGTGTCCATAGCTGTTGCAGTGACTAATGTCCAAATCAGAATGTATCTAGTATGGTGATCTCTGCTGAACACCCCTTGCCACCAGCGTTCTGCTTCTTATATACCTGCATTGGAAACCCCACTTCTAAATCTACCCTCCAGTCGGGCCTGCCTGGCTTCCGATATTGAAATAAGCGCGCAGTCCGCCGTGCACAGTGACACACTGCCCGTTACCCGCCCGCCATACGTCATCGTTACCCGCCCGTCACTCCGCACGGCCACCACCCACACACCGCGCCGCCGCCGCCAGGCCCACCCCCTGTTTTTCCTTCCGCTCAGAATATCGCCCCGCCCCGCCCCGCTTACGCAAGAACGCCCGCTGGCGATAGCTCGCACCAGCGCTCCCCCCATACAACTCGCCCAGCTTCCCGCCGGTTTGCCCCCTTTTTCTTTCCTTCCAGCAAAGTTCGTTCATTTTCCGCTTTCCATGGCGATCGGCAGCATACGTAATTCTGCTATTATATAAAGAGAGAGGGTGGGAGGGCTCGATACTGAACTGAAATGTTCACTACACAGCATACCGAATACCGAACTGAACTAGTAATAGGCCGATTCGTATACACGACACTACACTGCTACTACACCACATCGCCACACTATGAGAGCCTTAATTATCACCGACATGCAAAATGACTTCTTGCCTCCAAAAGGTGCGTTGCCTGTGCCCCACAGTGAGGAGATCGTCCAGCCCATCCTGGACCTGATCCACCAGGAGGAGCAGCAGGACTTCCACAGAATCGTGCTGGTGCGTGACTGGCACACCCGCAACCACACCTCGTTCGCCAGGTCGCACGACCTGCCAGAGTATTCGCAGTTCGAGTACAAGTCGCCAAGACCGGGCGACAAGTCCACCCAGGTGGGCACCTTGTGGCCCGTGCACTGTGTTCAGAACACCTGGGGCTCCCAGTTGGTCACCCCGCTGTTGAAGGAGACGTACCACACACATCTGAAGATCGTCGACAAAGGGTTCCTGTCAGACAGAGAGTACTACTCAGGGTTTAGCGATATTTGGAACTTCCACAAGACCGAATTGCACGAATATTTACAGAAACATCACATCACCGAGGTCCTGGTCGTGGGACTCGCGTTAGACTACTGTGTCAAGGCTACTGCCATCTCGGCTGCTCAACTGGGTTACGACACCACCATTGTAAAATCCCTATCGAGAGCCATCCATGACGACGACGAACATATGAAACAGTTCGAGAAGGATTTGGCCGACAACAACGTGAAGCTGGTCGAAAACGTCCCTCCCCACAAGTCGGAATCAACCACCACCACCACCACCACTGTTTGATCATTACATATACTCTATGTACTTTATATACTTTTACTCACTTCTATTTTTAGGTTACTGAGGCCCAGGGCTTGCACACCACTGCTCGTTGCAAGTGATGTGGGCGTGGCCCGACCCTCTCTCCCTGCCTCTCTGCGTCTGCACACGCTATTTTCGCGTCTTTTTCTCAGTGAATTTGTCCAGCTTACAGTCACTGAAATATTTTATTTCTTTCATATATAAGAAGAACATATAGTACACTTGACAGCTGTCTGAACGTTTCCATAACTAATTCTCATGTATGAGAAGCAATATACTCCCTCACTGCACCAATATACGATGGGTAAAATACTGACTTCAAGGAGACTGAAAATCGTTTGCACTGTCACTCTATTGATTATCGTCCTTTGTGGTGCGTCCCTTTATAGCAACGTATACATAGACCAGTTTACCACGACCACGACAGGCAAGACCATCATTCCAACGACATCACATCTGAATGGCATCAATTTGAAAACTTACTCTGCGTCCGCCGACCTGCACACCTTGCGGGATCAGCTGACATACACCTTTCCGTACCACTCCGAACAGGCCATACCCAAGATCATATGGCAGACTTGGAAGACCGGCCCAGCAGACTCCTCGTTCCCTACCAACTTCAGAAACACGCAAAAGAAATGGACCCAGCGGGCTCAGGACCAAGGGTTCCAGTACTCCCTGATCACAGACGACGTCGCCGGCTCGCTGCTGGAAAACTTGTACGCCGAGACACCCCTCGTGCTTCAGGCGTATAACTTGCTGCCAACCGTGATCCTGAAAGCTGACTTCTTTAGGTACTTGATCCTGTTCGCTAGAGGTGGGATCTACTCCGATATGGACACCGTTCCGTTGAAAAGCTTGAACGAGTGGGGGTCCGTCACGGGAAGCAAGATGAACCAACTGGTGATGGATCACAGACAGTCGTTTATACCGTATAAGAACATCGATAGAGACCAGTTGTCAGCGACTCGTGCGGCACAACAACCCGGGCTGGTCATCGGGATCGAAGCCGATCCGGATAGAGACGACTGGCAGGAATGGTACGCTCGGAGAATCCAGTTCTGCCAATGGACCATGCAAGCGAAACCGGGCCATCCGTTGTTAAGAGAACTGATTTTGAATATCACTGCAACTACATTGCAAAGTGTTGCTGGCAGTGCCTCGGCGTCAAAGAATGGCGTCCAGTTGTTGGATCCAAGCAACTTGAAAGATTATAACGTGAATTATAGATGGTTAAGAGGACAGGACCCAAAATATGATCATAATCAATTGAAGACAAAGAAAAACGTTGACGGAACAGATATTATGAATTGGACAGGACCAGGGATCTTCACCGATATCGTCTTTGAATATTTTTCAAATTTGATTCAATCAAATAGAAACATCCTCTTGTTGAACCCGGATCTAACAAAACAAACGTCAGAGATTGACGCTTCCTCCTCGGCAGTTGTAAGTAACAAGAGTATCAAACGATTCTATCAGAAGATTAATGAGGACTTGCAGACATCGGCGAAATTACCTTGGGAATTCTTTGCATTCATTGAATCGCCAACCTTGGTCGATGACGTCATGGTGTTGCCAATCACAGCTTTCTCTCCAGGTGTAGGACAAATGGAGGCTCGTGGCACAGATGATCCAATGGCTCTAGTGGAACATTTGTTCTCGGGCACTTGGAAGGAATCGGCAGATAGCAACGCTAAACAATCCAATTCAAATGGTGGTATCCCACCTGTCCCTGCATGATTTACTTTCATTTCCACTCACACTCTCACACATATATATAATTATAGCATATTCCGTATCTCTCTCTCTCATTTTTGTATACTAGTATCTAACTTTTTTTTTTTAAATTATTTTTTATATTTTTGGTTAATTACAAACTCTAGGAGATCGTTAAATAGATTTCAACATTGTCCATCTCTCCCAGATCAGTGCTATATAGAGTAAAACGTTCGTGTGGGTGGGCGTGTCCGTGTGTCCGTGTGTGATGGCGTGGATTATAAAATAACACATGCATTCTTCTTCTTTTTCTTCTTAGACTTAGGTTTAGGAATCGTAGTACGTGGTTCAGGAGTCCCAGTGGTGGTCCCATTCGTTTTATTGGCTTTCTTGCTCGTTTGAGCAACGTTTACACCAGACGCATTTGATGCTTTACTTGTGGCTCGGTTCTGTTGACTCGACATAGTATTAGTCACAGTCTCGCGATTCTTCATGCCAGTCTTATCGTTTGAATCATGATAATTCTTTGTAGTGTCTCTTTGTTCCTGTTGTTTTTGTTGTGAAGGTAAACGTGAGACACTGGCCTTACGTGTATCTTGCTTCGATACATTCTCCATCTCGTTCCGTATGATCTGTCTCACCAAATCAACGAACACCTCATCAACATTACTTCTTAACAATGCACTAGTCTCATAGAATGGTACTCTACCCCATTTCGTGCTCACTGCAATCCCTTCTTCGACACTGATGACTCTATCGTCAGCAAGATCTGCTTTGTTACCTACGAGAACCATCGGCACCCTCGAAGCATCCTTGATCCGCAACACTTGTTCTCGTAACTCCATTAACTCATCCAACGATTGTTTGTCAGTGACAGAATATACCAACAAGAACCCCATGCCCGACTTGATGTACAACTCACGCATCGCAGTGAACTGAGCAACACCGGCCGTGTCCAGGATCTCTAGGTCAAACACTTTGCCATCGATCTCGATTGTCTTACGGTACGAATCCTCGATGGTGGGATCATACGTATCCAGATAGACACCTTGGACAAATTGAACCGTCAAACAGGATTTACCAACACCACCTGCACCAAGCACAACTAATTTATAGTCTCTCATGGTAATACTTTTTTTTGAGTCTGGTTATGGCTTCTTGCAAGGATTACTAATATTTGCTCGATTAATTATAATGGTGATTGCTTTATTCTTCTCTCTTTGGGGGACAGATAGAAATGTTTATCAGTCATTTTACTTTGAAAAATTTCGCGTTGCTTCGTTAAACGAAAGAAAGATTCATTCAACGTTCAACTCATTTATATAAAAAGGGAGGGAAGGGCAAATTAGTAATTGGGAAGTACGAATGGTTAAATAAGTAGGAACCATCCATTCTAAGCAACCATTTTTTTAAAAATAACAAATATGCATACTGCTGATTTCCTTGACGTTCAAGATACTGCAATTTCTTCCATTTTAGCCGGTGGTTACAACCATCCCCTATTGAGAGAATGGCAAGCTGAGAGACAATTGGCCAAGAATATGTTTGTGTTCCCATTGTTCATCTCCGACAATGACGACGAAGAAGTTCCTATCGAGTCCCTACCAAACATCAAACGATTTGGTGTCAACAAGTTGGTTGCATACTTGAAACCTTTAGTCGCCAAGGGGTTAAGATCTGTCATTTTGTTCGGTGTTCCATTAGACCCAAAGGCTAAGGATCCCGTTGGTACTTCTGCCGACGATCCAAATGGACCTGTCATCAAGGGGATCAAGACCCTGAGAGCAGCATTCCCTGACCTATATATCATGTGTGACGTCTGTCTATGTGAATATACATCCCATGGTCATTGTGGTGTTTTGTATGATGACGGTTCAATCAATAGAGAACGTAGTGTCTCTAGAATTGCTGCTGTTGCTGTCAATTATGCTAAAGCAGGCGCTAACTGTGTGGCTCCAAGTGATATGATTGATGGTCGTATTAGAGACATCAAGCATGGTCTAATCCAAGCCGGATTGGCTCACAAAGTATTTGTCATGTCTTATTCTGCTAAATTCAGTGGTAACCTATATGGACCATTCCGTGATGCAGCACATTCATCTCCATCTCAAGGTGACAGAAAGAACTATCAATTGCCTCCAGCAGGTAGAGGGTTAGCAAGAAGAGCTCTGGTGAGAGATATGCAAGAAGGTGCCGATGGGGTCATGGTGAAACCATCGACTTTCTATCTAGATATAATGCGTGACGCTAGTGAACTTTGTGAGAACTTACCTTTATGTGCATACCATGTCTCTGGTGAGTATGCGATGTTACATGCAGCTGCTGAAAAGGGTATCGTTGATTTAAAAACCATTGCATTTGAATCCCACCAAGGTTTCTTAAGAGCAGGTGCACGTATCATCATCTCGTACTTTACTCCAGAGTTCCTAGAATGGTTATCCCAATAGGTAAACATATCATGATTATGCAATATACATATATATATCTCCCTCTGTAACCTTGTTCATAGCTATATGTGTCATCGTCCTTTTATGCTGCATCGCATCACCGACCGACGCACTATTTTAGCTAATTAGTTAGTTATGTATATATAATAACGACAAAAAAAAAAAGATCGTAATAATTTTTCACTTTCCCATTTACCTGCAACAATCAAGAGAGGGTATAGTACTCGAAACATATACGATCAAATGAGGAACCAGATGGCACCATGGGTGCCTCTGTTCATACAATCTAGTAACAATAACACGAATGAACAGAATCCATTCACTCCATTTCAATTCGCTACGGTGCAGGAGGGACCCATTGGAAAACCTTCAGTAAAGACAGTTGTCTTTAGAGATTTCTTATTCCATGACAAGAGTACAAACGTTTTGACGTTTTGTACAGATCTACGTAATGATAAATTATGCCATTCCAACCCGTATTTCGAAGCATGTTTTTATTTCCCAACAACATGGGAACAGTATCGGTTCAGTGGTCAATGGTTTATCTTATCATTAGAGTCCTCTAGTCATGTCGAGACGACAGATCAATTTTTGACTCAGCATACTCAAGAGGAATGGGAAGATGAAATAATGAGACAGTGGGGTCAGATGTCTCGTGGTGCCAAATCGTTGTATCGTAAGCCTGCACCCGGAAGTCCACTAAGTGAAGGGAACCGAAAGAAATTGGATAAGATCCAACGTGGAGTCGATGGTGCTCATGACGATACAGGGTTGGAGAATTTCGGGTTAGTGTGTCTATTAGTGGACAAAGTAGACTACTTGAATTTGAAGGATGGTAGTGGTGGTGAACGTAGATTATTCGAACGATGCACCAAACCTTCTTGCAACGGATCTAATAATAATGAAAATAGTAATAATAGTAATAGTAACGAAATTAATGACGACGACGACGACGACGACGATGATGATGATGATGATGATGATGATGATGAACAAGAACATGACGACGATGACCATTGGACCATGTGGACAGAGACGGAAGTATGTCCATAATTTGCTCAATTTGTTTTCTGCACGTCAAAAAACAACAACACCCTTGTATGTATATAGACAGATATGTATCACTTCCTCGTCTTCTACATTATCTCTCTGTGTTTATGGTATGATAGAAATTTACATAAAGATATAATAATAATAATAATAATAGATTATGAAATAGTCCTGATGAGATAAAAATGAGACATCCCACCAACCAAGTCCCGCAATTCAGCAATCAATCATGTTGTTAAAAACAATATCCTAACGTAATCAATCTATCAATCAATCAGTGAATATATCAATCAGTGGTTGTATCAATTGATCTATCTTTAGTTGGATTAGATAACAGACCGGTCGCTCCGCCAGAGAGAAAACACCGCACGACACGCCTCGTCCAACGATAAGAGAATAGATCGATTAGATTAAAGAGAGAACAGAACCAGTAACTTGATAGCGATTTGATCAGTTTGGGTCGTGCAATTCTGGTGGTCGTGAGTCGTTTGGGGTTTGTTGATATCTCATTGGGTGATAGCTATAAGATAATAGAACAAGGTCTAAGTCATTAAGTGGTGGCATGTCGTTGTCCCGTACCTTACATTCAGTTTTATGTACAAGCTAACGCAGTCTCTCGTACTCTCCCTGGGATAATTGAGACCCCTAATTTCGCATTGATGGAATGAATACAATAAACCTTCTATCTCGTTCTCTCCATTTGATGAAATATATAAGGAGTGAAACTTTTCATAGATTCTTATTCTTATTCTTAATTTCCCTTTTCAAATAGTTTATATTCGTTATTATTTCTTATAATATTCATTTTACAACACACCAATCAAGATTTTTACTTCTGTAATACTGATTATACATATACATATATATATTACAAATGACTTCTGCTGAATCTTACTATCCAAACGAACCAAGTGCTCCAAAGGTTATCACTTCTGAGATCCCAGGTCCAAACTCAATTGCTCAAATTAAACAACTAGGTGAACATTTCGACTCAAGATGTGCTTACTTTGTTGTTGATTACAACAAGTCTAACGGTAATTACATTGTTGATGCTGACTCCAACGTGTATTTAGATCTATATGCTCAAATTGCATCCATCGCTTTAGGTTACAACAACCCAAAGTTGATTGAATTGATGACTACCTCAGAGATGAAGAACGCTTTGGTGAACAGACCAGCTTCTGGTAACTTCCCAGCTGTCGAATTGGACGCTACTCTACAAAAGGTCTTGAAAGTCGCTCCAAAGGGTCAAGACCAAGTTTGGAGTGGTCTAAGTGGTTCCGATGCTAATGAATTGGCCATTAAGGCTGCGTTCATGTACTACGCTCAAAAGAAGCGTGGTGGTGATGCTGTTCCATTCACCCAGGAGGAATTAACCTCCGTTATGGATAACCAAAGTCCAGGTGCTCCTTCCTTCTCTGTGTTATCCTTCAGAAAGGCCTTCCATGGTAGATTGTTTGCCAGTGGGTCATGTACTTGTTCCAAGCCAATCCATAAATTGGATTTACCGGCTTTTGATTGGCCTCATGCCGAATACCCAGCTTACGCTTATCCATTGGACACCCCAGAAAACATCACTGCTAACAAAGCTGAGGACGAAAGATGTTTAAAGATCGTTGAAGACTTGATTGTCAGTTGGAAGTCCCCTGTGGCTGCCTTGTTGATTGAGCCAATTCAATCCGAAGGGGGTGACAACCATGCCTCTGCTTATTTCTTACAAGGATTAAGAGATATCACTTTGAAGCACGACGTAGTATACATTATTGATGAAGTGCAAACTGGTCTAGGTGCTACAGGTAAACTCTGGTGTCACGAATATGCCAACATCCAGCCACCTGTCGATTTGGTCACTTTCTCCAAGAAATGTCAATCTGCTGGTTATTGGTTCCATGACCCATTGATGGTTCCAAACCAACCATACAGACAGTTCAACACCTGGTGTGGTGATACTGCCAGAATGCTGATCTTTGGCGCCATCGGTCAAGAGATTCTAAACAATGACCTTGTTAGTCAAGTTGCTAGGGTCGGTGAATACTTGTTTGCTAAATTGGAAGCATTGCAAGTTCAATACCCTGATTCTTTCAAGAACTTAAGAGGTAAAGGTAGAGGTACTTTCATTGCTTGGGATTTACCAACTGGTGAATTGAGAGAGAAGTTGTTAAAGACTTTGAAGGCCAATGGTTGTAACGTTGGTGGTTGTGCTGAAAAATCTGTTAGATTGAGACCAACTTTGACCTTTGACGAAAAGCACGTAGACATCTTCATTAACGCTTTGACCAAGTCTGTAGCTCAATTGAACAACTAATGTCAGAATAGTTACAACTAGTCTACCCATTTTTTTGCTTATTAAATATTAAACATATATATATATATTTAACCTACCTATAAAAAACTTAAATATTACTGTGATTAAAATCTCTATTCCATGATAAGAATAATAATAAGAAAATCGATGCTCAACCAGAACTAGATCCACTAGTAGAGTTAAGTCGACTCTATCCTGCAAAAAATAAGGATATTGGAGTTTAATCCTTTACTTATATTGCAACTCGATATAAATGTTTGTACCTTTATTTATTATATTTTATATTAATAATTGTATGTATGACTAAAAAATGTGAAATGAAAACAGAAGAAGAGTATATTATATTAATAGATTGATTTTGATTTTGCTTGGAACCACCATGCTCGAGACTATTCCCCAAACAGCTTTCTGACTCTCTTCAACACAGAATCCTTTTCTGGGTCATATGGATGGTCCTTGGATGGAATCTCTAAGATAGCTGGGAATGGCTCCACATAGCTGTCCACTGTGGATCTGATCATGTCGGCAACAAACTGGTTGATCAACAGAATGGCGACATCCTTACGTTCCTGAGTGAACTGGTTGAATTCCATCTCCAATTGTTCCTTTGTAGTCTTATTCTCCTTGTAAACAAAAAAATTCTTATCGTTGGTCTTTGGATCGATTTGACCGATCCCTGCAAGCAGCAGACCGGTAGTGGTATCCTCGTCACCCATCACGGCGATCAGTGTTCTCTTGTCAGACATACTGTTGGTTGTCTATGTACCCTTCTCTATGTCTCCCTTTCCCCAGAATAGTAAACTGTTACCAACTCTTAACTTGCAGCCATCTCTTAATATAGCTCTCTCTTTTATATAATCTCTTGCTGCATCTTTAAAAATATCGAAAATGCCTGAATTTTTCAGAAAAGAGCAGCAACCAAACAAACTGCGCAGCTGATATTAAGAACAAACAAATAGTAATAACTGAAACAAGGAAATGTGGATGAATCTACAGGATAAAAGAACAGAAAAGGGGATATCGATAGGATTTGTTAGCTGCACTGTAGGAGAGTAAAACGAACTGACATCAATTGATACGTTACTCCGCAACATATACAGACATGCTGAAAGGTTTGGCATTTGGAAGTACAGTTACACGTGTGGCCATCGCACACTCTGTGGTTAGACCGTTGACAACGACTGTCCCTAGGTGGTCAGGGCACAATAAATGGTCTACCATTAAGCATGACAAGATGAAAAACGATTCTGCCAAGAACAAGGTGATAAACAAGTATGTGAACCAGATTATGGTAGCAATTAAATTGAAGGATACTCGACTGCAGGCAATAATTGACACCGCAATGAAGGGTAATGTACCTAAGAAAGTAATAGATAATGCTATCAAGAAGGCCTCTGGAGCTGGAGCCACGGAAGGTGCTATAAATATCTATGAAGGTATGGGTCCCGGCGGCGTTGCTCTGATTATAGAGACACAGACCGATAACAAGAACAGGACCGTGGCCTTGGTCAGAAGCCATTTCACAAAATCAAATCTGAATTTGTTGTCAATGGGCTCGTCGATGCATTACTTCGATAAAGTAGGACACATTGTGGTGACGTACCCACAACCTGAGGGAAGTGAACCGGTGGATGAAGGCACCATTTTTGATAAGATCATCGAAGTTGAAGGCGTGGAGGATTTCGAAAAGATTGAAGCACCTGAAGATGAGTCTGCTACCGGACCTGAATATATAATTCTCACAGAACCTTCAATGACCAATAAAGTGGCTAAAGAATTGCAAGATTCTTATGGCTTCGAAGTGACAGAGGCAAACATTGGCTACCAACCTAAATCCGAAATGCAAGTAGACCTCTCACAGAACGAAGATATCAGAAACGCATTCAACAGGTTCATCGATGGTCTCCGGGAGATCGACGACGTCACAGAAGTATACTCCAACGAAACACAGTAAGAAAATGCACACATATTTTTCTTACTCCCCCATACATATATATATATAGATAGATAGATGTATCACTTACATATTCACTCAAAGCAATAACATGTACATAAATTACGAGTTCAACAACCTCCTTCCCCTTCCCCCTTCTATCTCCTGTATTCTGAGCGATGAATAACCTTATATAACCATGTTCAATTGGCAGTTGAACCAGGTTTATAATTGGGCTATTTATAGATTGCTCTGCGGGATTTTCTTCGCAAGCCATGATATCATTGGTTGCAAGTTTTCCTGAACTCATTCTTGGAATCTTTCAGAACCGTCCACTCCCCATGCCTACTTGGTAAAATATGTAATCAAGACAGTCGCATCAAACAATTCTGATTTTATTTTTACTTTTATTTGTTTGTTTGTTTATTTTTAAACGATGTTCTTCTACCAGATACTTTGGATGTGGGTGATTCTGCTTGTTTCGCTGTATGCATATGGCTCTCCCATTCTCTCTCCTTGATGCCTCTTGGACACAATCGCATTACATAACTATATACATGAGATATAACTGATATCTGCTGGAAATTCCGTTCTATTCCTTATTGAGTAAGTGTACCAATTCAGTTATTCTCATCAAAGTATCTTGTTCTGATATATATCATTTATTTTTCGATATCAACCAAACAAAAAAGACAACAAAAAAATAATAAATATATTTTAACTCACTCCTTCAGGTCTGTTAAACTTGATCTCATCTTCTAATTTTGTACAAAACTAAACCGGACAATTCAAAGAACTCAATCCATCCCTCTACTATTTGCTACTCCATCCCGTTATATATATATATCGAAGCTATTTTTGTAATTGCTCCTCTGACCTTCTACCTTCCTCCTCCTTTCATAATAAGGTCTATTATTCTTTTAACAATACAATAGAAGAAAAAAGAAGTTCACTACTTATTTAATATCTAGCCTAGTTATACTTCTATTGTTCTGATTGACACGGTCCATTCCACGCATTTGTTTACGTTTGCATCAGTGTTGTTGATTTATTATATATAAATAAACGAAGGCCAAAATTTTGCCCTAATACATTCGGAAATTCATCGATTCCCCTAGTACTTGTCTTTGATTCAATATTCAGTGGTAGTGTGCACTGTAATCCAGACTTAATAGACTTATAACAAGAAAAAATGCTGTTACTTCGACTTGTTCTTTCTCTAGCGATATTACTCACTGGAACGAGATCACAGGACGTTGTTGCCGATGATTATACAGATAATGCTAATAATAATAATAATACACAGGTTACTGATCCTGGTGTAGCGACAGATGGAAATACTTATCAACAGACATCAGTAGCTAATACAGATGATCCACTCATTAGTAATACAGCCTCACTTCCTGTAACAGGTATAGATACATTTCAATCACTTACCACGCCGGTAACTGAGTTGACTTCAGTATCTTCCCTAATCGATGCCTCGTCAGTTTTTGTTCCATCCACTTCTGAAATATTGTCTTCCTCTATACCATCATCGTCATCATCATTGGTAACCAGTTCTTCTTCCTATATTCCTCCATCGTCGTCTAACATACTCTCATCATTATCCTCATCATCGACATATATTCCGCCAACCTCCTCATCAATTTTATCATCTTCTTCTTCGTCGTACCGCCCATTGCTGCCTTCAATAGTGTCTTCTTCCTCCAGTTCTTTCTCTTCTTCATCCTCCTCATCTTCTACCTATTATGTTATTTCATCATCTACATCTTCGTCGTCGAGTTCTTCATCGTCATCAAGTAGTTCATCTAGATCTACCTCAAGTTCGTCGTCGTCATCATCGTCACAACAACGTTCATCATCCTATTCAAACTCTTCTTCATCTTCTACAACCTCATCCTCGATATCATCAATAACATCATCATCCATTGATGTAACTACCGTTGCTTCTGATAGAAAACGTACATTGACAAGTGTTGTCGAAGGTAGGACGGTTCTTTCCAATTATTACACCACTGTAACACTAATGCCAAGTGCATCAAGTACTGCTAACTCAAAGAAGCATACAAATGGGTCTCTTTCAAAGAAGAATAGAAACATTGTCCTTGGTTGTTGTCTGGGTATAGGGATACCATTGGTACTTATCATTGCTTTATTCATTTATGTTACTTGTATACGGGCCAAAAAAATTGATTTCATTGACTCAGATGGGAAGGTCGTTAGTACTTATAAGATGAACAAATTCAAATTGTTCTGGTATTTCATACTGGGTAAGAGTGTTAATAACATTGAAAATACAGATGATCATCATTCTACTACTTTCAATGAGAAAAATATTAATGATAGATCGGTTTCGCCTGATAATTTCGATAATAGTAGTAGTCAACTTTCAAATAATAGTTTGGTTGATTCTCCATTGAGTAACCAACAAAATTATCAAAGTTTCTTTAATGAAGGGCCATTTAATTCAAACGAACAATATTACAATTTTACGCATGCTCAGGAGGACAGTCCGAACGATAATACTGGTTTTGAATATGATGAGAATTCTAGTTTCGGTAGTCCACAAAATAGTGCAAGCGGTTCAGATTCCCAAAGAGTCTTAAATATCGCTAATCCAAGTTAACATTTATTAGTATTTTTTCGATACATTTCATACACGCATACACATTTACACTGTTTTCAGTTCTTCTTTCAAATAATCTTTTTTAAAAACTTTACAATTGCATACTTTCAATTCTATACACATATTTACATATTTTAATGACATTTTTTAAAAGTATTTTAATATCACTATTTACATTTTGTTTACACAAGTCTTCGGGTTTGCCCTATTTTCCATAAACCTTAGACTAATATTTTTTTTATGTTCTATTGGAATTTTCATATTTTGGTAAAATTTGTTTAAAAGGTGAACACACACAATTTAACTTTGAAATTTTGTGTTTTGGCAAACCATGTCATTTATGAATGATCGGTTTGAATTTTTTTTCACATTCAGTGGAATAGGCTTATTTTATTATTATCAACAATTTCTATTGGTCGTAAATTTTTTATTCTTTTACTCTTTAATTTATATATGCTGTCGCTCTATAAAAAATAGGATTCAGTAGTCAGCAATATTCTAGAGTATTTTCCTATTGGTTTTTAATATTTACATTTATTCAAAGTTCTTGGATAGTATATCTCCTGAGACATTCCCTTTAGTCTCCAACAATCTTTAGAAACTTACTCGTCCATAATCATTGTGTATATATGTTTCTGTTTTGTTTGCAGTGTTGAAGATCGTCCTCCCACCTTTGTTCCGATCGTAAACATACCTTTTTGTGCTTCTAACATGGCTAACCTCCATATGGATATATGTGTTCCCCTTAATAAAATGTTGAAGAATGGCACACCATACATCAACTCATCGAAAGGTGTAAACTTGATATGTTCCTTCTTCCCCTTTGATTTTATCTCAACAGTATTAATGTACACGCTGAGGTGACTCTCGGAGTTTTACCAATCTTGAAACTTTTTGAAGGTTGATGACATTGATAGATATTATAATATATGTCAGAAATTAAGAGTAATATGCACAACACTTAATTTCAATAGGTAAAGAAATACCTTTATGACAGAGAATATCTGGAACCAAGATATCTAAAACGTCCTAATAAGAACTAAACATTTATTAAGTAATAGTCGTTTAGGTCATAATCGTTTAGTAATAAGTTCATTACTTAACAATCGTTTAACCAATGATCGTTTAGGTAATCAGTTTACTACTTAACAATCGTTTAGATATCAATCGTTTAGGTAGCAAGAAGAAATGATATATCGGTAAAATTAAATAATATATAAAGACAAAGAATTCTGAACTTACATTGGAAGTTAGATTCTATTCGTTCTATAAATTATATATAATATAAAGAGACCGATCAATTATCGTATTAAAAAATGTCCGAATTAAATAAAGTAAAGCTTGAAGAGACTAATAGAGGCAAACACTCTATCTCAGATTATCTACAGGAACGAATACTGTAAAATATAGCGGCAGCACTAAAAAGGCTAACATTAGCTTAACCTACCTGAAGGGGAAGACAGCTAATATAAGTAGAACTCTGTTTAACACAACACATTCTGTTTGCTTCAGTTCAGGAATCTATTATTGGAATCTATTCTTATGTTTATAATAGTTTTATATTCAATACTTTCAGATACCACGATTCCAGAAATTAAATCCGTGATAGTTTAATGGTCAGAATGGGCGCTTGTCGCGTGCCAGATCGGGGTTCAATTCCCCGTCGCGGAGTATTTTTGGTTTCAGATCCTCATTTTTTTAATTTTTAACTTCAGTTTTATTTCTCCCATCCTCTGCTTTGAGTTCTTTTTAGCTTGGCAAAAATTTACTACTTGTTCTGTACTTTTGCTCTTATCAATAAACAAAAATATTCTAAAATATAGTTCATCCGAATAGTTCGTCATTCTCTGAAAACTCAAAAATGGAAATAGATTAATTATTTTATATTAATATCACAATAGATACTTTCCTAAAATAACCTAGCAAACAATCGTACCAGAATAATTATAATGTAATATTTTATTCTTTCTGGTGCTCTTACTTTATATAAATGGACAAAAAGAAAATTATAAATACTTTACAGTGGCTTCTCTGGTATTTTGTAATTGGTACCAATAAGTTAATGTTGACAGAATTTTGTAAAAATTATAGAGCTGCCCTCTTTGATTATATGTATTCTTAAAATTTGGTTAAAAAGTATTTATTTAATAATGACTGTGAATGGTCGATAGTCATACCCTTAAACATCAGAATTGGTAAACTGTATTACATAAAACAATGAGGTTATAATTTCCAATTAATTGCTAATTATAACAATGATAAAAATAAACAACTTTTTTTTTTAGTTAACAGCAATAGTCTTCATCAAAGTAAAAAGAAAACTGAAAACTTGAGCCATTAGTATCTATATTTATAAATGCTATACAAAATTCTAGTAAATTTTATCAATTAAAAAAAGATAAAATCTATTAAGAAAAATAAATAAATTCAAAATGAGAATTTTATTACTTTAAAATACCCAGTAAAATTAAAATCATCAAACGATAAGAAAGAGAAGGGGTTCCAACGGGCAGATTCGCACCAAGAAATGGGAGACCAAGGGAGAAAACTTTGGGGGAAATGGAACAAGTTCCAGGAAACGCAGGTTAGCTGAGGACTGGTATTTCTATCCTCTTGTACGAACAACCTTAGCACGTCACAAAATGATCTCGATAATTTTGGAAAACGAATTCTGCCATACAAAACTCTGCCCGAGCTTCAATTGTTGGAAGTCACCCTGACCAGGAACTCAGGACTGCAGAAACTGGAATCGTGCAAAGTGAGTGGCCAAATCCACCAGGAATGGGACCATTCAACCTCGAAAACGGGGGTTTATTACGGGCACATCCACACCATTAAAACCCTCATCAAGACGAGAAACTGCGAGGCAGAATCGACATTTTTGTCGAGTTTCGGTTCAGGCAGTGTGACACAAAATGATCTCGATAATTTTGGAAAACGAATTCTGCCATACAAAACTCTGCCCGAGCTTCAATTTTTGAGAAGTCACCCGGACGTGGACCTTGGGACGCATAAATACATGGCAAAGTGTGACACCTTGGCTTGCTTGTTATTAAAGAAGCTCTATTTATTTGGAGATGCTACTTAGAATATATATTACGTCTTAGTTACATTTGGTGAGTTAAGTGCTCAATATATTCAGGCAGTTTGCTCATACCAGCGTTATTTCAAGTAATTATTGATTTTCGATGCAGACAACAACAATGAATAGATCTCTCCATACCTGTGGTGATGCATTTATTATGATTCCAATTATGGGATGCACATAATTTATATAGTTAACAAGTGTGTATATCATTCAATACACGATACATATTATTCTCAATTACATAATATTAAAGTTAGAATGTGGTACTCCAATTAAGTTAAATTATTGGAGATAAGTTAATTACTCACGATAATGGCACACATGGGACATGCATTTTGTTAAGAAAAGAAAAGAAACTATTGAAAAGTGGTATTTATATATAAAGAAGCAGCATGTGAAATTATAAAGGACTAAAACTACCATGTGAAGATTAAATACACAAAGAGAGAGCCAAAAACTAGAATGTGAAAGTATAAGATGGTCAATGAAGCATGTGAAAGACTTAAAACTATATATAAAGAGCCTGTGAAACGTCTGGTTTGTGAGTTTTGCTGTTACTTTCTTGGTGACGCAGTAATAATTTATGACGCCAAAAAATATTGAGACGTCTTAGTACGAAAATATGCAGGATGGAAAAATAACCTAGTATATATATATATATATATAGACCAATTATACAACGGCTTAATATGATACGTAAATTGAGAAGTTATGTAAAAACCATTTCTAAGTTTTTACTATATTTTAGGTGAAATCGGTATGATCAAAAAAACTCAACTATTTTTAAGTCTATTGTATCATTCTTAAAAAAGAATTGGAAGCCATGAATATTATGACTCTCTGCTTCAGAAAACTTTAATTTAGGTTGAGGTACTTGTTTCAGTTTTTATTAGAAATTAAACTTAAAGGTTTGCTTAAGATAAGTTCGTAATATCATTGTTTTATTGCGATACTATAGTCTATGGTTTAAGGAAGTCACAAATATTATTTGAGACCTATACTTTTAAAATATTTAAATTTCTAACTTATTTATCTATAAGCTTCCTTTTGTTTTGATATGGAACTAAAACTAAGACTGAGACTAAAACTCTCCACATGAAAATGTGAGTATACAGATATCAATATCTATTAGACACTTGAACTCTCTATATCGCAATCAAATAATTTTTGGGGTACCCCAAAGGAGACTTTCAAAATGATAATATATTTCGTAATTGATGAGAATTTCTCTATTAATGACTATCTAATTGAGAAAATCATGACATCTATATATATTGTCGAATACTTGCTCTTTAGCATATTGACTGATAACCCATTAAATATTTTATCTTATTTTCTCCAAATACATAATCAATCATTATTTTTCTTTTTCTCAATTACTTCACACATGAATGAGAATATTTAGATTACAATAATTGGACCGATACACGAGTTTGATTAGCTTTGGCATTCCTCAATTCTACTAAAAAAATACTTCTTTATAAATATAAGAGTAAATATTTGTAGTACATTTCCATATTTTCTCAAAAATATCTTTCATTAAAATGATTCCAGATGAATGCATTCAAGTACATGGTATTTGTTATAGATGGCTTGGTTTCATAAGAACCAAAGGACTAATTGTCATATCGAACAAGATATAAACAGTTATAAGACATGGGTACTGCATCAGTGATCCCAAACTCAAATTCAGGAGTAATACAGGAAATACTATTTAAAATGAACGTGAATTGAATTATGGATTTGAATACTGATTTAATCTTGATTCAGATAAATAAATTTTGTTTCAAATTTAGTTATCAACTGAAATTGGAAACGCTAAAGTGTGTTATATACAAGATTTTAATTGCTGTTATTTAAGGATTCAAATAAAGGATTACAGACGACCATTTTAGACTACTGAATGACGTAAATTGACAATAAGGTTCCCTCCATGATATTCTTTTATGTCTGACTCAAGTTACCTGACATAACTACGCGAAATTTTTCAGTTGAAAAGAACATCGAAAGAACCAAGTAACATATCCTTCCTCATAACGACATTAAACAAATAAAATCATATAACAATGAGTTACTTACACATATAACCTGTGCACTATATATATAATGAATATAGATGGTAATATTATCTATAAATGCCGTCAAGGTAATTTCATACATTGCTTTTGCTCAATTGGCAAACATTTAATAATTGCCGAATCACCTATTGATATCCCAACTAACATCGAACTTCATTACGTCAGTGAAGCAACACCTGATAAATCAACTTTAATAAGTGATGATATACTGACTGCAAAATATAAGGATGTTGCATCCCGTACCCAGATCATTAAGAATATATTCATAGCTGGATCTAAGTCTATATATCTGATAGTAAATCTCTCTGATGGTGTGCAAGTATTTCCTTTCATACGGAAAGAAAACGTTGTTACAAATCAAAATGAAGCGATAGAAAATGTCAAGTGGTTCTTACCCAATGTACATGATACAGTTCAAAGTCTGACCATAATGACAGAGACCGATGTGAGTATTGATTTTACTGTGGGGACCGTCTTAGGCCATATTTATAGTGTTCGCTATGAAATTATGAATCAATGTTTTCTAGTTCTCAAGGATTTCCAAAAATGGGAGAGTATTACTCAAGATTCTATCAATTGTGTCAAGAGTGACGGACACGAATTAGTTATTGCATCATTTGATAATTTTATATATTCAATTATTGATAAGAAATGCGAATCCCAACATATTAATGTTGATGTTTCCAATAAACTCGAAAACTTCAAAGAGAACACATTAGTTTATGTAGACTTTTTGAAGGTCAAGAAGTATTCTACATCTTATATTCGGTATTATTTGGCAAATGTTAATAATTTCGGATGTATTATTTACCGAAGGAGTATACGTGGACAATGGGAAACTCTACAACTGTTACCCAGGGACCTTAATCAAAATGAAGAAGAGGTTACACCACTGATTGACTGTATCATAGAAAAAGGATCTAATAAGGATGAAGTCATTTTACTTAGCGGAGGTGAACATGGGAAATTATATGTTTGGGCTTATAATTATAAAGTCAACGAAATAACTTCAACAAAAATATACAATGTGCACGAAGCTGGTCTTGTGCACAACCTCATATTAACAGACCACTCTAAAATAACTTACTTGACAAATAATGAGACGTCTATTAATATATTATATTTATAGAACTATGTAATGTTTATTACAATATGCACTTAAATGATTGAATGAATTATGCTATTTACGAAAGTTAACATCCTTCGAATAATTGATCAATTTCTTTGATCACATCGACATGAATAATGTCACCTTTTTTAGTTATAAGGGATCCTTTCTTGAATATTTCTGGTTCATTGTTGTAATTAATACCACAGTCAGTAAACAATATTTCTTGTTTTTCAGAGCTTACTGTACCAGATAATCTGTTCTCTGACTCCTGAGCCGTCATTCCACATTTGAGTACTAATTGCCAGAATGCAGTATTGTATAAATTATTAATATGAGTATCCACAAATCTCCAACTTAAATAATCTTTTACAATTGGAAGAGAAGGATACAGGACACATCTAGCATCAAAATATGGTAAATGTTTTAAATCCAATGGTCTATCTGTGAAAAATTTAGGCCATAGAGCTACATAATTAGAGGTAAATAATGATCCAAATAAGGTAGCTAACTTGTCACTTCTTCTATTAAACAGCACACTATCTTTACGTAAAATGAAGGAGTATTCATCACTCTCACCAAATGCAAGAATCATATCACTTTTATATTTTAATACCACATTCTTAGCACTTGCATTCATCAACTTCAATGCCCTGATATCATTAGGCTTATCAAAATCATAAAACTTGGAAAATTCGTGGAACTTCTTACCGTCTACTCTTACCACTATATAGGTTTGAGGTAGTAACACATCGTGACTCTCAAATTGTCTAACGTATTCAAACTTTGAATTGGCCATTACTCAATTAAAACTATTGATGGGGTATGTGTATAGTTAGGGATAATCAACAAGGAAGTAACGTCCGAACTACGAAACCAATCACTTGTATTCACAACCGATGAGTTTCAAATCCATAAGTTCTAAGTAGATAATAAATATTGAAATTTTCAGTTAATCACGAAGCTAATGTCTCACTGAAGGAGTACGTGCAAAGTGACACATCTCTATAATTCCGTGACAAGGGGAGAGAGCCCATCCCCTTCTGAAAACAAATAGGAACCAATGACATTTTCCTAGGGGAGATGAAGAATTAGCATTAGACAGATATATTGACAAGAATAAAGGGAAGTTGGAACATTTTAATGAACCATTGAAGTATTTAAATTTTAGTTCAAAAAAAAGTTTAACAACCATTGTAAACAAAGAAGTTAAAGGTGCAACCTCATAAAACAGATATCCAATACATTATAATATATCGATGGCAAGTTCAATACAGGTAATAAGAAAGAAAACCAAGGCTGCTAAAGTGGCGGATCCCTTAGCCAAACAGAAATTAATTTGGACTACTGGTCATCTTTTAACCCTCACATGTGGTCTAATCTTTTCAATTACATATTTCTTCCATGCATCAATCTTTTTCAAATATCGTTCATGGAAATGGTTATTCCTTAGAGTCAACAAAAATTATGTCTTTTTTGAAGGAACAAGATGGTATGATAAACTATTGAAGTGGACACCTCAAATTTTATATAGATTTGCATTAGTCGGTGTCATAATGGCTAATGGTATTACGATGCATCAGAATTGGTCGCATTTAAATCCAACCTGGTTTGATCTTTTAGCTGCAGAAAATTTCCAAAGTTTATCTGTAGCTGGACTATGGTTAATTGGTGGCGGTAAATCGTTTTATAGATTACTACCATTTATGATCTTAAGTTATATGCATTTAACCAACAGGAAACATGAATTCACTTCAGATAATAAGAAGATTGATGAGCAAAAAAGTATTGACAATAAACATTTGCTACACATTGTAGCATACTCCGAAATTATTGTTATTATGGCCTTAAATTTGGATACGTTATTAATGAAGAATGGGTCTGCTGGATTTTTATTAGTAGCATATACTAGTATCTATTGGTTACGTCTAAATTTCTCTGCCTATGCTCAAGTAACAGTTTTAAGAATTCTTGATAAGTTTGATAAAAAGGTACCAGCTAAACATAGAGCAAAATGGGACAGTATCAGAAACTTTTTGTATTCCAAGATTAAAGAACGTTCAGATCGTAGAGAGAAGCTTTTACGTAAATAATCAAAACAAATCAAATTTATTTTTTTGAAATGTTATATATATAAATATATATGAACTATTAACACACATTCACGTAGTTAAAAACAACAACATCGACTGACAAATATTCGTTTTGAATACACTTCTTAATTTTATTTTATATGGTTAAAGGGTTGTATTATCTTAAATTTATTTATATAATATTAACGTTATGTAAATTACATTGCAAATCCCCGCGTTTATTCAGCAACAGCTCTGGTGTAGATTTGTTGAGTGGAGTGCTTGGAGATTGGCTTGATGATACCTCTCTTTTCTAGATCTCTTAGAGCAACTCTAGCTAGAGAACCACCTAGCTTTAATCTGTCGACCATAACAGAGACGGAAATGTATCTGTAAGTTGGGACTTCCTTTAGGATTCTGTCCAACTTTTCTTGGTCTAGGATGACGGCGTGAGCAGCCTTGTCCTTATGGGACTTCTTGGACCACTTCTTCTTAGACTTCTTACCACCGGCCATAGCGGCAGCGGCTTTGGCAGCTTTAGAAATTTGTTGCTTTGGAGGCATGATTAATTTAGTTCTGTTTAAAAAGGACTTATAGGTAACAATACACTTGTGAAGAGTATATTACAATATTATTATGTTAGTAAAAAAATGGAACAATCTTAAGGGGGTAATAGAATCTCATCACAATGAAGGGATTCTATAATTATTGATAGAGGAGAAGTAACAATGTAACTTTACTATAATATATAGAAGATGGACAAATAATCTTATCACTAGTCGACTTCCTATTTATATCCATGTTGAAGAATCTTGAATTAAAGGTTTAACAAATTATTATCTAACGCAATACGGAATAAAACTAAACTATCTGTTGCTTAATCATAATATTTCATCTCTTTCTCTTGATAGTCATTCATTTTAGTGTCTAACTTTTCTGGTCCTGTTTAATATATCGATAACATTACTATTCCCACTAATCCTCCTATCTGTATAACTCATTAATTTACATACGCTTTGGCTTACTCTCTTTTATTCAAGTGAAAGACAACTACAACTTATAAAAACATAACGTATAATATATATAGATACACCAAAGTTTTTACTTATATCAAGTTACAAGAAACTATTAGTATTCGAGTGGAAACCTTACAAAGTGAACAACAGTAAGACCAGATGCTTTACAGAACTTACGAGGTTATGGAGGATTACTGAGTAGTGTTAGAGGTAAGGATATGAAGCCAGCTGTGTTACAACGTGCAATCCTTGATGGTAAGCACACATAGAGAAACAATGAAAAGTTATTATTTTCGCTGTTTCATGCGATGTTCCAAATTGAAAGAGTGAATATTTGGGCTGTTTGTTTAACAAATCCCGCAGAAGCGGAAGGAAGCGAGGAATATGAAAAATATTTTTTTGATTTTTTAAAAATTTGAAAATATTTTTCATATTTGGTTTTGGATGTGCGGATGTTGGACAGAATGTGTGGGTGCTAGTCCAAACGAAGCGTCTTTGATTTTTGGAGTTTTGCTAATTGCCAAAGGTCCTCTTTGATAAAGGTCCTTGTAATATAGCTACAACGAGCCCTTGGAATGAGAAAGAAGCAACAGAAGGTTGCTAGATATTCTACAAGTTGACTGCTTAATTTGGGTAGTAGGTGGTAGCGTATTTTAATTTGTCATTGTAACAGAAAAAGGAAATTGCTGCTGTTCCAGTTTCTCTATACATACCACTATAGTACAGCTATTAGTTACTTCGATCATGTCAAGGAAATTCGATTTTAAAGCATTTGTTGATCTCTCTGTTTTGGTGGGTACAGGTGTATCGTTATGGTATCTTCTACGACAGTTACGTAATGACGTACAAGGTGGTCCCATAGGAAGATCAAAGGAATCTAAAGAGAAAGAGATAACCCAATGGACAAAACTAACCGAAAGAAATGCAGAACTCATAGATACGGAATTAAGTGCATATGAACATGCTATTCTAGCATCTGTTGTTATGCCTCAGGATATTGATGTTTCGTTTAGTGATGTTGGTGGATTAGAAACTATAATTACTGATTTGCATGAAAGTGTGATATTCCCGTTGACCATGCCTGAAGTATATGCAAACTCACCTTTATTGAAAGCACCAAGTGGTGTCTTGTTATACGGCCCTCCAGGATGTGGTAAAACAATGCTTGCAAAAGCACTAGCTCATGAAAGTGGTGCTAATTTTATTTCAATTAGAATGTCCACCATTATGGATAAATGGTACGGTGAATCCAATAAAATTGTAGAGGCTATCTTCACTTTGGCTAATAAAATCCAACCATGTATTATATTCATCGACGAGATCGATTCATTCTTGAGAGAAAGAAGTCAAAGTGATCACGAAGTCACTGCGACAGTGAAGGCCGAGTTTATGACCTTGTGGGATGGTTTATTAGGGAATGGACGTGTGATGATTATTGGAGCTACAAATCGTCTAAATGATATAGATAGTGCATTTCTCAGAAGAATGCCTAAACGGTTCATGGTATCACTACCTAGTCTTGAACAAAGAAGGAAAATCTTGCAAGTTCTATTGAAAGATACAGAAGTAGACAATGAATATTTCGATATCAATGCAATAGCGATGAATACAAAGGGCTTGTCAGGTTCTGATCTTAAAGAATTATGTAGAGAAGCAGTATTGAATGCTGCTAAGGAATACATAAGGAAAAAGAGAGAAATAATAGCAAATGGAGGATCTTTATCCAAAGACGTAGTGATAAGGCCGTTAAGATCAACAGATTTTTCAGTTATTAAGAAGGATGCACGTATGGAAATCGGTTCACATGGGTTGGATTAAACCGACATCGTTCATATAGATCCGTTTGTAAATACCATTCCTCTAAACTAAATCTAATATTCAATCATATATCAAATAGCACCGAAAAGCCTAACTAATATACATCATTAAGCTTAAAATCTAATATGAATAAAGTTCTTTTTCGTTAAAACGAAGTGGCTTTGCCTTTAACGGAACGGATTTCTTTATCCCTTCTGATATATTTCATATACGAATATAAAGATATTCAAAACGTTATAGATATATATAGAGAAGAACACAATACTCATCTTACATCAAAACAGGGGGAGCGTTAAATATGTCGAATGAAACCCCAGATAAAGGGTTGACTCTAAAATCCATTTTATTCAATGAGAATGGTAAATTGTATGTACACTTCGAAACATTGAAAACCTAGTACTGCAACCAAGTACTAACAATAGCAACTAAGCCTGTTCTCCCGAGTGGAGAATAGTTTCACATCCACTTCATATCTAGCTGTTTACCGTGCACTCTTTACAAATCATTTCAATATATATCTGGAAGCACTATGGATCCTTCAATAAGTTCAACACCGACTCGAGATGACGTAATTATTAAACAAAGTCCTGCACTTCCCTCGGTACCAAGAAGTGATTTGATACCTGGCTCAAGAACCTATGTCAAGGAAGATCCTCCAGATGTAAATAAGTTAGGATCTGCATCATGGACGTTTCTACATGCGATGGCTGCAAAATATCCTGAGAAACCAACGCCACTTCAACAGGAAGAAATGACAGATTTCTTAAACATCTTCTCACATGTATATCCATGTTTCTGGTGTGCTAAGGATTTTGAAAAATACATCACCGAAAATGCACCAAAGGTGAAGTCTCAAGAAGAGCTAAGTACTTGGATGTGTCAGGCACACAATAAAGTTAACAAGAAACTTGGAAAAGCACAATTCAATTGTGATTTCTGGAAACCAAGATGGAAAGAGGGTTGGGATGAACAAGAATAAATATTAACGTTTGTAATGAATTCAACTCTATATGTATAAAATAAACTTCAGAAAAATTCCTTTATTATACAACTTAATTTACTTGTTATGTCAACCCTAATAATATATAGTTATTTTCACTACGGGTTGTAATTGGATCAAAATTTCGATGAGCCTTTCTCGTCAGCATACTCTTTTTTTCCACATATATAAACTACGCATTTTATGAAAATGGAGAATATAAAACCAACTTTTCGTTTCACTCTTGTTAAAGATACAAGTTAAATATTCAATACAATTAAAAGATGCAAATATCCATTGCTGTACGACTAGATTTGACTAATGTAAATGTGAAATAACAAGGATTTCTGAGCTTAGCAGGTGCTAAACTAACTAATTCTGTTTTATCTTTCAGTTTTGAATTCACTATGTTTGGTCAATTTATCTGTTGACATATCGGCCTCTTCGAAGATTGATGAACTTGGTGTAATAGCCAGATAGTTTGTTGATTCAAAGCGAGGCCCATAAAGAAGACTCCATTGAACAATACGTTGTTTGGTGATTCATTGAGTATAATTTCAACAAATAATATTTGAACGAATGCAATAAAGTAGAATCGTAAAGTTTTCTATTTTTATATGACTCAATGATACATACTTTTATATACATACATATCTTGCTAAAATTATAAATAGATCCTGTAGTTGATAGGTGTATTATCACTCATATATCTATATTGATGCGTTAGATGTTTGGGAATGCAAAAGGTCTCTTTATTTATTGGTTTGTAAACATGTTTTGGTCGTTTTCAAATACAGGTGATGTTAACGAGGCAGAAACAGTTATAAATGTGATCAATATAGGTACTATAGTTTTCTTCTCCAACAATTCATTTCTACCTTCCTCTACAGTCTTAAACATTGCCATTTTAGTCCATTGATTGATTTTGACATTATCCTTCTCTGTTTTAACTTTCTTGAATATCTCAACAATGCTCAGTAACTTCTGTAAATGTGGTCCATATGAATATATACAAATAAAATGATTTTCCGAATCCTTTTGACATAGTCTATCTACTACCTTCTCAATACTACTATTTTTCGAAATCTTATTGAATATTATCTTCTCCTGTAACGTAGGGTCATCTCGTAATAAGTCAGGAATGATATGCTCTTGAATAAAATTTAATGTATTTGAAGTAGAACTCAATTCTACGGGTATATCTGCACCCTTATATTGAACTGTCATAACTAGGGTCTTCACTTCCGGTGCTCTTGATATAATATAGCTTGTCGAGTTTCAACATCCTATAAATGATGCAAACCTCTTCTGCTTCTATTCAATTCAAATTCATCTCTTATTCTGATTAAGCCAACCTTTCTTTGACTGCTCAATTGAAAACACCCAGACATGCTCTCAAATTTTTAATTTTTTACCTTTTTTTAAAAAACAAATTGATTTTATTTTTCGGATTTTTTAGTCGCGAAGAATTCTGGTCGGACCTTTGACAAACTAAATAATTTTTCGAATTTGGTGAATATTGATTGCTTCACCATCAGTAGAGACAGAGGAACAACATGCATCGGTCAATCATCTTTAAAATGAATAAGATGTCATTTGTATTTAAGAGTAGAACAGTTACAATTCTATATTTTACATTATTAATTAATGTTTAAAAGAACCACAGGAAATCCTTTAAACATCCTAACAAGTTAAAATACATTGAAATGGGAGGCATTCGTGAAAAGAAAATTGAGTACTTCGCTAAGTTCAGATCTTACCTAGAAGAATACAAGTCTATCTTCATCGTTGGTGTCGATAATGTTTCTTCCCAACAAATGCATCAAGTCAGAAAGGCTTTGAGAAACAGAGGTGTTGTTCTAATGGGTAAGAACACCATGGTTAGAAGAGCTATCAGAGATTTCATCGCTGACTTACCAGACTTCGAAAAGTTACTACCTTTCGTCAAGGGTAACGTTGGTTTCATTTTCACCAACGAATCTCTACAAGATATCAAGGACGTCATTGTTTCCAACAAGGTTGCTGCTCCAGCCAGAGCTGGTGCAGTTGCTCCAGAAGATATCTGGGTTGAAGCTGTCAACACCGGTATGGAACCAGGTAAGACCTCTTTCTTCCAAGCTCTTGGTGTCCCAACCAAGATTGCCAGAGGTACCATTGAAATTGTTTCCGATGTTAAGGTCGTTAACGCTGGTACCAGAGTTGGTGCTTCTGAAGCCGCTCTATTAAACTTGTTGAACATTTCTCCATTCACCTATGGTCTAACTGTCGTTCAAGTTTATGACAACGGTCAAGTCTTCCCAGCTTCTATCCTAGATATCACTGATGATGAATTAGTCGGTCACTTTGTTTCCGCTATCTCCACTGTCTCTGCTATCTCTCTAGCTATCGGTTACCCAACCTTGCCATCTGTCGGTCACACTTTGATCAACAACTACAAGGACTTGTTAGCTGTTGCCATTGGTTCCGGTTACCACTACGCTGAAATCGAAGACCTAGTTGACAGAATCGAAAACCCAGACAAGTACGCTTCTGCTGCTCCAGCTGCTGCCGCTGCCTCCGCTTCTGCTGATGCCGGTGCTGAAGCTGCTGCTGAAGAAGAAGAAGAATCTGAAGACGATGACATGGGTTTCGGTCTATTCGATTAAGAAAAGAACTCTAATTAATTAAATATATATATATATACATGTATAGTACTTTTTTATTATAACTCTTTCTTTATCTTCTAATTCGATACATTTTTTTTTGTTGAAAATATATTTATATTTGAAATGAAATTTTAAATATTGATAAGGGGATATTTGTCAACGATGAGCAACAAGATAAATAAACATACATAATGTTCAAATTAGGTGCGAAAAGGGTTCATATTAATGGAACATTTCAAAGAAATATTATATTCAATGCCGTTAGGTTTCAAAGTCAAGCTGTTAAACTTTCATATGATTTGATAACCCCGACTAACAACAATGGCAATTTAAAGAAGAATCCATTGGTAATAATGCATGGCTTGTTAGGGAATAAGATGAACAATAGAACCTTAGCTCGACTTTTGAAGGACCAATTGAGCAAAGCTGTATATCTTGTAGATCTGAGAAACCATGGTGCTTCGCCACATATTTCACCCCACGATTATGATGGAATGTCTGATGATATTTTAAAGTTTATTAAAGATCATGAATTGGAAGAACCGATACTTATAGGTCATTCGATGGGTGCTAAGGTTGGTATGGAATGTGTTCTTAAAGATAAAGAGAGTGCTTCGATATTGGTATGTTTGGATAATGCCCCTATATTTACTGCTCCGAATGGAAAATATGCACAATATATCACTAAATTACAACAAATATGTGCGAACGCTACCATACAAACATTGAAAGAAGCAGATGATATGCTAAGTACAATCGAACCCAACAAATTTATTAGAGGGTTTCTATTGACTGTATTGAAGAGATCAAAAAATAATGAAGGGCAATGGCAATTTACTTCTAGAGTACCTTTGAATATCGTTAAGGACGCAGTAATAAAAGGTAACATATCTGGTTGGACACTTGATGCCCGTAACTATAGATGGTGTAAACCTACTTTGTTCATCAGGGGCACAGAATCTATCTATATTGCTGATGAATATATTCCAGCAATCGGATTATTTTTCCCTAGTTTTGAGATTAGAGATGTTAAGGCAGGGCACTATTTAAATGCTACAAATCCTGATGAATGTGCAGGTTTAATCACCGAGTTTGTAAAAAGACATGAAGAATAGATCAAGGTGTCTACTCTAGGTCGACTTCCATAATTTGTTGATTGACCTATGGACTATTTACTACCTGTAAATATAAAAATAGCATGGAATATCATATATAATGATTTTTACAAAGGAAATAATGAGCAGAACACAATTAAAATGTTGTAGTATGAAAGTGTGCTAACTACCCTCCCAAATATATTGCTATTTAAGAAAACTGAAGATGTCACATTTTTTAGGTTATAAATGAAGAAATCAATTGATTCCATTATTCCAAACTTTTAACAGAAGTAGCCTGATATACATATGAAACCCGGCGTCATTTCAAAAACAACAATAATTAATATATTCCAACACTCATGTTATAAGTAATTAGTGACGTATATCAAAAAAATTGAGTTTTTGGTGAGAACCTGAATACCTAATCCTCCAGAAATGAAGAATACGGAATAAAATTTATCTACGAGAATTTTATCCAGAGTATGAGCCCAGTGGTGATAGTTTTGTAATGATTGAAAACTGTGATATTGGGATAGAGTATATATTCCTCTTCATTATATTTTTTGCATAAATCATAATTTGTTATAATATCACATATAAATATCAGAAACTACTTAATGTTACAATATAACACTATGCCTTCTTCAATCAAAAATTTACGTATAAGTATGAAACTTCATAAAACGTTCTTTGAAAAAATATTTATATGACTATTATGATAAAAGAATAAATATATTTACTAAAATAATTAAACCATAGTTATTATGTACTCAAGTGAGAAAGTAATGTTAGATATCAAAAAACTTTAAAATCTAAACAAAGAAAAACAAATTCCCGGTAGCAATTAAAATCATCAAACGATAAGAAAGAGAAGGGGTTTCAACGGGCAGATTTGCACCAAGAAATGGGAGACCAAGGGAGAAAACTTTGGGGGAAATGGAACAAGTTCCAGGAAGTGCAGGTTAGCTGAGGACTGGTGTTTCTATCCTCTTGCACGAACAACCTTAGCACGTCACAAAATGATCTCGATACTTTTGGAAAACGAATTCTGCCATACAAAACTCTGCCCGAGCTTCAATTGTTGGAAGTCACCCGGACGTGGGCCTTGGGACGCATAAATACATGGCAAAGTGTGACACCTTGGCTTGCTTGTTATTAAAGAAGCTCTATTTATTTGGAGATGCTACTTAGAATATATATTACGTCTTATTTACATTTGATGAGTTACGTGCTCAAGATATTCAGGCAGTTTGCTCATACCAGCGTTATTTCAAGTAATTATTGATTTTCGATGCAGACAACAACAATGAATAGATCTCTCCATACCTGTGGTGATGCATTTATTATGATTCCAATTATGGGATGCACATAATTTATATAGTTAACAAGTGTGTATATCATTCAATACACGATACATATTATTCTCAATTACATAATATTAAAGTTAGAATGTGGTACTCCAATTAAGTTAAATTATTGGAGATAAGTTAATTACTCACGATAATGGCACACATGGGACATGCATTTTGTTAAGAAAAGAAAAGAAACTATTGAAAAGTGGTATTTATATGTAAAGAAGCAGCATGTGAAATTATAAAGGACTAAAACTACCATGTGAAGATTAAATACACAAAGAGAGAGCCAAAAACTAGAATGTGAAAGTATAAGATGGTCAATGAAGCATGTGAAAGACTTAAAACTATATATAAAGAGCCTGTGAAACGTCTGGTTTGTGAGTTTTGCTGTTATTTTCTTGGTGACGCAGTAATAATTTATGGCGTCAAAAAATATTGAGACGTCTTAGTACGAAAATATGCAGGATAGAAAAATAACCTAGTTTATAAGCTCCTATTAATTGTATTGATGTGTTTAACACTATAAGATAACAGGATGTTATTTTATATTTCTAGTAATTTTTATGGTGTTGTTATATGTTACCGAACTAATGAAAACGAATCAAAATTGAATCTCTTAATATCACTAGAGGGTTCATAATATTTCAAATGATTTGAGTTACTAAATTACGTAAGGTAAATATAATTTATAAAACATCACAATTAGGTATGTTATATTAAAAATGGGTCAAATATTCAGATTTTGGAAAATTTTTACAGTGAACAGAGTCTGTCACTTTCCAAATCCGATAACACTCTACGGTCATTTCTAAGCAATCTCAGCAAGTCGGAAATTTATAAATACTAATAGTTCATACAATCACATGACATTTAAGCAATAGTGACGCAAACATCAATTAAATCACGGAAAATAAATATAGAGACATTAGTTATATAGTGTGACACTATCCTGATTCACAGGTAAAAGCACGCAAGATAGACCAGTTAATCGGTTAATCGGTTCCGATAATTAAAGAGAAGTCTCGAAACTTTTATTAATTTTTGAATTAAAGATTGAATAAATCATTGTTGTATGGTGATTGTTAGATTATAAACCTCAGACAACGGATATAATGAATAGATACAAGTATCAATATTTTATCTCGTTGTTTTTCCCAGTTTCAAGAATACATATCTGTATATGTTGGACGATGCCGATGCAAATAAGGGACTTTTTTTACCCTATGATAGGTAATCCATACATTATTTATCGCTTTGACTAAGAAATCTAACCCTTTGGATATCTACTTTCTCGTCTATCATTACTATTGAATATCAATCAATTAATATATCTCGACCAGCTCTTTCATCATATAGGGAAAGAAATGGAAACGCGACGCGAAATATTTCTGTTATTTTCTTCAATCCAGTGAAAACACTGGAGGAACTTTACAATACATGGCAAAGGGCTAGACTTACTATTCAAAAAAGAAAAGAATAGTGTTCACTTCAATTAATGCAACAATACATATACCCTATTGCAATGTATCAATCATATCTCTTCTCTACAGTTCCTTATTGCAGGGTGCAAATAACAATATTATGTAATAATTCTACACAGCCACATACTTCATACACAAACAATTAAAGAAAAGAGATGTAGAATAAACAAATCAACACACTTGCATCAATGGTTGGAAATTGTATGAATCTCTTGAGAAAAAGTATGATTCCAAGTAATCTTAATATTTTGTTTGGCAGGTTCTGTTAGAAGCGACTGCATGCATATATTTTTGATCCAAAAATATAATATATCAAACTCCCGTAACTTTCTTCATCCTACAAACAATCAGATAAAAATCATGATCAAGAACACTGTAATACCAACAACCCACAAGCAAGAATACATACCCACAAACATTCACGTCTCTTCATCATCATCGCCTCCATCTCATAGGCTATAGATGGGTTATATAATATCGATCGATATTCTTTTCTCTATTTTTAAACGGAAAAACCGAAATTTCGCGGCCAAAAAAATTTTCGCGGCGATTTTTTCGATTTCCGTTTGATTTCCCTTTTTCACATAGTAAATGAATATATGCAGCCTACATAATAACGATATAACTGAGTGTTCTGGCTGTTGATCCGTCTCACGTAATTAATTATCTCTAAGCTATTGTATCATCTACTCCAGTTGAAACTGTTTTGTTGTCTATATTTTAGATACTATTTATTTAACTAATTCTTCTTGTTAAGCTGATATATATTACATTTCTTAGTGCATATCGCTCTCTTTTTTAGTGTAACCAAGACAGAGCGTTAAAGCCCCAGAATTTTACGTTTTATTTTTTTTGCTTTCCTAATATTTTATTTTTAACCAATTTCATACATTTTTGATTTGAAAAAAAATAAAATAAAACAAGATTAGCAGCAACAGAGAGGTTGATTATTTCAAGTTTAGACTCTTCAAGGACTTGTATCCACTCGAACGTTTATTAACCATTGTGACAATATACATTTGATACAGATACGAAAACCTGAAATATAATCATGTCTGGCCCTCCAAATGATGATTCTTTACAGGATCATCAGGAACAACAAAGGTATGATCAATATGGTCAACCTATTGGTCCTGACACGAGTATAGACAACCACTATATGGAAAACACATTTGATGATTCGAATAACGACGCTTATTATAACGATAACTTACGTCCTCCGCACAATATTCCAAATGACGAAACTTATTCTGATTTTAGTAGTTACAGAGAATCAAGTCAACCACAATCGACTCAACCTCCAAATTATAACAGTTACACACCATCGCAAATGAGTTACGGAGACCAAAGATCAAACTCTATGGTTTTTAACCAACCTGAAGGGATGGCGAATTTGTTTCCAAGAGATCCATATCCAGCATGGACTGCTGATCCTGAACAACCTATTGGTATTCAACAAATTGAAGATATTTTCATTGATTTGACCGAAAAGTTTGGATTTCAACGTGATTCCATGAGAAATATGTTCGATCATCTTATGACGTTACTAGATTCGAGAGCCTCAAGAATGGCTCCATCTCAAGCATTACTATCTTTACATGCGGATTATATTGGTGGTGATACATCAAATTATAAGAAATGGTATTTTGCAGCACAATTGGATTTAGATGATGATATTGGATTTAGAAATATTAGTTTAAATAAATTGAACAAAAAATCAAAACGTGCTAAAAAATCCAATAAAAAAATATTGAAATCTACTAGAGAAGCAATCCTAGATGGTGATAATGGTATTCAATACGATGAACAAGATATTGACAACGTTTTGAACTCTTTGCAAGGTGATAAATCCTTAGAGGCAGCAGATTTTAGATGGAAAGTGAAGATGAATAGATTGACCCCATCTCAGAGAATCACTCATCTAGCTTTATATTTATTGACATGGGGTGAAGCTAACCAAGTTAGATTCACATCTGAATGTTTATGTTTCATCTATAAATGTGCCCTTGATTACTTAGAGTCTCCAATTTCTGAAAACAAAAGAATTCCAGAAGGTGATTACTTGAATAGAGTCATTACTCCATTGTATCGTTTCTTAAGAAATCAAGTCTATGAGATTGAAAACGGTCGTTATATAAAACGTGAAAGAGACCACAACAAAGTTATAGGTTACGATGATGTTAATCAATTGTTTTGGTACCCAGAAGGTTTAACCAAGATCATTTTGTCCAATGGGAATAAACTGTTAGACTTGGCTCCAGAGGAAAGATATCTGAATCTTGGTAACATCAATTGGGATAACGTTTTTTTCAAAACTTACAAAGAGACAAGAACTATGTTCCACATGTTAACAAATTTCAATCGTATTTGGATTCTTCATACATCTGTCTATTGGATGTACTGTGCTTACAATGCACCAATCTTTTACACACACAACTATCAACAATTGGTTAATAACAAACCATTAGCTTCTTACAAGTGGGCATCTGCCGCTTTAGGTGGTACTGTGGCTTCCGTTATTCAATTGGCTGCAACTATTGCAGAATGGTGTTTTGTTCCAAGAAAATGGGCAGGTGCTCAACATTTGACAACTAGGTTCGCATTTATTTGTGTTATCTTAGGTATTAATATTGCTCCAATCGCGTGGGTATTCGCTTATGACAGTGACACCGAAAGTAGTAAAATTGCACATATTGTCGCAGCTGTGTTCTTTTTCGTTGCAGTCGCTACTATTGTATTCTTTTCCGTTATGCCACTGGGTGGGTTATTCACTTCTTATATGAATAGAAGCTCTAGAAGGTACGTTTCTTCACAAACTTTTACAGCATCATTTGCTCCTTTACATGGTTGGGATAGATTACTTTCTTACGGTGTTTGGATTTGTGTGTTCGGTGCTAAATATGCAGAATCATACTATTTCTTGATCCTTTCTCTAACAGATCCTATTAGAATTTTAGCACCAATGAGTATGAGATGTACTGGTGATTATTGGATTAGTAACAGATTGTGTAAACATCAGCCACAAATTACTTTAGGTTTGATGATGGCTACTGATTTTATCCTGTTTTTCCTAGATACTTATCTATGGTATATTATTATCAACACCATTTGTTCCGTTGGGAAATCTTTTTACATGGGTATGTCTGTATTGACTCCTTGGAGAAATATTTTTACTAGACTACCAAAGAGAATTTACATAAAATTATTGGCCACTGAAGAGATGTCAATTAAGTATAAACCAAAGGTGTTAATCTCTCAAGTTTGGAATGCCATAATTATCTCGATGTACAGAGAACATCTATTGGCCATTGACCATGTTCAAAAATTGTTATATCATCAAGTTCCATCAGATGTTGCAGGAAAGAGAACTTTAAGAGCTCCAACTTTCTTTATGTCTCAAGCTAAAGAACATGCTAATACTGAATTTTTCCCACATGACTCTGAGGCTGAACGTCGTATTTCCTTTTTCGCACAATCTTTGATCTGTCCAATCCCTTCACCGGTCTCTGTTGATAACATGCCAACTTTCACTGTGTTGACTCCTCATTATTCTGAAAGAATTTTGTTGTCACTAAGAGAAATTATCCGTGAAGATGATCAATTTTCTAGAGTCACATTATTAGAATACTTGAAACAATTGCACCCTGTCGAGTGGGATTGTTTTGTTAAGGATACTAAGATTCTGGCAGATGAAACTGCGGCATATGAAGGTGTCACTGAAGAAGCAGCTGAAAAGGATGATAACACGAAGGCTAAAATCGACGATTTACCATTTTATTGTATTGGTTTCAAATCAGCTGCACCTGAATACACTTTACGTACTCGTATCTGGGCATCGTTGAGATCCCAAACTTTGTATCGTACTGTATCTGGTTTTATGAACTACTCAAGAGCTATTAAACTGTTATACCGTGTGGAGAATCCTGAGATTGTCCAAATGTTCGGTGGTAACGCTGAAGGTTTAGAGAGAGAGTTAGAGAAAATGACCAGAAGAAAATTCAAGTTTTTGGTATCCATGCAGAGATTGGCCAAGTTTAAACCACATGAATTAGAAAATGCTGAATTTTTATTAAGAGCTTACCCAGATTTACAGATTGCTTATTTGGATGAAGAACCACCATTACACGAAGGCGATGAACCAAGAATCTTTTCAGCTTTGATAGATGGTCACTGTGAAGTCCTAGAAAATGGTCGTAGACGTCCAAAGTTTAGAGTTCAATTATCTGGTAACCCAATCTTGGGTGATGGTAAATCTGATAATCAAAATCATGCCCTTATTTTCTACAGAGGTGAATATATTCAACTGATCGATGCTAATCAAGATAATTATTTAGAAGAATGTTTAAAGATTAGATCCATTTTAGCTGAATTCGAAGAATTAAACGTTGAACAAGTTAACCCTTATGCTCCACATATCAAATATGTTGATCAAACCAATAACCATCCTGTGGCAATCGTTGGTGCCAGAGAATATATTTTCTCTGAAAACTCCGGTGTTTTAGGTGATGTCGCTGCTGGTAAGGAACAAACATTTGGTACTTTATTTGCTCGTACATTGGCTCAAATTGGTGGTAAATTACATTATGGTCATCCGGATTTTGTTAACGCTACATTCTTAACAACAAGAGGTGGTGTCTCCAAGGCACAAAAGGGTCTACATTTGAACGAAGATATTTATTCTGGTATGAATGCTTTACTTCGTGGTGGGCGTATTAAACATTGTGAATATTATCAATGTGGTAAAGGTAGAGATTTAGGTTTTGGTACTATTTTGAATTTCACAACAAAGATTGGTGCTGGTATGGGTGAACAAATGCTTTCCCGTGAATACTACTATCTAGGTACTCAATTGCCTATCGATCGTTTCTTATCATTTTATTATGCGCATCCTGGTTTCCATTTGAACAATTTCTTCATTCAATTATCTTTGCAAATGTTCATGCTAACACTAGTAAACTTGCACTCTTTAGCACATGAATCTATTATTTGTTCATATGACAGAAATAAGCCAATTACTGATGTTTTATATCCAATTGGTTGTTATAATTTAGAGCCTGTTATTGATTGGGTTAGACGTTACACTCTATCCATCTTCATTGTTTTCTTTATTGCATTTGTTCCGTTAGTTGTTCAAGAATTGATTGAACGTGGTGCTTGGAAGGCTACTTTTAGATTCTGGCGTCATATTTTCTCTTTGTCACCTATGTTTGAAGTTTTTGCAGGACAAATTTATTCTGCTTCTCTAATGAGCGATTTGACAGTTGGTGGTGCCCGTTATATTTCTACTGGTAGAGGTTTCGCTACATCGCGTATCCCATTCTCCATCTTATATTCTAGATTTGCTGGTTCTGCAATTTATATGGGTGCTAGATCTATCTTAATGTTATTATTTGGTACAGTTGCACATTGGCAAGCTCCATTACTATGGTTCTGGGCTTCCTTAGCTTCTTTGATTTTCTCACCATTCATTTTCAATCCACATCAATTATCCTGGGATGATTTCTTCTTAGATTACAGAGATTTCGTTAGGTGGATGTCAAGAGGTAACAGTAAATACCATAGAAATTCATGGATTGGTTATGTTAGAATGTCGAGATCTCGTGTAACTGGTTTCAAACGTAAATTAATTGGTGATGAGTCTGAGAAGGCTATCGGTGATGCAAGCAGAGCCCATAGAGTAAACTTGATTCTTACCGAGATTATCCCATTAATTATTTATTCTGCTGGTTGTTTCATTTCTTTTACTTTTATTAATGCTCAAACAGGTGCAAAGACTACTGATGATGATAAGGTTAACTCTATTTTAAGAATTATTATCTGTACATTAGGTCCAATTGCTTTGAATATGGCTACATTAGCCTTCTGCATGTCAATTTCATGTTGTTCAAGTGCAATGTTTGGTTCATGTTGTAAAAACCCAAGTTCTGGTGTTGCTGCGTTTGCCCATGGTGTTGCTGTAGTTGGTCACGTTGGTTCATTCATTGTGATGTGGATTCTAGAGGGTTTCAGTTTTGTCAAGATGATTATTGGTGTTGTAACTTGTATACAATTACAAAGATTAATTTTCCAATGTATGACTGTCTTCCTATTATCTCGTGAATATAAGAATGATCATTCAAACACAGCATTCTGGAATGGTCAATGGAGTACTACAGGTTCTGCATTTACACAAGCATGTCGTGAATACACTGCTAAGATCATTGAAATGTCTGAATTTGCTGCTGATTTTGTATTAGGTCATGTTATTTTAATATGTCATGCACCATTATTGGTTATACCAGGCATTGATACATTACATTCTATTATGTTGTTCTGGTTGAAACCATCTCGTCAAATCCGTCCACCAATTTTTTCATTGAAACAAACACGTTTACGTAAACGTATGGTTAGAAAATACATGGCCCTTTACGTTTTAATTCTGGTATTATTTGCCGGTTGTATTATTGGTCCAGCTGTTGCTGCATCTCATGTTCCTGCAAGATTGGCTCCAAATTTGACCGGTGCGGGTCGTAACTTATTCCAACCAAGAGGTGTTGATCAAAACGATACAGGTGTGGGTATGTCTACATATAGTGGACATTATTTTACTCAAACACCAAGTATGGTAACTTGGAACACTATCAATTAGTTAGATATATCGATCCAAACAAATTTTAGGGAAATTCAATTAACCAAAAAACAAACATATAGGTAAAATTCCCTTTATCGTTATATTATTTTACGAAAGTCGAAATCAACTATCCACATATATTATTATTACTTTTTTTTATTCCTTATATACTATCATTTATATTATTTAAAAAGCACAAAATAGACAAATCATTTAAAAAAAAACATAAGAGAAAATTGTATATTAAAAGATGAATATTACGTTATATTAATGCATAAATTATTTCAATTGTTACTTATTATCTCTTTAATTAATCTATTTACATATGATGCGCAGAGAACAATGATATGAGAGTGAGAGGGGAGATCTTAAGTTCTCTTTGGTCCCCAATTTACACCAAGAAATCCAGTAGATTTTGGTTGTTTCTGTAGTTTTGGTTTAATGATAAAATGACGTTTTTCACCTTTAATATCAACGTATAATGAAACAAATTCAGGTAATAAAGATCCTTGTTTTTCAACTGCTTCACAATGTACTAATCCGATTTTCTTTTTAGATTCAATATGAAATCTTAAGAAACAATGTACATTACCATCATTATCGATTCTTCTCTTTGAGACAATTGGTCTATTACGGGTCCATCTATCATGTGTTATCATTTCACCATACGCTTTTAATCTTTCCCTGTACAAGGTATCATTACTTTGAAGTGATTGACGTAATTCTTGATCTTTTTGTACCAACGATACTGCTCTGTTAAACAATTGTGTATCTCCAGATGGTGAGAACAATTCTGCACCAATTAAATAAATAACTACTGTCGAGACACCAATGGCACCAACAACCAATGCAGCAGAAAATGTAAATGTAGTGAAACTTTTCAATTTAGGCCATATAGATGTGGTCGTCTTCTTTTCAGATGGTTTCTTCTTATTGGATTCATTGCTTAGAGGTGAGGTGATGGATATTGATCTTTTTGAACTTTGAAATATTATACTTGAGGTCAATTTAGAGTCGATGGCTCTTAAAGCAGCTCGAGATGTTAGAGTGTGTAACCCCTTTGGGCGTACTATAGAAAATGTCGATAGCATATTTGATTGGTAAAGTAAAATTCTGGTGAGTTCGTTATTGCTAATTCTAAACTCTATCCCTTTTTTTGAAGTTAGTTTGTGAAATATATGTATCTGTGAGTATGCGTTAGTCACCTTTATAAGATGGCAAACATTCCAAATATCCTTTTTTCTCGTTCGTCCACGATGATATTGGATGGATTGGTTGGACTGTCATCCGTGCACCACATTGTGTCTGGGTGTTTCCAAACTTTTTTCATTTTTTAATATTTTTTTTTCAAACTTTTTCACTTTTTCTTCCTCGCACAACGTAAACGGATAATGAAGGAAGCAAGAAAGAGTTCACATTGAATGAAACAATTTTCCAATCTGTAAGAAGGGGAAGATCACACACTAAGTATTGGGAATCCACACACAGACATCGATGCAAGATGTGAAATTTCGTTTTAGTGAGATGGGCGACAGAGATTAGCCAAAGGTCAATACCAATACTAACATCATTGCATTAGAGGTAGAGAGGTAGTGTAGAATTACGAGTAATTATAACATTCGATATATACTTTAAGAAGTTGTAATATTTTAGAGGTAGTAATTTCGATATTTGCAATTTTTGATTGTGAAAGAATAAAAATATAACTCACCAAGGATATATATAACAACAATGGCTAAGCAATCATTAGGTATGTGAAATATAGGATAGCAAATACTAGAAAGAGAAGGAGATGAGAGTATAAATAAATGGTTTGGAAACCCTTGGAAGAACACAAGGCAACCCTGAATGGCAAATATACCTGTCCTGCCAGGAGATATATCAAAACTGAAACAACGAATAGATGTAGGAAAATTGTTCGCCATCATCTCACTGGAAATGATAATATATTAAAAGTGGTGAAAATATAAAGAATTGGTACCAGTAATCTAACGATACACCTAACTTTTTTCTCGACGCTTCTCTCTTCTAATAAGGAACTGCAGTTTGTAGTTGATTCCACCATGTCAAAACTTAATTTACTAACAAATTATCCGACGATACTAATAATTACTAATAATTATTTATGTGTCTCACAACTATTTGAATACAGACGTTTCCTCCAACAGAAACAAGTCCAGAAAGGCTTACTTCACCGCTCCATCTTCTGCCAGACGTGTTCTAATGTCTGCTCCATTATCCAAGGAACTAAGAGCTCAATACGGTATCAAGGCTCTTCCAATCAGAAGAGATGACGAAGTTCTAGTTTCTCGTGGTGCTAAGAAGGGTCAAGAAGGTAAGGTTTCTTCTGTTTACAGATTGAAATTTTCCATTCAAGTTGACAAGATCTCTAAGGAAAAATCCAACGGTGCATCTGTTCCAATCAACATTCACCCATCCAAGGTTGTTATCACCAAGCTACATCTAGACAAGGACAGAAAGGCTTTGATCGAAAGAAAGGGTGGTAAACTAGAATAAATATAAAAATATTTCTATTAAATTAAATTTTTCATTAATATCTAAATATTTTATAAATACAACAAACCTTCTATTTTAATAATAATAGTACTACGTCTAATTGAATTAAAAAAAAAATATGTGTGTATATATATATATTAAAAGTATATAATTATGCAAAGATGTGTATATGTATAAGGTGTGTGTGTGTGTGTGTGTATTTATGTACTTGAACGTCTATTTGATTTTCTGATTTGGCGTCTTAACAGTTCTTCTTCTTCTTGTTTTTGAGCAGCTTTTAAAAGGTCATACCTTGTAATCACTCTATTTATATTATTTGTACTATTGTGTGACGTTGGATAACTTAAAGTTTTCCGTAATGTTGCTGTGGTGCAATTTGCTACTGATTTTATTGGAACGTTCATCCAAGTTGAGACTATTGAACCCATTCTACCACGAGCTGAACTACGTCGTGTCGATGATATACCATCAGTGTTAAAACCGTCATCTGGCACGTGACCCGACCTTCTTGTGGCTGTAGTTGTAGTTGTAGCAGGATCGATGTCTTCCTTCATAGAGACATCTCTTTGAGGAAGCAAACAGGTTGAGTGCATCATTATATAGTGTACTAATTAATTACGTTTCGGTATGATGATTGTGATATCGATATATATATAGGCACCGCAGTGACAAAGGCAAGAAATGGATTAGATCACCGTCCTCCCAATAGCAAATAATCGAGCAATACATAGTTATATATATATATATATATAAATAAATATAAAAACAGCATCTGTATTTTCCACTATTGTGTTAAAATAGCAATGCTGACAATAGCAATGCAAAGTTTACAGGAAACAAGCACATCCTTTGCGACTATTTTATCGATGTTAATCCTCTCTTATTCATCAATGCATTCCTTCCAGTTCCATGGATATAGCAAGCATCCCTCTGTGGTTGCCATTACTAAGTGAGCCGTTCGTCTCCTCCTCTCGCCCGGCGGGGATGCGCGTGGGGCGGGTGAGGAGAGCCACGGTGGACCGTGTCCGCGGGTGGTTTCAGCTGCTGTCCGCGGCTTTAGCCCACTTCTTCCGCAGCGTTTCGCCGTTGGACGAGTTGAATGAGTCCACCAGATAGCAGGCTTGGGCCAGTGGCCATGCCAGCAGCCAGTCCATAAGACCCAGCTGTCTGACCACGCCGACAGCCATGAAGTACAGCGTCCCGTTTGCGATCCCGATGAGGTAGCCGAGTGTCACCTGTTCCAGCGTGTGGTACAACAGGTATATTCGAGAACCGCAGACCATCAGTGTGAAAGTCAATATAAACAGCGAGGATTGCGTCTTGAGAGATGTGCTTGCGTGTGGGTCCCATTGCAACCATATCTTTAGCGTCCAGTAACTTAGAAAGAAACCGACGAATTGGGAGTGCGCAGACGGCATACCATACCCTGGTCCCATCAATGCTTCGTGTGGTCTTGGTTGTTTGATCAATCTTTTGAAAATCTTGTTGGAAAACTCATTTAATAGTTGGCCACCCGCCACGATGATCGATTCTAATTCCCTGGTAATGATCAACCATGAGAGATAGAATGTAAGTAGGAGGATCGGTGATAATGACAAGAATACACTGATGACACTGATGGGATCATGGGGGTTGTACATTATTAACGTATCATCAAATGGTATGACATCGTAGTTTATAATAGTATCGGTGAGATTGAACATTATTCCTGCAAGCGTCTATGCCTATACCACCTGCGAGCTCGATGGATCTCTGGTCTCTTACTTATTTACTTGTATATATATTGTTTTGTTTTGTTTGTTTTTTGAGGTTGCGATTGCGATTGCTCTCGTTCTTATATATTGAAATACGCGAGTTTTATATTTAATCACATGCAATTGATATGATTTGATATGATATGATATGATATGATTTGATTTGATCTATGCAGTTAGATTAGATAGCTATATACTTTATTTACTTAGCAAACATATATGTCTTACTTATACTTAGCAAACAACTCATCGACTAATTCAATGTATTGCTTTTCGGCATCGTCTTGAGAGGTACCTTTAACTTTGTTCCAGGCATCCCACTTGGATCTGTCCTTCAAATTAAAGATCCCAGGTCTATCGGTATTGCAATCACCAACTGTGGCTTGTTTGTACAATGCATACAGCTTTAATAATTCTTCCGTATTTGGCTTGGTTGGTAAGTCGTTAACAGCCTTTGCCTTTTCTTCAAATACTTGTGAGACCATTTTGCAATAATGTACGTGGGTGTGTGTACGTGGGTGTGTGTGTGTGTGATTTAGTCTGCTCGACCTCAAGAGATGTTTGAGGTAATTAACTTATCTCTCCCCCTCCCCTCTCCCCTCTCCCCTTTATATACATTGATTTGTCTCTCTTCTCCTCTCGCTTTTTCTCAACAAAATTTGTTCATTATGGCTTCACCTGGCACAAGCCCCGGTTGGGTCTTGGAAGAATAAGAAGACCTCGCACTTGCTACCCCCTGTTTGGGCAGACCTATGGACTCACGGTTTGGGATACGGGTCAATTGATCGAGGAAATAGCGTGTGTGGAACTCAGAATGCCGGATTTAAAAGCAATAGAAGGTACTACCTTGGCGTTTCTGCAATACTGATGAAAGCAAAATGGCCAATCGTTCGAGAGGATTCTTCGAAGTGCGATCGGTAGTGACTAGGAAATTGCTGACTCGGAATTTATTCGCTTATGCAAACATCTACCAAACGGTAATGCCTATATGTACGCAGCAACTGTTGTGAACAAACATTTCTGCTTCTATAGAAAGAAGTTTCGGACTTGCATGGCTCAATGCCCCACCGTGTTGCGTAGACAAGCCAATTATGAAGAAGTCAAGCTCTCTGTATTGTCATTAGAGGTGAGGTAGGAGAGACTAAGAGCTTTTGCAAGAGAGAATTTTGCCACTTTTCAGCATATCTCAAAGACTGAGACATTCACGGACACTGATCGAGTATATATAACGATGGTATTGCAACGATGCCATATTCGTTTCGTTGTACTGGCATCACTGGTCTGGTTATAAAAGGAGTGTGTTTTTCTTGGTACTATGGCTACAGCATACGGTAAGCAGAACGAAGTTCAGACCATGCAAGATCTATCTCAGCCGTTAGGGGGGATTTCAGAGGGACTCGAGCCCTCATGTTGTCCATTTCGACAGATACCGCCTTGAATGTGGCAAAATTAGGTTGTCTTAGCCAAGAGGTCAGAATATCTAGTTAACAACTAACCTTCAGCCGCTATCTGGATTTTATAAGAATATAAATACGCTTATATATAGTATTGGAAGAAAATATATTACGAATAAGTCACCTAAAGGGTGTTTTTTGATGCAATATATTTTAAGAACAGTGGACTAAATTCCCACTATAAGAAGATAACCCCTAAAAACAATTACGATGTCAATTAGGTGAACCGAAAAGAAATTATACTGGGCTCGAGCAAAGATTTACCATATGAGATAAGAAAGAATTGATCCCGTTTTCGTAGAGCTGTATACCAATGTAGACTAGGTATCGATCCCAACCGTACATCCACTCATCAATCTAACATGGTCCTCAGCATACAATTTTACCTCGAAACCCCGGTTCCTGGAAGTTTAGAAAGTAATGATAAGGATTCTTCAAGGGACGATAGCATATGAAATAAAGATGCGAATTTTAACGAATCTAACCAAGATGTCATGCCATAGTCATCATTGTTTCAAAAAGATTTTTGATATAACTCAAATTATACAGGACGCCGGTGAGGAACATCAAAATCAATTGTTGCAAAAATAACCCTGGTTTAAAGAGGGTCTTTTCGATTCGTTACCAAAACGTTTGCAGTGCTACCTAATAATCATCGTGAAAATAATTAACAATGAGCAAGTAAACAGTCGATCACTTTCATCCATAACAGCAACTGGAATTTCTCAAACTGACAGACACTATCCCAATACAATGTCGTTCTGGAAAATCAAGAGATGGTTCATCTTCTACTTTATCAGGTACTAATCTGTCTCGAGTTAACATTCCCTTAAATACTATTTCATTTCAAGACGCCGTGCTACCCCTAAATGACATTCAATATGGAATTCGTCAAAATAAGAGTCAATTCCATCAGCGCACTTCCCTGTCTAATACTCAGTCGAACAGTAGTGAACATTAAATTGTGGTCCACCACTTAATGCACCCATTTTATCCAATTACCAACAAAGCAAGAGGAATCACTATATTACAAGTCAAAACTGCCAGAACGATTCTAATATACATCGGAATAGGCAACCCCCAAGAGGAGACGACTCGCTAACAAAGGCAATTCTATATAATTTTTGAATGTCTATGAATATACTAATAACTGCATCTATATGGATCCTAAACAAGCTATAAATGGTCTTACAATGATCTGAATCGTTCGTTATACACGACGCACTGCTGTTAGCTCTCGTCGTCACGTCGCACGGCAGGAATTTGCTCACCGAAAACTGAAATTTTGCCGCGTTTTTTCGTTGCGTCTGAATGTATGATTTGTTATGATGGCGAGGACCCCTCCCCTCCCCCTTAATAAAGTGTCGAATGGCAGTAAGTGGTAAATATAAATAAACATGGTGGTCATGATCAACTACCCATTTTTAATAAAATAGTATTAGTTGTTTCTTCAACCCTATAAACCCATATAATACACACATATACAAACACAATCATGACTGAACCGTTACAGACAACTACTAGTGCAGGTGCAGACCTCGATTTGAAACCATTCCCATCATATCATAACAATACTACCGCCACTGCTTCTACTACTGCTAGTAGTAGCACGACTAGTGATGATAATACTATGAATGAAAGAGAGTCGCGTACTAGAACAAGAACTAACTCCTTGAAAATTTTACAAAATGAACCGTATAAGGACCATCGTCGTAGACGGTCCTCGAGTATCATATCACATGTGGAGCCTGAAACATTTGAAGATGAAAACGATCAAAAAGCTGTTCCAAACATGAACGCTACATGGGTGGATCAACGTGGTGCGTGGTTGATTCATTTCGTTATCATTGCATTACTAAAAGTCTTTTATAATCTTTTGCCCGGGAGCACCCCAGTTTGGTCTTGGACTTTAACTAATACTACATATATCGTTGGATTTTATGTTATGTTCCATTTGATTAAGGGAACTCCTTTTGATTTTAATGGTGGTGCTTTCGATAATTTAACAATGTGGGAACAAATTGATGATGAAACTTTATACACTCCAACAAGAAAATTCCTAATTATTTTACCAATTGCATTGCTTTTAGTATCAAATCATTATGCTCATTTCACTTATAAATTGTTTATCTTTAATTCTTTAGTGATCCTATTGATAGGTGTCGTACCAAAATTACCTTTAACTCATAGATTAAGAATTTCTATCCCAGGTATTACAGGTCGTGCACAAATTAGTTAATGCGTCTTTATTATCTATCATACATGCACACTCACTCATTCATACACATTTATTATATATTGAGGAACCTTTTCTCCCTTCCTTTTTTTTTGTCTTATTATACTTTCATCTAACTTTCTCCATGGATATATAGATATGTGCAACCATTACACATAATTCAAATAAAAAGATTACAATATATATATATATATATGCACACTTATTTTAGTAATAAATTTATTAAATAATAATGGTACGGTTGTCAAGTGATATATATAGGACGGTTGGTTATAGTGATGATTGATCTGTAACCATGTATTTTACTTCTTGGCAAAAAAAATAACGACAACTGCAGGATTTGAACCTGCGCGGGCAGAGCCCAAAAGATTTCTAATCTTTCGCCTTAACCACTCGGCCAAGTTGCCATAAAATTATGAGAATTTTTATAGCCATTAGAGTATATAATCCCTTTAAAATTTATTATTTCTATGAAGAGGTTAAATATAAGGTTATTTTACTAGTGTGTGTTAAACTGTTGGAAATATATTATAAGAGGGATAATGACCAAGGTAACGATCTGTTAATAAGTTAATCCCGCAACCATCGAGTGAGTTTATAATCACGACAACAAAAAATCCAAACATATATAAATGGAACAATATTTCATTTGTGAATATAATTGTTTCCATAATTTACTTTATACATTTTTATGTAAGACATAAAAGACCAGACGAACTATAAGTCGATTTTGTAATATAATAAAAATTGTTCAGTTAAATAGAAGATGTCTAATATACAATATTTCCATCATAAATAGAGTTACTTGTTAAACAGAGTTGCTGTTGTTAAACTGCTCATCTTTTGTGCATAGTAACGTTGGACAATGTAGCTCCAATAAACCCAATGTAGGGGGAACGAATACTACATTATGCAGTATATATCAGGTGTTGTATTGTCGTCGGCTTCTTTTAATCTTGAAATTAATTCAACGTGATTCATCTTGGTAAGATTACCCATGAAACTTAGACAATGTTTCTGAGAGTCAGGACATAAAGCCAATAAAAAATATCCAATAAAATCATTCTTCTTGGAATTAATATTTTCCTTGTATTTTAAAAGGATAGCTGGCGAACAGTTGTTCATAAATTCTTTGTCAAATTCATTTGGTTCAAAAATTTTAGAAGCAAGATCATTTGCATATTTGATCTTGTCTTCCAATGGTTTGTTAGCATTGTCAAGCAATGGTGTCCAGATGTCAGAATTATAACGCACATTTGACATTTGATACGTATTAATAATAGTATCTAATAAGTTTTTACCACTTTGAAGTTCGTTAGTGTCACTAATATTATACACTAAGTTATTAGCCTCACCTTCAGTAGATAGTTTGATTAGATCAATTAAAGCACTGCTTAATAACTGAATAGCAGTGTTGGATGCCTGTTTAGACATACTGTATTCTTCGATGACAGAAGAAATATTGCCGGTTGAGGCATACTCAGACCACTCAGTGGAATGACGGATTAGATGTTGCTTTAAACGGATATACCAAGTCTTAAATTGCTTGGGTCCAGAAAGTTTAATAGACAACGGATTCTCTTTTAAAGCGACAGGGCTCATAACCTGTAAACGTAAGTTTGAAATTGAGAAGATACGATTAGTGTTCAAGTTGAAATTATCGGACATAGTTATAGATATTCAAATGTATAATCTTGTGGTTTATTTCATGTTATATAAAGTAAGTCTATATAAGGAAGATTATATATATATAAAGTTAAAATATGTAGTCCTCTTATACTTTTGGGAAAGGAAAACAGTCTACCAAATATTGATAGCATTCTTACTAATCATTCTTGAAACATGTTCTAGACACTTATGAAACGATTAGTAATAATTTGTTACTAAATATAAAATTGTAATAACTAAGTATTGCTACTTTCTATATTATAACATGAGCCTCACGCTCGTATTAGCGATCCTTCGTTGGACATACATTTTTCTCACAGATGTTTTTTTAAGCTGTCCTTCACGATGAGGATGCTATTAATGAGGAATAAAGTGTCAGCAATATTCGATGAGATTCACTGAACTTATTCAATCTCATTATTCTACATGTAGATGAAATTGTTAATGAGTATATTGAAGGCAATAGTTACCTGATACCCAACTTGCCAACTTTGGCTACGTTAAAGGGCTAACCTTGTTACAAATTGATATAAGTAATGCTCTACACAAGGGATACCGCATTGTATGACTCAGTACATTTTGTGGGGTTTCGTTGAATAGGCATTCGATATATATAAACGCTGTAATCTTGAGTCCTCTTTATAGGTTATATAAAACAGAATAAGTAATATAGTTTTGAGAACTTGGACATCAAGTTATAAGTCTTGACCAAAAAGACTGGTCATTCTATACAACAACGAAAATCAAGTAAGAATAGTAGTTCTTCGAGAGTATCAAAACATCGAAGCAGTATGATATTTACTAGAAAGGGATTGTATCATTCTAGAGCAATAGATCGTGGTGCTGGATAACTTGCTTGTCTAAAGCTTGCTTGTGATACTTGACTTAAAGGAAGAGTAAAGGTATTTTCGCAACCTCTTTTTGATTATATAAAAATCCTCTGAGTTGTGAGTTGTTTTGACTGGCGCAACGACGACGACAGCCAATTAGCGCAACGGTGGCCCAAGTCAGTTTTACTAAAACATAGTTTCAAAGAAACTGCCTCTCTCTTTGCGTAGGCACCCGACACTCGTCAAACTTGCAAATATGCCCAATCTGTTCCATCAGAGTCATACCACACTCCAAAGAAAAATGATGAGTTTAGAAGCATGTAATTTGGTCACTAAAGTAACTGCACATATTATATTTCATTCATATAAAAGCAGCGCTCTTGGAACAATTATCTAGATCATATTTAGTCTCAGCAAGAAATAGGCTAGTGATACTATTTGCTCTGAGTCGGGATGTATATACCTGGTGGTAAGGTAAGCAAACAAGCTAAAAAACAGTCCAGACTTTCATGGATGCATGCCGTTCATTGCCAGAAACACGAAGTGTATTACCAGATTTGCAGTTGTGATTAGCATTATGATATCCGTAATTGCAGGATTTGCGGAGGGTGGGGCTATTTACAGTTTGATGTAATCCTAAGCAGAGTCATTTCATAGAGGCATTTCCATGTTTAATCAAACGCCATTGTATAAACGGGCTACTACTTAGAGTAAACGCATCACGTCAACTTTCCAATAATTTTGCCCACTGGAACCAGATTTGATTTGATTTGGTTTGATCTGATATGAATTAAATTAATACCAAACATATATAGAACAAAGCTTGTGTTTTTTTTATTTAAGTTATTCTTATTATATTATATTATAAAATATATATTATTTATTAAAATTAAGTGTGTGTATGTGTGTAGATCTGAATAGATGGTAACTATAATTATATTTAGAAGGGTGTAAAATTGTTGTTATCGTTATTAGTAGAAGATAGTACAATTTGGGGTTAATGACAAGTTATCATCATAACACCAAAACAAAGAGAGAAAAACAATTAACAAATTAACAAAAGAAAATGAAGCAAAAAAGCATCTAAATCAAGTTAGATAACTTGTTGGTGAACTTCTTGAAGAAGCTCTTCTTTTCTTCCTTTGGAGCAGTCTTTTCGTGGACGTCCTTCTTGACGGCTTCCTTAGTGTTTTCGGCCTTCTTTGGAGCACCTTCGGCGGCGTTCTTAGCGTTTTCACCAGCCTTCTTGATACCTTCGGTAGTCTCCTTAGCGACGTGTTCGACTTCTTCAGCAGCCTTCTTAGATTGGTCGGCTACATCGTGAGCGACTTCTTCGACCTTTTCGACAACGACGTTTTGAGTTTCAGTAGGTTCAGACATTATATTTAAATTGTTTTATGGAGTGTGTGTGATAGTGTTTTATATCAATATATATATATATATTTTTGAGTAATCAATCGCAAGAACTAAGAAACTAAAAATAAAAATAAAAAAAGTGTGTAACTTTACAGTGGTTCAAAATAAACAGAAATAAATTTTTACCCAAAAAACCCTCCTCCTTTTATAAGTTCTCTCTTTGTATCTTGCTTCCCTAATTAATTCTATTAATAATAAACAAACCCAGCAATCGCAATCGCAACCGCAACCGCGACAACAACCACAGCAGCCAGTGGAAGAGCGTCGCCGTTACGTACGAAGCCAACGCCTCAAACAGCGAATGAAGCAGGGAGAATGTGGCAACACCGCGTTGCCACTGCTGAGAGCGAGGAGCGCTGAGCTGAGCTGAGCTGAGCTGGGCAAAGAGGAGAGAGAGAGGAGACTCAAATTTCGCTGCTGGGCGCGGTGTGTGGGTGGCGGTGAGTCGCTGTGGCCTGGCGATAATTCCTCCCGTCCGGGCCGGGCAGACAAAGCGCCGCAGCAAGGGCGGGTTGCCGTTGTTGCTGGCGAAAGACAGGGTCTCGTGCTGCGGCGCTTTCTGGGCGTGTGTGACAGGTGTGGCAAACAGGGATACGCGCGGCGAACACAGCCTGCTTGTTGGTGGGCGGTGCGGTGTGTGGGTGCACAGTTGCGACACGGCGGGCGACGGTTCAGAGGGTGCTTTTGGGGTTTTTGCATAAATTATGCAAAAAATGGTTGAGGGCGGTGGGGACCCTGGTCGTTCGGCGTGATGAGCCAGACACAAGATTCATTTACTGACACATAGTCCTGGGATGAGCTATAGTAAGATCAGGCAGGGTACATTGGGGGTACACCAATGTGGTGAGAGTAGGCTTCCTTGTATTGCAGTGTGCAGTTACTGCAATGCGATCCATTTTTTGATACTTATTTAGAGGTGGTGGTGTAATATACTCCTGTCTCTTTGAAACTGTATGGTACAGTTTGGCAGATATTATGTGGGAGCGACAATGAAATAAATAACATGTAGAGAACGAGAATTCTGCCGCTTGCATTCTACGTTAAGTTCTATTTCGTTCTATAAATTGTATATAAGAATAACAATAGCAAATATTGTTTGCTTTCTTAAGAGTAGAACTCAGACTAGCAAGCTTCAGCTCGCTGTTCTTGTCAAAATTAATTATTTGATGAGTGGGAATGAAAAATTAATTGCTGCAGTGTGGCACTAATTTTATAAGGACCGAAGAAAAGTAGGTACTTATATCACGTAATCATCAAACGATAAGAAAGAGAGGGGGGTTTCAACGGGCAGATTCGCACCAAGAAATGGGAGACCAAGGGAGAAAACTTTGGGGGAAATGGAACAAGTTCCAGGAAGTGCAGGTTAGCTGAGGACTGGTATTTCTATCCTCTTGTACGAACAACCTTAGCACGTCACAAAATGATCTCGATAATTTTGGAAAACGAATTCTGCCATACAAAACTCTGCCCGAGCTTCAATTTTTGAGAGGTCACCCGGACGTGGGCCTTGGGACGCATAAATACATGGCAAAGTGTGACACCTTGGCTTGCTTGTTATTAAAGAAGCTCTATTTATTTGGAGATGCTACTTAGAATATATATTACGTCTTATTACATTTGATGAGTTAAGCCCTCAAGATATTCAGGCAGGTTGCTCTGCTCGTACCAGCGTTATTTCAAGTAATTATTGATTTTCGATGCAGACAACAATAATGAATAGATCTCTCCATACCTGTGGTGATGCATTTAATATGATTCCAATTATGGGATGCACATAATTTATATAGCTAACAAGTGTGTATATCATTCAAAACACGATACATATTATTCTCAATTACATAATATTAAAGTTAGAATGTGGTACTCCAATTAAGTTAAATTACTGGAGCTAAGCACTGGACTACTCATGATAATGACAAACATGAGGCATGCATTTTGTTAAGAAAAGAAAAGAAACTATTGAAAAGTGGTATTTATATGTAAAGAAGCAGCATGTGAAATTATAAAGGACTAAAACTACCATGTGAAGATTAAATACACAAAGAGAGAGCCAAAAACTAGAATGTGAAAGTATAAGATGGTCAATGAAGCATGTGAAGGATTTAAAACAGGGGAAGTGAGCATGTGAAACGTCTGGTTTGTGAGTTTTGCCGTTACTTTCTTGGTGACGCAGTAATAATTTATGACGCCAAAAAATATTGAGACGTCTTAGTATGAAAATATGCAGGATAGAAACTAACATGGTGTGTTTTATATACTAACTTAGAATAAGTACGTTTATATATTAATTTGGTCATCAGTGACTTTAAAAACAAATAATAATTAATCTTAAATAAAAAGCCAACTGACAGATATTAAATAAGAAAATAGTACTTTATTATACGGAAATTAAAATACTAATTCATTGGAGAATTTATAATTTTATTCAGTGCTTCTTTTTGAATTTTTTAAGCTACTACTAATGTGAATTCAAGTGTAAATGTCAAAACTTTCAGTATATATCAGTGATTTTCTTCCGAGGTATTAATAAAAAACAACGGTATGTATAACTATCATCCTAATGAGAAGTACTCTTTTGACACCAAAATTGATCATAATAAATTCTAGAAGTTTTTCCAACATTATTTTTTTTCAAGATTACTAAAATAGTTAGTTCCAACACTGACGCTTTGTCCCATTCGAATGCCTCATTTAGTAAACAAAACATAAAAAGTGACAAAACCCAAAATTGTCAAAATGGACCAATATTCATATATAATACTAATTATATCATTTTAGTAGTAAATTTCTAATATAGAGATGTAAATATAGGTGTGACTTCAAAATGAACAAAATAGAATATTGCAATGTCTATAGCGCATTTTGATTAAATACTAAGCAAAACATTTCAAATTATTTTAAAAAAAGTTTCAATCTCTAGGAAATTCCTTATCGAAATCAACAAGTGTAAACCTGTAACGAACATCCCCTTTATCTAGACGTTGTAATGCTTCTGAAACGCCTGATTCTCCGACTGGTAAAGTTTCTACCCAAATCTTGATTCCTTTCTCTGCTACTAAAGCTAAAAGTTCTCTAATCTCTTCTGGAGAACCCAAAGCACTGTTAGACACATGGACACCAGCTAATCCAAATGCACTTAATGACAATTTTTCATGTTTCTCGGGGATACAGACAGATATAATTTTCCCACCAACTCTCATTGAAGAAACATATTTATCTAATTCAATATCAGATAAGGAAGAAGCACAAACAAGAACCAAATCTAGTTTACTCTTTAGTTCAGAATCCCAACCTGGAGTCTCACTTGTTGCAATGTAATGGTCTGCACCCAAGTTCAAAGCATCTTCACGTTTATTATTTCTACGAGAGAATGCCCATACTTCAGCACCCATAGCCTTAGCAAATAACACAGCCATATGACCCAGACCACCGATCCCAACGATCCCAACACGTTTTCCAGTTCCACAACCATTACGACGTAATGGCGAATAAACTGTGATCCCACCACAAAGTAAAGGAGCAGCTAATTCCGATGGAATTGATTCAGGGATTGGGATTACGAAATGCTCATGAACCCGAACATGAGAAGCATAACCACCTTGAGAGACATAACCATCATCGTAAGGGCGATTGTAACACGATACGAATTTAGCACAATACGGTTCGTTCCCTTCTTCGCAACGTTCACACTCTAGACATGATAACACCTGAGCACCGACACCAACACGATCACCTATCTTGAAACCGGAATTACATTGAGAACCAACGGCAACCACAGTTCCTACAATTTCGTGACCGACTACCATCTTATCACGAATGGGTCTCCAATGACCTTGGACAGTATGTAAATCGGAACCACATACCCCACATGCATCAATTTGGATATCAATATCTCTTGGATCAAAAGATTTAGCTGGGTAGGTAACACGTTGAGGGGTTCTCCATGAATCAGTGGAAATCACACCGATACCTGTAAACTCTTCTGGATAAGGCATAATTTAATATCAAGTGTAGGTGTAGTAATACTTTACTATGAAAGAGTTTCAACCTCAGTCAAAGAAGATATTCTGAGCTAATTTTACATTTGTAAAATGTATATGGATCTTATATAGAAAGAACAGCCAAGGATTTATATATCATGTATCGATGGTAAAAACAGATAACTTCTGCGTGTCTAGTTCTCCACTTTCTGATTGGCTCATAGGAAGTCCCAGACACTAGGTGTCTCTATCTGAACTTTTTTTCCTCTTTCTTGATTATCTAGAAATTTTCAAAATCCATCGGCTGTTATCTTATCTTATCTTATCTTATCTAATCAGCGCGACCATCAACATATATATAAATATAGATAAAGAGAAAGAAAGAAAGACTTTTATAAGTGATGATTCAGAATGTAAATTAATTTATGTGATTACCGTTATATTTATAAATATATATGTATAAATTGCTGTTAAAAAATCCGTGTGTATAGAAAACAAAAACCGTTTGTTTTAAAAATGGGGGTATCATGAGAAATGAAAGTTTAGGTGAATGAATGATATTATTATTATGTGTAAGTGGATTATATCGTCTACAGTTGCGTTTCTGTTTAGTAGTTGTGGGAGGCGATAGCCACAGGATGATTTTCTAGATTCCAACTTAGATCGTTTGGCATATTGTTGTCATGCCATATATCGATCTGCTTAATTGAACCATTACTACTAGATCTACTAGTAGACTTGTTATTGTAAGGTGATGGGCATTTCAAATCTTCGTAAGATGTGCTGTTTACCAGAGTCGAAGAAGACAAGTTCGAAGAGACAGATAAGTTTCTCATATGTTTGTAAACTTCTTGCTTTTGTTGTTGTTTCTTGAAAGCTAGCATCTTTTTCTTTTGTCTAGTGGTGATTTCAATATGTTGTTTAATTGGTTCTAACAAGTATTGTAAATCCAGGATCAAATCCTCATTAGAGAGTCTTAAATCCCATTTCAACAATTGTAACAGCTGTCTTTCCATCAAATTGATATCTTCTAAGGAGAATAAACCATCGGTATATTTAGCCCAGTGTTTGTTCAATGGAGTAGAGTCATTGTGGAATTTAGCACTAATGATTAAACAAGCTAAAAACAATCTATGGATTGTAGATGGCAAACCCTTTGCATCCTTTGGCAGGATACGTTTCAATTTATTCAAATAACATACAGCAGATAGTAAAGTTGGGGTGTAGACATTAGTGTATCTGACCAATTTGGTGATGAAAGTTCTTAGAGAAGGTAGACGACTCTTTTTTGGAGAACCTGGAGGACTTGGGTAAGCGGTATTATTTGGCATCACTTGCAAAGTGGCATGTGTCAAAAATTGGATCATGTCATCCGTGACAGGGGATTTCATCAAAATGTTCAAAGCTTTGTTGTATGTATCCATTGTAAAATATTTTATGAGTAAGTACTTGATTGATTGCTTGATGTATATTCTATGTTATTATGTAGAATTATATAAACATGTTACAAACGGACAAGACTTCCAACAAATCCTCAAACCTCATATCGTTAGTCCTCTTATATATATTCATCCCAACGACAAGAACAAGTAGTCCAGATTAATCCAATTAATTATACGTTAACAATTGCTCAAAAGGGTAATTACCAATGCAATACGTCTCGGTGATGCCTCTTGTCAACCTCTGATCCTCTTACCTGAAAGTGACGCCAATTGCCAAAATTTCAGCTTTGATTCTTTGCCCAAAGCGAAAAGATGAAATTTTGGCAATTGGCGATTTTGGGCTCCGCGCCGTGAGAAAAAGACAAAACACGAAAAAACAGCAGTTCTGGTCGAATTGCTGCGGGTGTTGCTCGGCGTGGGTGTCGGCCACCACACACGAAATGCATTGGGGCTTTTTCCCGTTTCTTTCCATAAGACGCGAATTGCCAGGCAGAGGGTTTCCATTTCCATTTCCGTTACCTAATTGGGGAATTTCCCTGTTTGGGACTGGGAAAGTGCGAAAGGTGCGTATATGGTAGTGCAATTATTCCCGATTAGGCAACCGGCTTGGGGATCTGAAAGTCCAGTGATAAGTAGCCTGACCGACTGGGATGCATCACTTGAACCCGTTGACTTGCCAAGAGTGGCGACTCGTTCAGTTGTTCGATGTGTAAATCAAGTTTTCGTCTATGCATGGATGGTGGTGATGCCCTTACAGTCTGTAATATGTCCGAGAACCATATCCACATTCCCAACGTGACTATGGTGAAAATAATATCAGTGATATTCCACCACGAAAACACTTGGTATTCCTCTTCCAGTAAAATATTGATTTCGTGAACAATGTCTCGGAATTGTTCAGGTGTGAAATAGAGACTTAACGGACTTGTAGAAGTAGTACCGAAGACCTGTCCGTCATCGTAGACTCCTCGTGCAATAAATGTATGTTGTGAAGGAGATTTACCGGTGCTGGCATTGTCGTCACCAACGATTGCAGCTGGTTCTAATCCGGGCAACAGCTCGCTGAAGTTGGGATACCGGACAGACTCTTCGAACCGCCGTGGGACTCTGACAATACGAGTCTCTTTGAACAATGGTGTGTTTTGGGGAGTATACACGTTCGGGAAATGCGTAATTATCAATGCTTCCGATTTATCATGTTCTTGAGGCAAGGCAGGATTGTTCATGTCGGCATAGTACGTCTCACTGAACTCATGATAGTTGAAAAACAACACTTTTGTCTCTTCGCTTGTGTGATCACTCATTGTCATATGTCTGGCATTAGTGATACTACTGACCTTGTACTATCTTGCCTCTCTATCTCTCTATAATGACCCTCTCATCATCATTTTCAGTTCAGTAATTTATTGTTTATTATGGTGAGAGCAGGGAGGGAAACTATTTCAAGCTCTGTGGAACTCCCCCGAAAGACGAAGAGAAAAATATTAAATAATGAATTTTTAAGAAACTTTTACTGTTTAACTTGCAAGAATAAGAAGAGAGAGAGACAGAGAGAAAGAAGATTGCTCTTTACTAATAGTGTACTCACAGACCCATCACATCACCTCTCGTTAATCCATACCATGTCTACCGTTGCTACGTTGTCTGTAAGTGAAAAGGAATTTACTAGTAAGTTTCTTACTTTGGCAACACTTAATGAACCCGTTTTACCATCAAACTACCAAAAACCGTTGAAAGATGTTAGTGCTTTAGGAGTTGCATTACCTGCATTGAAATATAGATATAACCCAAAGAGAGCCAAGAAGAACCTAGAAAACTCATCTTTGGTTAATGATCAAGCTAATGGTGAAGTGTCCTTAGTTTTGAAAAGTATTAGAAATCCAAAATTCGTATTGACTCAAACTTTCCAAACAAGTGATACCATTTTACAAATTAAAGAATTCTTATTAAATGAAAAGAAAGTAGAACAATTAGGTCAATTGAAACTGTTATTGAAAGGGAAAGTTCTTCATGATAATATCCTTCTATTGGAACTTGACAGTTCAAGTGACATTGTAATAAATGTGATCATTTCTGCGCCTAAACCAATCACAGAGACAACTCTAGATAACGGAGATAATGAACCTGTACAAGAATCCATTGCAGACTTAGAAAATGTAACTTTACCTTGGAACGATATAGAAACTTTATTAAATTCTAAGCTCAACAACCCTGAAGAAGTCAATTTTGCCATGGATAGATTAAAGAAAGGTTGGAATTTGGCAAAATAGCTTTAGTATATATGCTTATGTATTCGATTATAAATTATTATTAATGATTCATTTTCCTTAATTATCATTTGTTTGCCTCATCTTCCTTACTCGTTCTTTGATACTATTATTCCAATTTATACTATTTAATCCACCAACATTAAACCCGTTAATCTCAGATGACATGGTCTCATTCACCAGATCATTACTCAACGAATATTCTTGACTATAACCATTTAACTTCGGAGAGGACTCGGAATTAATCGGAAAAGATCTCTCAAGAATAGTCTCATCAAAGTGTTTTAATTTATTTCTCTGAACTGAAACATATTTCCTTCTCAAATCAATCTCATCCTGTGTTAATTGATTTAAGCTAAACTTCTTCTTAAATAAAATCTTATCGAATAATAAATTTGCATCGATTAACTTTCTGGGGAACGTTTGGATCACTTGAAACATCAATATATCATAATCATCTTGATTCATTTGAAATTCTTTAGGTCGTTTATTATTAACTTGGGATATCGAGTCTGTGGAGCCCTGAGTAGCATACGATATCGTATTTAAAAAAAATTTCTTCGTACTATTATTTATACTATCCTTTAATAATTCGTCTTCGCATAATTTTAAAATAGCTAATGATGATTTAAATAAGAAATGTGATTTCTCATAGAACATACAATCCCATATTCTAAGTGTGGTTTCAATTGGAACAGAACCGATGAAACAGCTCATAAACCAACTTGCTGTGGTTAATGTAATAGGAGGCAATTTAAACAAATACTCTTCCTTATGGAAATAATTTTGGATAGTGGTTTTATTATTTTCAGGATTCATTAAATTATCCTGATGATTACTTGTAATATATGACAGTTCAATTTGTTCCCACAATTCAGGTAAATATTCTTTAATGCAAAGGATTAATACACCTTGATCGACATTAACACCTTCAAGGTTTAAAGAGTGAACTCCAGGTAGATATTTTTTTGTAATTATTACCAACATCCAAAACACTTTTTCTTCATCCAAAAATAATAGTAATAATCCTGCAATGAAATTCATAGATTGACAATATCCAATTGAAGGATCATAAATTGTAAATGCAACAAGGACTCGTCTTAATGATTGAATCATTACAGGCTCCTCTTTTTGGAATCCTTCCTTATGAAAATGTATATTATCTGGGAATGTTCTCCACAGATCTCTTTCAATTATATCAAAGTCATCATTATTATTCTTATTTTTCTTACTAATTTTCTCCACTTTTGTTGTCTTCAATACTAATTTATCATATAAACCTTTATTTTTTTGTAACATTTCTTCTCCTCTAGCAAAATGCCACCATGCATTACCCCTCCATTCAGCAGGTATACCTTTCCTTATATATCTTTTAAGTTTTTCACAATTCGATGGGAAATTCAATGGGTTATCGTTATTCAATGGTAACCCACATTTACTCAAATATGTCTCCCATTTTTTCTTCCTCTTCAGACAATATTTAGAATATTCCCCCCACCATTGATCATATTCTTCTTCAGTTATATAATTGTTTTGTTTTCTAAAACCATATCTATCAAAGTGAGCAGGATCGTTTCTATCCAATTCTGATTGTCTTTGAATAGTAGAAGGAGACCCAGGCCCAGTACTAGCAGTATCAGCCCTAGCTCGAGACGGAGTGGTTGCACTATGTGTATCTTGATCATCCAATGATCTATATATGTCTATAATTTGTGTACTCTCAGAATAACTGTCAAATGTATTGCGCTTATTTGGCGTTAGGACACTACCCAGCGGTTCGTCTTCATTTATTTTGCTCATACCACTAATATTTCTTACAGGGGTCGAGGAGAGTCCCTTGAATTTCTGCATGTCTGGCATAGACTTGTTTCTCGGTATGTCATCACACTCAATTTGTACCAGTTTCGATTTATCATTGGATTTTGTTCTTGACTTGATATCCTGCATCTATATTCAGCGAAAATCGTATCACAGTTTTGTAATTTTGTACTTGCAGAGTCTTTTCAACAATTCTTATTAAAGCAGAGTAGATAACTGACCTTCCTTATACTTCCCTCAATACTTTTAAGCCTACTTCTCTTCATTATTTAAAAATGTGTCTTTGTCTTTGTCTTTCATCAGATTAGTTGATGCCTTTTATTTTTTTGAATATTCCCTTTACTGCCTTTTGGAGAATATAAGGACTTCGATAAGGGAAACCATCAAATAAACGAAGGCGATCAGATGTGATCTAATAGTAGACTATTGGTAATGCTTCCTGCACTTATTTGATTTCAAAGATTTATAACCCATAAAGGTTTTATTTTTATCATTCATTCCCCCCATTGAAATATCTTATGGGACTCATGCGATGATTTACACTGTTGGTGCTGCGAGTGCATACACCATTACTAGATACATCTTTGGAAGATCTGCAATTATTCGTGAATTCCAGATATCTTCATCATTGTTATATAGTGATACTAATGTTGCCAAGGAATGGGTTGACAAATTGACAGTAGAAGCTCTACCGACCCGGTTTTTTTCGATCAGATACGATCGAGCTAGTGGTCCAGGTGGACAAAATGTCAATAAGGTGAATACTAAATGTACTTTGACATTACCTAACTTCTCGAAATGTTCTTTATTTCCTTTGGATGTTAGAGAACAAATGATAGATAAGAAGGTAAGGATTTACTCTCACGTGAATGACACTATTGTGTTACAAAGTGACGAAACAAGATCCAGAGAAAACAATAGACTGTTGTGTTTCAAAAAATTGATATCTTTTATTAGAGAGACATGTTATTTTCCGAATGACCCTACTATTGATGATGTTAGGAAATGGGATAATATAAGGAAGAAATCGAAAGAATCGAGATTAAAAGAAAAGAAGTTCAATGGTGAGAAGAAAAAAAATAGAAAACTACTATATTGAAATAGATTATGACCATACAATAATACATGCACGTATTGAAATTTTAGTCTATATAGTGAAAAATATAAATACATACTATTATATATTCAAGAGTAATTGAAGTTACAAATAAATTATTTTATTTATGCAATGCTTCAATGAAGAAGCAACAAGATTCTAAATATTACGAAGCTGAATCAATAAATCAAAAAATGATTCTCCTTCCTTTTTTTAAATAGAGAGAATCGCCATCTATCAACTGTCAAGAGGAATATATCCATCATCACTTTCCTCAACTTGTCTTTTCTTAGACTTTTTAGACTTTTTATCCTTTCTTTTTTGTTTCTTCTTTACAGGTCCTGAGACACCTGTATTCTCATCATTATTCTCATTCTTTTTCTTCTTCCCTTTACTTTTCTTCTTTCTGTTTCTATCAAGGGGAGCTGCAACATCGTAGTCATCTTCCATTTCATCTCTACTACGTTTGTTGTGAAATTCTTCATTTTCAATGATGGCCTTATTAACAACCAATTTTCTTTCATCTTTAAAGTTCCTTTGTTTACCTCTATACTTTATTACACTACCCAAAATACTTTTCCCTGAACGACCCTTAAAACTTACCTCATGCAATTCAAAGCATTGATTTGTTAACATATCAAATGTACCAGCAAATGCCTTTTTAATATCACGAATATTGAACGAACCTCTACTAATGTTATTCGTCGAGTCCCCAGGGTCTTGAATAGCTAAACTAAATGAATTTCTAATTGGGTAAAGATCCTTCCATAAATATTTTGGTAAATAACTAGGCTCTCCATTTAAGACACTAATAGCAACATCGTCATAACCAAAATTCTTACCGTATAGTTCAAAAAAATCAATCAATAAGACACCTAAATTATCCTTGGCAAATATTTCCTTTGTTACTATTCTAGGATGCATATGCAAAAATGAAAACACAAGACAAATGATACTAAAACCACCTAACCCACCTGTATGTACATTATTCAACTTTCTTGCATGTAGGAATTGTTTTACAATAAGTACTAATTCTCTTAAACCAGGTGTACTATCTAGCCAACTCCTAATTAGCTTTGCTGCATCAACACCGTTTGTTCTTTCAAATGATATATCAATATGTATTCTTGATTCTGGCTCAACAAATTTAATAATCGGAACTCTTGCTTTCGAAATGACCTCTATGTCAATAGCTAAACCATCTTTACTTAAATGGTTTGCTAATTGGTATAATGCGTTTCCATTGTCTTTATTACCACCTTTACTATTAATCACACAATCGATATCTGAGCCCGGCAAATATAAATCGGTAGCATAAGAACCAAATACATGCAAATCAGCATCTGGCCATAAAGCCTTGACGCTACTCCGTATCTTCCCAATAGTAATATTACGAGATTCAATCTCTATTTTGCTTGGAGATATATAAGATACGAAATCTTTTATCTCTAACGTAAGCCAATCCGCAACCTCTTTTTGTTTGGAATGATCGTGGTTGACAATCCATGGAAAATCTGTCATAATGGCTTCGCCTTCTTCAGGTTCCTGATTATCATCTGTGGTAATCTTTGGTTTCTCTACTTCATCTTCACCTTCAGACTCACTAGCAGAAAATGCAATAAAATCATTATTTTCAGTTAATTCATTATTTTCATTTGATACTTTCTCTACTGCCGTTTCAGAATCCGCTTCCTTAGCTTCAGACATATTTGAAGTTGTGAGTTTAATTTCTGGAACTTTAGATACTGGTATCGGTTGCTCCAATTCTAAAGACTCAATATTTGCCTGAAGAGGAGATGTATTTTTATATCCGGCACTAGATACCGTAGATGGATGAGATATTGGAACTGGTACTGGAGTATTAGATTCAGTAGGATTATCGTAGTGTCCATCGTAATCGTCATATGCTTCAGCTTCTTCCAGTGCTTCAGCCTTATTTTCTGCCTCAATTTCAGCTGCAGTAGGAACAAGGTTAACATTAGTCTTTTCATCATCGCTGTCTGATAGTGGTACAAAATCGTTTTCATTGTCAATCTCGTTAATTCTTAGCTCCTGTTGGGGAGGTATTGTGGTTTTCGTTTCCACATCATCACTACCGTTCGTCGCCGACATATCTTTAACGTATTATATGTAGAAGAAAAGAATTAATCGCTAACAACGTCTATATCTAATCTAGAACGTAATGTAATGCGTAAAAACCCTTTTAATATTGCCTTTGTATTCGTTATCCATAAATGTTCATTCAAGTCATTCACTACTTGTCTCGTTGTTTTTATTAGTCGAAAATTTTTCGTTTTCAGATGTTGAAAGTTCAATGCTCTTTAAAAAAAATAAGCCTGAGTAAGCAACAACAAACAGCCTACAAAAAGATGTAGTAAATAAAGAAGTGTTGGGAATATTATGAGAATTAGTATATGTATATCTATATGTATCTATCACTAAGGTGTACCTTGATCCCCCATGAGGTGTGGAGAAGAAAATACGGGAACTTATGTATCGATTATTTGAGAATATCTGGGATATTGGTTGTTTGAGAAAGCCATCCTATCGGATGTTTGGCTTTTTTGGCTTCATCTACGTACCTAGCATTCTCCAATATATCAATTATGTACTCCAAGGTATATCCTCTTGCCAACCCAATCTCTATAGCTTTCCATAATGGTTTACGTCTGGAGTACCGTTTCCCTGTAGCGGAGTCTCGTCTCCAAGTTGCTTGATATATTGTTTCCATTTCTTTAATGGACGGTTGTCCCTGTATACCACTAGTATATTCTTTCCAGACATCCAAAACCGAATGAGGAGATTTAAGAAACTTGAAAGGTTCATTTCTGTTGGGGATATACTTTGCTCTCTTGGTAGCAGGTCCAAAATCTGGGGCCCCAGTAGAACTGGCAGTTACACCTTGTAATATGACCAGTTGATCGCTTGTTGTATTTAAAGCTTCATCAGATGCGATATGATGGAATGTACCTGGCGCAGGTTTGTAGACTTCCCCTAAAGGATTGACGTTTGGTTTATCTATTAAATCCTTCGGATCTGTAATTATTGCTGAAGCTGGTTTAAATGGTTCGTTCTCACCACTGTCATCGTGTCGACGTTTATGATCGAATACGCTTTTTTGCAAAGGTAATACAATACTAGAATCATCAACCCTATGATTCTCGTCGATTAAGTCATTAAACATATCATCAGTTGGGTTAGTAGCCGTCTCATGAGTAGGTGGGTTTACTACTAATTGAGAGATACTTGTTCTGCTTGAGCTATTAGATGGTAACGAAGTCACTTTTCCTGCTTTTGTGTTTGTAGTGGACCCCCCATGATGAATATTCAAAGAATTTGTCAATTTGTTTCTTAGATGCTCTGCATGATGAGCTTGATCGTTCACCAGGATTCCAATTACGTTATTCAATTCAGTGATTTGTTTCTGTTGAGAATGGATCAATTTATCATATTTTTCAAAATGCTTGTCTAGTCTACTACTGAAAGCATGGAAAAGGTCCTCGAAGAGCACGATACGTCTTTCTATCTCTTCCACCCGTTCATTCAATGGCTTTCCAGAAGTCTCTGAATGATCCATCTTGAAGTAAAGATCTACCGATGAACCAACTACCGGTATATGTGTACGTCTTGTCTCGAAAGGAACAGCTGTCAAAAAGCAAACCACAACTAAGAAGCACGCGACTCTTCCAGAGGAGTACTTTACTTGTACAACAGTCAGTTGATGCTACTTCACGAATCCATCCCGTCGTCTCTATCTGTGTATGCATCTGTATGTCTTCAGATACGTTGGTCGAAGTTGTGCGTATCTCAAACTAATTAGACAAACAATAAATTTCTCAAGAGATTCTGTTTTTTCTATTCTCTAATAGGTCCATGTATTGTTAATGACAATTAAACAATAGAACAAAGAAAGAACAGAAAAGGGTTTCTATAAACGTGTATGAGTGGGATATATATTATGGGGGGTGGGGTGATGTTAGTCTATTATATAATTATGTTGTTATGTATAGAGGGAGAGTGAGAGAGGGAAAGAGATAACACAATGCAAAAGAAAGATAGCAAAAATATATATTAGTATACCTTAAGTACGCTTGCAATGTCTCATAGTCTCCTGAGGTAGCCCCTCTTACTTCTTACGAATAGGAGAGGGGATGGAGTATGTGATCTTCGATTATTTTACAAAAGCCGGACTCTCTTTATAGTTCTTCCTCAGCATGCTTCAACATGTAAATTGAATGTGAATGTATATTTTCTTATGAAATGTATTGATGACAGAAAATGGAAAAAAGGGTTAATTGCCATCTTACAATAAAGCAACAGCTAGAGCACCAAGCAAAGCACCAACACCGTAAGTGGTGGCGGCAGCACCAGCTTCATGTTCTAGAACGCTGTGAGATGTGCTGTTGACAGAGACAGAAGAGTAGAAACTGGAAGTTGTGCTGTTAGCAGCGGTCTTGACAGCTAGAGTAGTGGTTGTGTGTGGAGTAGAAGTAGTCTTGACGGTGGAGACAGCAGATTTGGTGACTTCTGGGGTGGTGGTGACATCGACGTAAGTGATATCGTCAGAAGAAGAAGCAGCGGAAGCGACAGCGACGGTTAGAGCAATGGAAGCGACAGTAGAGAATTGCATTGTTTATATGTATGTGAGTGAGTGAGTGAGTGTAATGTGTTTGATAATTTACTGGGGAGCTGTATATTATAACTAAGTTAAAATTAAAAAGGAAAGAAAGGATATAAAACTGTATACTGATAACGTTTGAAAATAATCAAATATACCGCCAGTATATATACCAAAATAAGAGCGAGAATAATTTTAGTTGACGAGCAGCATCATGTTAAAATCGGATTAACAAATTCGTCTTTAAGGTTACTCTAGTGGTTCTTTAATGCTAGTTCCAAATAGTGATATCCCTGAAACGTTCTGTATAGATCAAATCAAGCACTATATTATTCCTAATTGGGACACAGATATATGATCTGACGCCAAATACACAACCACATAAGAATATCGCCCTCCCCACCACACTAATTAAATAATCATCCTGCTAATACATTGATATTATTTTTTCGTGTATTACACACTTGCTATATTCAAAACAATACCCAAAAAACCAACATTACCACGGTGCCAGAACACAATACATTGATTCAATTATCTACATCGACCCATCCCAGACAGAGCACTAAAACCAACATCGAGCTAGTCATCATCACCATCATCAGCACCGTCTGCTCTTCCATTTACCGTCGCCAAAAACGAACGAAATTTCGCGACGCGCAGCGAGTGGAAAGCAAAGCAAAAGGTTTTTCGTGTCGCGCGCAGTTCGCAATTCGCGCGGTGGAAAGAACCTGAAACGATTCGATTCGGTGGATGATAATGATATGACCATCGGTATTTCGTGTTTGCCTCATGTAGGTATCCGTTGCTGGGAGTCTGCTTTCTTTTCGAGTTTGTCGATGTTCTTTTCTGCCATGCCAACGAGTTTCATGAATTGTTCGTGCAATCTGGCCTGATGTCCTTGAGCAGATGTATTCTTAAGCTCTTGGTGAGATGCCTCTGGTACGTCTGGTGCAATCGCAGTCCTCCCGGTGGAAGGAAGGTGTGTATGCTCCATACGGGTTTGTTTCAACTGGTCAAAGAACTCTGCGACCTCGATTCTTTCTTTAAAATGAATAGACTCAACAGAATTCACAGCAACGTCATTAGCAAATTCATAACTCTTCGACTCGTCCATCCCTTGCAAAGATGGTTGATAATGAGAACCTACGGTCAAAGGAACCTTGTATTCATCCCCGAAATAAACGAGATCATTGAGGAAATCAATCTTGTAGTATACAGCAGCCTCTCCTCTCATAATCGAGGTCATTAATAATGTCAATAGTTCATCTCTTGCCATTGGTGCATTCTTATCATATGTCAATTGTTCACAAATATCCTTAATAGATAAACAATCATAGTTTGGTGCAACTTTGGTCCAGAGTTTCGTAGATTGTATTAAGAGTAAGATCTTCTTGATGAAATAACCTAGTGTGACTTGTAATTGACCTAATTGATTAATACTATCATAGAAGGCATCTACATCACAATTCATCCAATCTTGATACATTTCTTTCAATATCTGAACAAAGGGGGTGTCTTCCACAATTCGAATTTCTTCAAACGTAAATGGATCAACAACGGGTGTGTCCTTAAATGTAGATGTATCATAATCAGTCTTACCTTCTTTCACCAAAACCATACTTGACATAACAATGAATGCAATCAATAATTTATGATAGTCCTGTAAATCAGGTTGCGAAGTAGAAGAAGCAAGTCTTCCGTAGCCGATTTCTTCAAATCTAATTAATGCTTTTCTAAACACATTCTTAGTGTCCCTGGTCCCTTCTAAGAAACCATCCAGTTTACTTTCCCCTGGACCATATTCAGATGATTCCACATCGTCTAGTTCACTTCGTGGCATGTATATGATCCCTCTACCTGTATGGACGATTATGCTAAGCTCCGGGTCATGCTTCAATGTCGCCGATTGAGTAACAAGGTCATTGAGCTTCCAGATGTTGGCTTGAGCACCCTCACGATAATCGGCAGAAGATGACCCACCTTTACGAATGAACTGGTAAATACTTGCCTCAACTTTGATTCGCAATGCATTGACCAATAATTCAGGCATAATACCTGGCCTATTGATAGATAATAAATTAGTAGTATGATCCAATATTGTTTGCAAAGATGTCAGGGTCTTTTGAGGAACGTCACTATCTTCCACGATTGCCTTAACCACAGTTAAATAATGTATTTTATACTTGTATAAGAAGACTATGCTACCAATCCAATTCGGAGTGGATTCAAAACGTAATAAATTTTCCAATTCTGAAAGTAAACAAGAATAAAATTCAACAGATTTTTTTAAAACTTCCTTTCTCTCAGTTGTTAAATTAAATAATAAACCACATTTTGATGAAAATTCTTTACCAATTACTAAATCATCTATAATTCCAATGATTCTAGGCACTTCATCGGCATGGATTAAATCCTTAGACATAAAAAATACAAGCACACTCTCAGATAAAGCAGCTCCAATATCCTTTGCGGAAGGATATGCTGTACAGGATTTAAGTTCCTGAATCCATGATTCCAGTATCTTCATCTGTACCTGAAAGATTGTTCTGGATGCAAGTGCTGCATCTCTTGGGAATTCAGAAAGCTTCTCACGGGCCAATACAAAATTATTTGCTTCGAATAATACATCCACTGTTTCCATCAGTTGGTTATACCGCTCGTCTAAAGACAATTCAGGCTTATTCTGTTGAGGATCATTTCTTCCGGTGGTATCAGCATTATTGTCAATTTCGTTGTCACTCTCGAACTCCATATCATCACCACCATTCATAGCATCATCGTCTGAGTACATGAAATCATCGTAGTTACCGCTGTCCTCTGTGTCACTCCCAATGAACATCGTTCAATGATTCGGTAGTGCTAAAATGCGATTTTATAGTATTGAAACTTTTCAATACTGGGTTTCCCACTCGAATCTTGGATTAATCTAACTTCAATTCTAACCATATACCAATATCAAGAACATGAAGATGCACGTACACATACTTTTCATTACGGGCTTACTGCACTGGTGAGTTGCTTCTCTTCTCCTTTTAAGTGTATAATGGTTTGCTCTTCTCATCTGAAATTCTTTCCCTTGACTGGTCAAATCCACATTTCGCTATCAATTTTGTCTTTACGGGCGGCGGGGCAAATTGATTGAAATGACTCTAATTCAATGGACAAGATAAGATGGAGATGAGTTAGCGATTAGGTCCCTTTGGTCCCTGTCAGAAGGGAGTTTGTCCCAATTCCTATTTATTTGAAATGGTTCTTGAATAATTAATTTAATTGGATACTTTCTACAACTATACAAATATATATTTGTAACATCTGGAAATAATAAACAAATAATTAATTTAAATAGCATAATATCGATAAGATGTTACCTATGAATTTCCTCTCGAGGCCAGCTAATGTCTTCTTCCGCAAGGGCCATGGTTACAAGAAGGATGCCGCTCCTATGACTCCCATCCCTTCAATTGTGGGGTTGAATGATGGTACTATGCATTCCGAGTTCGAGATGGAATCCTTAAACCAGTTTCTTAATCAAACTTCGGGGTTCACAGCAGAGACAACAACTGTCGAACTTGCTGGTCTTAATGGTAAGAAAAGTGAGCTTCCAAACGATTTGGATTTTAACACTACTACAAAAACTATTGAACCAGAACTCATCACCGATAATGAGACTTCTTCCATGTTTGAGGACGAAAACGGTAGAACTTACCCAGATGGTGGGGTTCAAGCTTGGCTGGTTGTTTTTGGATCATTTGTAGGATTAATCCCAGTGTTTGGTATGCTAAACTCTCTAGGTGCTATTGAATCGTATGTCTCGAAACATCAATTGGCAGGCGTTGCTCAATCTACAATTTCATGGATCTTCTCTTTGTATTTAGTCATCACGTTCTTAAGTTGTGTTTTGACAGGTGGTTATTTCGACAGAAATGGCTCTTTCAAACCAATGTGTTTTGGAATATTATTTTACGAGGCAGGTTTAATTGCTTTGGCGGATTGTCAAGAAATGTACCAATTTATTCTAGCATTTTCTGTTGTTTGTGGAATAGGTAGTGGATTTCTAATGACTCCCTTAGTGAGCGTCATTGCTACTTGGTTCTACAGAAAGAGGGGTGTTGCTACAAGTGTTGCTACAATGGGTGGATCTATTGGTGGGATGATCATTGCTCCAATTTTAAGAAAACTTTACGTGGAGGTCGGGTTCAAGTGGGCTCTCAGAATCTTTGCCTTAATTTGTGCTGCTTGTTTATTAATTTCAGTGTGCTTGGTAAAAGTATGGGATCAACCAACAGCTATCCCCTTTACCTCAAGATGGGAGGAATTGAAATGGTATTTCAGTTCCTCCTTTAATTGGAGATATTTCCTAGAGGGTCCATTTTTATTTGCTGCATTAGGTGCGGCACTAGCTGAAAGTGCTTTGACTGCATTGGCCACCTATGTCTCTTCTTATTCGTTAACAGTTGGGAATTCAGAATCAACATCATATAATTTAATCACAGTGACAAATGCCGCAGGCATGCTAGGACGTTACATCCCAGGATATGTCGCAGATAAGTACCTCGGTGGATTTAACGTCACTATTATCACCGTCTCAATGGCTGTTCTAGTAAACTTCGTAATATGGCTTCCATTTGGCACCCATTTAAATGCTTTATGGACATACGCTGCACTTTATGGGTTTTCTACTGGATCTATTTTATCATTAACACCAGTATGCGTTGGTCAAATATCTAGGACAGACGATTTTGGAAAGAGATACTCAACAGTATATATGTTGGAGGCACTATTAACTATCCCAGTCTTGCCTATTGGTGGTGCTATCATCGGTAAAGGTTCTCTAACTGATTACAACAATTTTATTATATTCAATTCTCTAGTGATGCTTTTTGGAGCTATTTGTTACTTTGTTTCGAGATGGTTTTCTGTGGGGTTCAAACTAGTTAAGTACTGATATGCACTTCCCCTGGGAGATTCTCTTTTTTATATTAACCATACGTAAAGGCTAAAATACATAAATAAATATCCATCCATTAGGGAATCTTATGTTCGCTATCTGTTTCTGTTATCTGACGTGACTCATATGACTGATAACGTTATATCTGAAAATGAGATCTTTATCCGCGATGAGCCTTGAGGCTCAGATATAAAAATAGTTATATAAGAATTATTTTTCAGTTTCGAAATAAATCACAGCTTCAAACAACAGTGGTTCAAACTAATAACGATGACATTACATCCAACAAACTAATAGGATATGCTACCTTGGAATTATTTAAGCAAACCGGCGAAGATATTCACCCCAAAGGATCACACCGAAAAGCCTAAAGGACCAGCAATCGAGGGCGATACGTCAAGACATAAGGTTCCTCAGAGCTCAGAAATAGAGTTACATTCACTTCAAAACACAGTAGATGAATCACCTTTTCAAGTAACTGGGTTTTCCTTTCAAGATACATCTCCAGATGAACCTGCTAGTGTTCTGAAAAAAGGTGACTTAGGGAAAGAAAGACCAAATCAGGAGAATACTGAGGTTTTCGAAACTTCTGATATCGCTGATGAGGACGAAAATGGCGGGAAATATGTCGATGAGAACGGGAGAGTTTACCCAGATGGAGGACGTGAAGCTTGGTTAGTTGTCTTTGGATCCTTTATGGGTCTGATCCCAGGCTTTGGTATAGTAAATTCTTTGGGTGCGATTGAATCATATGTCTCTAAGAATCAATTGGCAAACGTATCACAATCAACCATTTCATGGATTTTTTCTCTTTTTTTAGTAATTAGTTCCTTGAGTTGTGTCTTGACTGGAGGTTACTTCGATCGGAACGGCGCTACGAGGCCTATGCTGATTGGTATCGTATTTTATACTGCCGGTTTAGTCGCTTTGGCTGACTGTCAAGAAGTTTATCAATTTATTCTTGCTTTTTCTGTCCTAGCTGGTATAGGTACTGGGGCACTTATGACTCCATTAGTGAGTGTTATTACAACATGGTTTTATAGAAAGAGGGGTATTGCTAGCAGTATAGCCACAATGGGTGGGTCTATCGGTGGTATTTTAATTGCACCTGTACTAAGGAAACTTTATGTTGAGGTTGGATTTAAATGGGCTATTAGAATATTTGCATTAATATGTTTTGTTTGCCTTGTAGTTTCATTTTTCTTAGTTAAGGAATTTGACAAAGAGATACCAGTACCATTTGCCACTAAGATGGATGAACTCAAATGGTATTTCAGTTCTTCAATCAATTGGAGATATTTTTTGGAGAAGAGGTTTCTCTTTGCTGCATTAGGTGCAGCTTTAGTCGAAAGTGCATTAACTGCATTAGCTACGTATGTTGCGTCATATTCTTTAGCAGCAGGCAACTCTGAATCAACTTCCTATAATTTAATTATGGTAACCAATGCAGCAGGAATGTTTGGTAGATACATTCCAGGCTACATAGCAGATAAATACCTAGGTGGATTCAATGTTAGCATCATAACCATATCTATGGCTGTCTTGGTCAATTTTATAATATGGTTACCCTTTGGTACTCATATTGAGGCATTATGGGTTTACGTTATTATTTATGGGTTTTCAACTGGGTCAATATTTTCTTTAACACCTGTCTGTATTGGACAAATATCTAGAACAGAAGATTTTGGTAAAAGATTTTCAACAGTTTATTTCTTTGAAGCTATTATCACTATTCCTGTATTACCTATTGGTGGTGCTATCATTGGAGATGGCTCAATTTCAAATTATAATAAATTTATTGTATTCAATTCAGTGATTATGGGTGTAGGCGTTGGTTGTTACATCATCTCTAGATATCTTTCAGTTGGAATGAAGATTGTTAAATATTGAAACAGTTCGAATACTTTAAATGGCTCTTTGCATTTTAGACATGGTATTTGGTTATGGTATTATTGTATATAAGCTGCATATGTACTTGTAAAAAAAGGGAACAACCCACCTAAAATATATATAGAGAACTAATATATATACACGTATTCAAAATCACCTTTAATAGAGGTTTAAGCAAAATTTCTGTTTATTATTCGTAATTTCATCTTCACACCAAAGTTATTATCGCAATACTAAATTAAATTACATGGTATCATTACCAAAATATTCAAGCTCACATCAGTAAAATTAGAATTAAAAATTTAAAACATCCAGACAGTTTTCAAGTTTTCCAACAAAAGAAGAATTGTTAGTAAAATAATAATATCTCAACCCTTTATCATTCCTCAAGATTCTTTCAAAATATTTCCATCGTACGCAATATCCCCACAAGTATCCCACATATTTTTGTTTTATCACTAAAATAATATTCGTTTTACCAGTATATAAAATCTTATTCTTGCTAAACTCACCTAAGAAAATACATATTAAAAGGATTAAAAATTTACCCCAGAAGTCAAATAAGCATCAGTAATAAAGATAAAATCACGAAATAATAAAACCGATCAGAAAAAAAAATGCTTTCAATTATTAGTTGTATCCTATACCATCCGTTCTCTCATTAATTATTATCTATGGAAAAATTATAATATTAATAATAGTAAAATCTATCACAATACCTACCATGTCTCAGAAGAGAAAATGCATTGCTGCACACTCTAACAAAATGTTAGAATAGTGTCGGGCTCTCAAAGTGATATATTAATATACTTGCATACCGACTAAAAACTCTCCTTAATATTCATTAAATTCTATTTTTATATTTCTATGGACGTGTCGTTATAAATAAATTTCCGACATCTTTCTATTTATAATGTTACCACGATGATATATCTCAACATCTATAAAATATATTATAACGTAAAATAATGATAAAAGAACTGAGGAATATAGATCAAAGAGAGTTGTACTTCTTGTCAAAGGAAGAAATGGTTTTGTCCCTCCTATTTATACTTTTCAAGAATAAGGAGTTTTTTAAGGGTACGGCTGTCTACACGTGTGCGGCACTAACCCTAATTTTGGCGATGGGTTTTCTAAAATCCCTCAGATCGAACACACCATACTATATAAACATATAAGAATAACAGTTATTAAAGAATTGCGTAATATTTCAAGGAACTCCACTTCATTAATAGATTGTGAGAACTTAGAATTTAAACGGCGATCTATAATCGATGTAAAACTCTGTAGTTTATTAGGTTGCTTTATGGTCCTCTTGGCCTAGTTCGTTGATTACAGAAACCGGTTTAAATTTATTGATTTCCTTCCAGAGTTAACAGATGTTACATGTACACTCAAAAAGTAATGTATCAGAACTGGGAAAAAATTATGGTATGATGAGGAAGAAAACGATCAGCAAAAGGTTGGAACTTTTCGATAGACTTCTCTAACTTTACAGGAACTTTATTGAAAACTTAAGTTTTTATAATATCTGTGTTTCCTTTCATAATATAATTGTTTTACGAACTATAGGATTTTGTATTGTCAACAACATCTGCAACCTCTTCAATTTTCTTTCAACCATTCTTACTTTAATTTTCATGGAGTATAATACATCGTGGCGTGTTTCCTCATACATACCCTTGCAGTACATTTAAAAAGGGTTTAATAAAAAACCTATGGCCATATATAACTGGAGCTTTTCTTAATGTCATCATCAGCAACACCAATTATGCTCATATTCAATTTCGGATTCATCGACAGTAACTCCATAATAACATTTATAAATATCTTCAATTAACGTACAGTGCGATCAGTATGAAGAATAAAAGATTTAAAATTAAGATCTTAATAAAATAGAGTGAATGCATCAATTAAATTTTGACCCATCATTTGTACAACAATTGGTCACGACATTATTCATCTTCATATATAAATAAACATCATTCAGAATTTTAGTAAGACTGGTGTATTCGTTCTAACCATTTTTCAGGATGTGCATCGTCAAGGTTGAAAGGAGAGTAGTCACCATGAGTCACTGTAACAACTTACTCTTCGAAGCTGTTTCTCGATAAATCAGACTACAGTATACTATTAAGTATATCATCATTTGAAACTCTAGTAACCTTAACTAAATGTTCACATATATAATCACTTGCCTTGTTATGGGTTTTCTTTCAGAATGGTAGAAAAATAGGATTATTTTCTTGGCATGCAATCGACCCAATTAGATTGAAATATTCCATTTCTAAACAAAAAATATACCAGATTATAATCCATTTAGAGAACCGTACTCTCTCATATAATCATTCACATAATGTGGAATACAATCCGGGACATCAGATGGCAATTCGACTAATATACAAATAACTTCCTTATCTTGTTGCTCAACAGTTCTCCCATTTAAATAACCAATTCCAATAAGTCCAACTTTACAATAGGCATATCGTTAACACATATTGCGACAGTATATGTGATTAAGATTCTATCATGTGGAAAAGATGTAACCAAATTGCAAGTAAATAAATTTATGAATCCTCAATTTTACGAAAATTATAGATGTTCAATTATGATACTTATTAAGATATATCAAGTATGGAATAGTAAAGAAATATTGCACAGCGTACCCAACAATTAGAGTCAACTAACTAATTAAACAAAATAATATAAACTTAGAAAGTTTTATTAAAAGAAAATATGGGCAATATACACTTTAGCTATTATTACATTGTTCGTTCAACATATAATTCGAAAGTCCGACCCATTACTTTACCTTGAAATGATTCAAAATTCGAAGACCTGGCTAGATACAAAACGTTTATTACTGATACTTTAAGCATCATTTTCTTCCATAAGCACATGGTTATCAAATTCATGTAAAAAGAAAAGATAATCTAATTCGTGTACGGTTCATTATTTAATAAATGTACAAATGCATAAATGTGTAAATGTGACGATAAATGACCCGATATCAAGTTAGGGCTTTTGTAGGGTTTATAAATTAGTGTTGAAACCCTATATTATTATTTAGGGTTTAATGACCAGTCTAATGAGGCCTAAATCATTGGACTGTTCCAAAACGTTGGCAGTGGTGTCCAGGTGCATATTCGTTTTTTTAAAAAAAAATGGCAAATAAAAGTGAAAATTCCATAAAAATTTCCTTTTTCGGAAAGATGCAAAAAAACTAATAAACCATTTGAACTTTTTCAGTGAAAGTTTTCAGCCCGCTCGTACATCACGATTAACTATCGATACCAACTTTCTCTCATGTATTGGTCTTTCTGTTCAGAGGTCCTCGAATTCTAACCAAGAACCGTCTTCCCTCTCTGCTCACCATTTATTCTAATTTGATGAGTTAATGTATATATCAAAAGTAAGATTGATATAGTGTATATCAGTTTCTCTTACTTAAAACGTACATTATTTAAACTTGTTCCTTATTTTATAAACAGGTGCAACAAAACTAAGCAAAAATGGGTATCGATCACACTTCCAAGCAACACGAGAGATCCGGTCACAGAACCGCTCCAAAGTCTGACAACGTCTACTTAAAGCAATTGGTTAAGCTATATTCTTTCCTAGCCAGAAGAACCGATGCTCCATTCAACAAGGTTGTCCTAAAGTCTTTGTTCCTATCCAAGATCAACAGACCACCTGTGTCTATTTCTAGAATTGCTAGAGCTCTAAAGCAAGACGGTGCTTCCGCTAAGACCATCGTTGTTGTCGGTACTGTCACTGACGACGCCAGAGTCTTCGAACTACCAAAGACTACTGTTGCTGCTCTAAGATTCACCGCTGGTGCCAGAGCTAGAATCACCAAGGCTGGTGGTGAATGTATCACTCTAGATCAACTTGCTGTCAGAGCTCCAAAGGGTCAAAACACTTTGATTCTAAGAGGTCCAAGAAACTCCAGAGAAGCTGTTAGACACTTCGGTATGGGTCCACACAAGAACAAGGCTCCAAGAATCCTATCCAAGGGTAGAAAGTTCGAAAGAGCTAGAGGTAGAAGAAACTCTAAGGCCTTCAAGGTGTAAAAAGCTGAATTTTAAGAATTATATAACATTTACATTTTTATCATTATTTAGTAATACAAAGCTTTATCACATTTATATCGTTTGCATTGTCATATATATCCATACAAGGAAAAGTTGTCATCTAATGTATGAATAGATGACGATGACTTCATTAAATATTTCTGAAGGTTCTGGCAAAACGGTTGGACTGCTCAACTCTTAAAACACCCACACACTATGAAGTTTCATTTACATCCGTACACCTTGGACCTCCTGAGTATGTTTTTTTGTGTTGCGGTAGTCATCCATTCTCAAGTTATTTGCCAATTCGCACAGATAATCCCGTGCAAGGAACGCTGAATTGAAATTCTGAAAAATGACTTTTTCAAAGAAAATAAAAAATTTGTCGAAAAAAAACTTTCAGCTGCGAAAACGGAGATATTCCAAAAGTTTCAATAATTAATTATTCATTGCTTAACAGTGTAAAGCCTATGTTCTGCATACTACGCACGGTAATGGTATCATTCTCATGTTTGATATGCTAACGTTACACACGTTACAGATGTCTTAACAATAACAGAATAATCTTAGTATTAATGAAACTGAACCTGTATTTAATATACTATTACTTGAAGTTGTAATATTAAGTTCTTGATCAAACCAAGTAAAGCCATATATATATTAAAAATGCCAGGTGTTTCCGTTAGGTATGTGATTTAGATGATAAGAATTGGTTACAGTTTGGATAGTTGAAGAGGTCTAAGATAGAGATACTATGAGAACTAATGTTTACTAGGATTAAAAGAAAAATGCAATAAATGCAACTGAATGTCAACACATGTTAAGGGAATTTTGTAATGTGAGGGAATCAAATGTTATGCAATCCGGATTATTTATTTCAAAGAGTTATTTATGTGTGTGTACTCAGCAACATATTTGATATCCATGCTGGATGTTCACCCTCAGAAGAAGTTCAAATATAAGTAAGATTGCGTTGCCTTAGTTTAGTTTCAAGGAGGACAATGAAATATTGAAAGTGAATTCCATTGATATCTCTACAGATGTAACCAACCCAATTAAGCTTTAAAATAACTTAAATTTACTAACATTTATAACTTGTAAAATATTAATTATTGATATTTGCTACCAAGTTCTATTTTTTTGTACAGAGACGTTGCTGCTCAAGATTTCATTAACGCTTACGCTTCTTTCTTGCAAAGACAAGGTAAGCTAGAAGTTCCAGGTTATGTTGACATTGTCAAGACCTCTGCTGGTAACGAAATGCCACCACAAGACTCTGAAGGTTGGTTCTACAAGCGTGCTGCTTCCGTCGCCAGACACATCTACCTAAGAAAGCAAGTTGGTGTCGGTGCTCTAAACAAGCTATACGGTAACGCCAAGTCCAGAGGTACCAGACCATCCAAGCACGTTGACGCCTCCGGTTCTGTCAACAGAAGAGTTCTACAAGCTCTAGAAAAGATTGGTGTTCTAGAAATCTCTCCAAAGGGTGGTAGAAGAATCTCTGAAAATGGTCAAAGAGATTTGGATCGTATTGCCGCTCAAACTTTGGAAGAAGACGACGAATAAACTCTTTAAATTAGGAGAAAAAAAATTTACCAAACCTTTCAGAAAACAAGATTATAAAAAGTTGAGATAGTATGTCGTATTATTTCATTTATTTTTATTATTTTTTCTGAACCTTTTTATATCTTTAAAAACCCAAGAAATTAACATCTTCATATAGGAAAATTGTTTATTAATAACTCATCAACTTATAATATAATATAGTATTACTTAGCATACAAGATATGTGACGTCTTTTTTTTTTCTCTTTTTGAAGTTTTGCTTCAAGAATCTTTACTTTATAGATGTATGTAATAGTACAAATTGGTAGGGCAAATTTTATATCGAATGAAATGGCTTTACATAAAGCTTGATTTATCAAGCAGGTACTATCTTGTTTCTACGTGGGATATGTTGAAGATGTAGCGGCAGCACTAAAAAGGCTAACATTAGCTTAACCTATCTGAAGGAGAAGGTCGCTAATATAAGTAGAATTTAGAGTGTGCTGCACTACCGTATATATAATAACACATGATATATACTGCATAATGTAGTATTTGTTCCCCCTACATTGGGTTTATTGGAGCTACATAGTCCAACGTTACTATGCACAAAAGATGAGAAGTTTAACAACAGCAACTCTGTTTAACATACCCCCGTAAATAAGTATCTTCAGAATAGTTTAAAGTTATAACCGTAAACCCAATTTAGTGCTTTGCTCGAGTCTCGAACCTGTTAACGTAAGTTTGAAATCGAGAATATACGATTAGTATTCGAGTTGAAATTATCGGACATAGTTATAGATATTCAAATGTATAATCTTGTGGTTTATTTCATGTTATATAAAGTTAGAATATGTGTTCCTTTTATACTTTTGGGAAAGGAAAACTGTCTACCAAATATTGAAAGTATTCTTACTAAACATTCTTAGAACATGTTCTGGACACTTATGAACAGTTAGTAATAATTTCTTACCAAACATAAAATTGTAATAACTAAGTATTGCTACTTTCTATATTATAACAGGGTAACTCTGATATCAAATTTATCTTCTTGTTTGTTCAGTTAATTTTCTGAGTTTCTCGAATATAATGTCATATTTTGCATTTTTTAGTTTCCTCGCTGTCTTCAGAGATATATTCGTTCACATTGCATTTTAATTTTAAATCACCCTATCAGTCACCTTTATATATAGCAGAACTTCAATAGTTAGATTTTGTTAATAAACATTTAATTGTTGTATATATAGTTTATCCTCTGACTCTCCCGGATTGCACTATTTACAGATCAAGTAATGGATGACTCAGTAAAGAATAAGACAGAGGCAAGAGAGGTTACGATGGGTCGACAATCTGCTTATGAGCCTCATATCACTAAAACAGAGGTACTTTCGTTACAGTCTATGGATAACATAGCATCAAATCCAGTTTCTAGTAGTAATAACAGAGGTACAGTTTTGGAAGAATCTACATTCCAGTTAATTAAATCAAGCACGAAGAATATACTATCAAAATATCTAAAGTTTATTGGCCCGGGCATTATGGTTGCCGTTGCGTATATTGATCCAGGTAATTATTCTACAGCTGTAAGTGCTGGTGCATCCAACGAATTTTCTTTATTGTGTATCATTTTATTATCCAATTTCATTGCGATATTTCTACAGTGTCTTTGTATTAAGCTAGGATCTGTGACAGGAAAGGATCTATCTAGAAATTGCCATGAACATTTACCTAGATGGTTAAATTACACGATTTATTTCTTTGCTGAATGTGCCATCATTGCAACAGATGTTGCAGAGGTAATTGGTACAGCAATTGCATTAAACATATTAATTAAAGTCCCTCTTCCTGCAGGTGTGGTAATTACAATCGTAGATGTCCTGACAGTTATGATAGCCTATAAACCTGGTGCTTCTTCAATGAGATTTGTAAGGTACTTTGAAATGGGAGTTGCATTACTAGTCATAGGGGTCTGTATTTGTTTTGCCATTGAATTAGCCTATATTCCAAAAGATACTTCTGCAAGACATGTATTCAGGGGATTCGTACCATCTAGTCAAATGTTTGACCATAACGGTATGTATACAGCTATCTCGATTTTAGGTGCTACTGTTATGCCTCATTCGTTATTTCTAGGTTCTGGTTTGGTTCAACCAAGATTATTAGACTACGATATTGCTCATAACAATTTGGGAGTCTTGACAGCTGACGACGATGGCGAAGAAGTCGAGATTGGCAATAGCAATGCTGTTAATAGAGATGAAGAAAAAAAGAAACATGCGTCAAGAGAAGAATCAATGGAGCAGAGGTATTTTAACTATAGACCAACCTTAAATGCAATTAGATACTGCATGAAATATTCAATGGTTGAATTGACCCTGACTCTTTTTACTTTGGCATTATTTGTTAATTGTGCTATATTGATAGTATCCGGATCTACCCTTTACAATACACCTAATGCTGCTGATGCTGACCTTTATGCAGTCCATGATTTATTATCCAAAAATTTGGCCCCTGCTGCAGGGACTATATTTATGTTAGCATTATTACTCAGTGGCCAATCTGCTGGTATTGTCTGTACAATGGCTGGCCAAATTGTTTGTGAAGGTCATATTGATTGGAAACTGGCTCCATGGCAAAGAAGATTGGTAACCAGATGCATTTCTATCATCCCTTGTCTCGTGATCTCCATCTGTATTGGTAAAGAAGCTATGAACAAAGCTCTTAATGCATCTCAAGTGGTGTTATCGATTGTTTTGCCGTTTTTAGTGGCTCCTTTAATTTATTTTACTTGTTCTAAGAAAATTATGAAGACTGATGTGACAGTTAGAGACTCTGACCTTGATATTACCGAACAACATTTAACACAAGAAGATAAAACCACAGGTACCATAGAGAATGAAAACGGCACAACAATTAAAGTGGTAAATATGGCTAACAACTGGATAGTCACCATAATTGCAGGTATCGTGTGGGTTTTCTTATCTCTTTTAAACGTTTATGCAATTGTGCAACTGGGAATTACACATGGAGATATCAGTTAACAATAAAACGTTTCTAAATCAACAACGAAATATTACATTTGCATTTATCATTAACCATTTTTATTTGAAAGTTAAACCTATGAAACTTATTTCTTTATTAAATGAAGTATATAGCTAAATATTAAACGATACATATAGTTAGAACTTAAAATTGTTTTTAATACTTTTATTAGTTTTGTTGCTAGTCCCTATTAAAATGACATATTATACAGACGGGGGCTGGCTACGTATTATCAAACTGAAACGTTTAAACATAGAATAATAATCTATTAATCTCTGTCTCTTCCATAAGGATGGTAGCCATTTTCATTGCCCCTGTATCCATTGTTACCTCCTCCACCACGGCGACGACCATTACCACCACGGCCTCTACGATCACCACGGCGATCAGAACCTCCACGTCTACCACCACGACGATCTCCACGACGGTCAGAACCGCCACGATTTCCACCACGGTAATTACCACGCTCGTTATCTCTTGGTGGATATCCATTAGATGGACCTCTTGGGCCCTTTGGTAAACGGAACTCTGGTTCACGAGAGCTTTCTTTCGTCGTGCCATCCTCCTTTGACTGCGACGACGACGAATCATCTACTGGTTCTGCACCTATAGTTTGCACATTAGGATCACTAGTTTGACTTTGTTCATCACTTTCTGTGTTAGGAGTTTGAGTTGACATCTCGGGCATCCCAGGCATCCCAGGCATACCTTGCATTCCCGGCATGCCAAATCCCCCCATCATCATAGCCATCTGTTGCATCTGTTGTTGATACATCTGGGTATAATCCATACCAGTTTGCTGCTGCATCTGTTGATAATAATCTTGCATCTGTTTAAAATAGTCACCCATAGCATTTTGATTATACATAGGGTTCATTGCACCCATTGGATTTGTCATTTGAGCTGTATTATCACCAGTAGGTTGAACATTTGAAGATTGATTAGTGTCATTGTTGACATTTGCAGAAGATGAATCTTCTGAACCCCTTGGGGCATGTCTAGGTTCGGCTCTCTTTATTTCTATATTTCTACCTTTAAATTCTAGGTACTTATTTGAACATACTCTATCTACAGCTTCCGGTGTATCATAAGTGATAAAACCGAACCCTCTTGATCGACCAGTATCTTTATCTAACATTAGTTGGGCATCAATGATATTACCGAATTGAGCGAAGAATTCTTCGAATTCTTTTGGTCTAACATCGGATCCAATACCACCCACAAAGATCTTACCAGTCTTATCCTTTTCTTCCCTTGGAATAGATCTTTTTGGGTCAATCACTTTACCATCTAAGATATGTTGACTCTTAACAACTTCGTCGACACTTTTAGGATCTTCAAATGTTAAGAAGGCAAAACCTCTAGATCTACCAGTGGCAGAATCTCTCATGATTCTCAATTCTGTGACGTTACCATATTTGCTGAAATAAGCCTTTAAGCCTTCATCTGTGGTTTCCCAATTCAAGCCACCTATAAACATTTTACAATGATCCTTCGATATATCTGCTTTAACCGGGCCTGAAAGTTCGGAAGAAGAACTTTGTTCTGATTCAGTTTGTTTTTCTGGTTGTAATTGAGAAACAGTTTGTTGTAATTGTTCCCATGGCATTGGTGCTGCAGTACCATTATTGGTTGAATTGTCGTTTCCTGATTGGGTTTCATTTGAACTACCAACAGCAGTTGTAGTATTAAAATCATTATTTGTTTCCTCTTCTTTCTGCTTGTTCAAATTAGATGACAAGGCTTGCAAAGCAGCTAATTGATCCAATTGAGCCATTGTGTCAATTTTGACTTTCTCAGTCTTAGTTTCCTGAGACTTCTTCTCAGTGTCACCGTAAATGTCGTTAAAATCTTCTTCGTCTGAATTCATTGTAATGTTCCCTTTGCTGAATTATCTAAGTTAAAATATAGTAAAAATAATAATAAAAAATAATGATGCTAAACTATGATTATATTTGATGCAAAATATTACAGGAAAAAGAAATCAAAAATAGGGATTTAATCTAAAATGTATATTATATGTAAGAAATGGAAAACTATGATATGTAATTTACCGTTACTTTTTCTTTGTTTGTTTTGCTAGTGTTTCTTTGTTGATTTATTAGTAAATAAAACTATCAACAACAATGATTCTGATTATTCCTCTTTCAAAATAAATAATTAAATGAAAAACAAATAAATAAAATGTTAAGTCAAATCGATTTGAATCAGAATAGATTAAAATATATTAATACTATTAAAATATAAAGTATAGACTAGTATATTCTCAGAATTCTCTCTCTAAAAAAAAAAAATTCAAAAATAAAAATAAAAATAAAAAACTTATCTTAAAAACTGTTAATCAAAATGGTGGAATATAAATATTTTACCTCAGTTACAATTTTATCCTAATATCGGTATCAAGTCTCCTAAAATAAATATAGTTAATATGGTAAAAATCTGATAATCTCTTGTTTAAAAATTACTGATAATATCTCCTCACAAATAGTAAAATTTCCTCACTGGATATCGGTAATAGTTCCTCACTGGAATATAGGTTTCTGGTACACTAATTAATACTTAATAAGTCGATGGATCTCACTCTTTTACTTACAGTTGTTATAACTAACACGGTGGGAAATAAACAAATTTCAATATTTCATGATTGTTTCCCTCCTTATTTATATATTCCACCGTTCACTTCCCATAAAAAATGCAAAAAAATCAATTCGGGGAAGGTAATGCGTACTTTCCTATTTGGGTAATTAATATACGAAACAGGTAAAACGATGGTCTAGCCCTAGCAAGCCCTAACCTCTTAAGTATGTGTGGATCCAAGCCCTGGATACCTTAACTATGGCGAGGAGTAGAGGGTTCAGTTGAAAAATTCATCAAAACAAAAATTTTCAACTTTTTCAGTTATCAACCAAAGTGATATAAAGACAAGGTCATCGATTTCTTGAGAGAGTTTGTTTTAAGGAATTCAGCTTACTGAGCAACCTCCAGAGAAAGTTAAACTATCAGTAGTGCCAGGATGAAGAAACAATATCTGTTGTATATGGTTCAAATCAATACCAATTTCCGTCTAGCTGAATTGGAGTCGCTAGCAGATCTTTTCAATATAGACGTTGATTTCTCTCAATATAATGCCGATTCTCCATTTTTCTTTGTGGAATTGGAGAATGATGATCAGGCTCGTCAATGGATCAAGAGATCTGTCTTGACGAAAGCTATATATGAGTACTGGGGGAAAGGTGAAACTATCGAAGAACTGCATGACACAATACAACATTTGGAAGGTTTCCAAGAAAGACAAGAACAGTTTAAACAATCAAGTTTTAAATTTGAGTTTGAAACTTATCAAGGTGGTAAAAAGAAAGATATGGCTACAAAAGTGAAACAGATGGAAACTTTTCAGTATTTGAATTTTCAAGGTAAAATTGATTTGAAGAACCCCGATGAAATATTCACAGTAATTGAAGAATATGAATCCGTTGTAGGTAACAAGTCTGCCACTGTACCTTTATCCTATATATTTGGTCGTTATGTTGGTAGTAGTGGCCGTAGTGCGATGGAACGTTATGATTTGAAGAAGAGACCCTACAAAGGTACCACTAGTTTTGAAGCGGAATTATCCCTAGTGAGTGCAAACATTGCTCAAGTGAAACCAGGATCCTTAATGTACGATCCCTTTGCTGGTACAGGATCCTTCTTAACAGCCGGTGGTCATTTTGGTGCCCTGGTAATGGGGTCTGATATTGATGGAAGAATGATTCGTGGGAAAGGCGCCAACATTGACATCAGAAGCAATTTTAAACATTATAATGAATTGGATAAATTCTTAGATGTTATGACTATGGATTTTACACATAATGCACTAAGGTCAAATTTAGTCATTGATACAATATTATGTGATCCACCATATGGTATTAGGGAAAGTATCAAGATATTGGGTGCGAGAGATCCCGAGAGATTCGTTGGAAAGGAAAACATAGTGATAGATGGTGAAAAGGCATTCTTAAGAAAGGATTACATACCTACGAAGAAACCTTATTCATTGGATTCATTATTAGATGATCTATTGAGGTATAGTGCTGATAGATTACCAATCGGCGGGAGGTTAGCATTCTGGATGCCTACAGCGAATGATGAAAATGTAGAGACAATCATTCCTTTACATTCGAATTTGGAATTAAAGTACGATTGTGTTCAGGAGTTTAATAAGTGGTCCAGACGACTATTAGTGTATATTAATCGTGGGGATACATTTAATGGTCCTACCAACGGTGGTGTTCAAAGATCACCATCTAATTTTAGAGAAAGGTATTTCAATCATTTCAATAAATAGGTTACTTATTACAATATACATATATTAATATATTAATCAGAAGTATTTAATAGCAATGCAACATTTTCCAAAGAGATGGATTTATCTACATACCGAACCAAGCGGGCATCTTTACCTAGATTCTGTTGAACCCATTTCAACCTCCCTAGATCAATTATCTTACGTGCTGCTAACCCTAGAGCTTCTCTTTCTTCCAAAGTCATCGATATCGACTCAGTAATCTCTACAGTATCTGTTCCTACCATACCTTGTCTTCTACCATTTGTAGCCCAAGAACATACTTTTGTCAAACAGGTGAAAAACTGTTCATATGTGATATCATTTGGAAGTAACGATTTAATGTAGCTGGGGTTAATGTAATCCTTATGGGAACAAACATGCCTGCAACACATAGCGATGCATAAACCATCTAATTGTTGATGTAACAAGTTATTATTCATAATACAACGCAATGTCAGATCTGTGGCGACACCACATAAATGTTTTGAGATTGCCACATAACCATGTGATGAATCTAATTGAGTATCCAATTTCAAATCCTTAATGTCTATCTTAATACGTTTAATATTGGGGGTCATTTGTAATTGTTTTGTCAAATCCTGGGTATCAGCGGCAAATTTCGAATCAAATTTCATTCTATTAGAGGCTCTATCGATTAAATGGTAAGTAATTTCATGAGGGACATGATCCTTTGTGAGACAAATGACTTGATTCAAATAACGTGAGAATTCAGCTTTCCCACAACCAAATTCAATATAATCCTGATTTGATGAACTTGTATTCAATATCTTGGCGCTGATCATATTCTGAATCAATGACGATTGTTGAATTGCATGTTTTTGATTAGTCAAAGTATTGACTCTTTTCTCTACCATTTCTTGATTAGATTCTTGTTTTAATGGGATATCTGAAGTATCATCCCATTTTTGTAAAATATGTATAGTTTGATCCAGGAATTGTTTATAATCGATTACTTCTGATAGTTCCACAGTTTCCACGAGACTATTCATGTCCTTTTGGTAATATGGTTCATTGTCATTAGCATGAGACATTTTAAATTTATTACATTTTTTCATATGCCTAGTCAATTGATCCTTCCATATAGTATGATTTGGATCCAAGGGACAAGGAATTCTTTCCCTTCCACCAGTCTCCGTAGAGGTCACCCCCGAGTGAATCAATGAACCAGAATTCTTCTTCAGCAGATTCAAGTGTTCAGAACAGTACTGCTCATCGGCACGTCTAGTCATCCCACATTGTCTATCTTTCTTCACAATCACATACTGACATCTCAGACGCCCTGATGGATCTTCCAATTTAGTCTTCTTAATAACAGGTTCCATCGTCATATAGCAGATGTCTATATATACATATATATGTGTATATTTAGTGTATAATGTGCAAGAGAAACAACGTAATATAAGCAAATCATTGGAAAATGTGTTTATATGAGATTGTAGTTGTAGCAGTGAAAAATTTCACGCGATGAGCCAGCAGCAATAACAGAAATAGATAGATAGTCAACAAATAAAGAGAGAATATCTAACAGTCGCAGCTAATCATAGTTTACTGCTTTGTCTCGACGTAAACAAAAGATAAAATCGACTACAATCGTACTCCTATTGCAAATCATAAAGCTGATCCATGTATTATCATTTATAGCGCATTTGTCAGTACTTAAACAGCAATCTCGGCGAATCCCGTGATCTTACCTGGCATCGATGCGATCTATTAAAACCATATGCAATTACCACCAGTATATACATATACATATATACAACTACATGAAAATACCGCAAACGTTATACAGAATGTGTCGTTGTTCTGTTAAGTTAAATTAAAACACCGACAGCACAATCTCCTCTCACAGCCATTCTCCTATTACCACTACACCACCACCCACACACCACCTTTCGGGGAACGCCGAGCGGAGTAAAGCGAAGGGGCTGCGGTGAATTGCGACGGGTACCCTTTATTTGGGCGGCAAAGCTATTCGTTGATGGTTTTTGTAATTTATATATAAAGGGGAAGAGGGGAATGGGTCATGTCCAATAGATCAGAAATGGCATGTCCTTTTTTATTTATTGGTATAGTTATAGTATCTTTTCAGTTGTAGGATACGTACATCAAACATATACAGAATAATAATATTATAACACTACTGAAATATGCCTGACGCTGCTGTATTGCAAAATAAGAAAGATACTATCAAGATTGTGGTCCTAGGTGCTGCGGGTGGGATTGGCCAATCACTATCGCTGTTGATTAAGTCACAACTATATTATATGGTGAAAACCGAGAAGAGACTTCATCTAGCACTATACGATATCAATAAAGATGCTATTGCTGGTGTAGTCGCCGATATGTCTCATATTGATACACCAATAACTATATCTGCACATTATTCAGATTCACAAGACCCTAACGAAAGTTTGAAAGCATGCTTAACGGATGCATCTATTGTATTGATCCCTGCGGGAGTGCCAAGAAAACCAGGGATGACAAGAGACGATTTGTTTAAAATAAATGCTGGAATTGTAACACAACTGACCGATTCTATTATTGAATATTGCGATTTAAAGAAACTTTTCATTCTTTTAATTTCTAATCCAATCAACTCTTTGATTCCAGTTATATTGAATAGATTCAAAAATTCTAACGTTGTTGATTCAAATATTGAAAAAAGATTATTCGGTATTACTACTTTAGATTCGACAAGAGGTGCGATATTTTTAAAGGATATGCTTAATGATTTAAAAATTTCAAGTGGATTACAACTGATGGAAATGCCACATGTTCCTGTGATTGGAGGTCATTCCGGAGACACTATTATCCCAGTATTCTCTCAATGTTCTGCTGCTGATAATTTATCACAAGATCAAATTTCTCATTTAATCCATAGAATTCAATATGGTGGTGATGAAATCGTGATGGCTAAAAAGGGCAAAGGTTCTGCTACATTATCTATGGCTCATTCTTCATTTAAAATGTTAATTAAATTCATTGATTTATTATTAGGGAATTCTAATGATATTACAATCACATCGTACATATCATTAACAACTCTAGATGATAATGAAATTGCTACTGGTGGTAAAGAATTAATGTCGAGAATTAATAATTTGAAATATTTCGCTATTCCAACTGTAGTATCAATTGATGGTATTAAGGAAATTAAATTTAAAATTATCGATTATTTAAATTATAATGAATTTAATGAGTTATTACCAATCTGTTTAGAAAATTTAAATTCAAATATAATCACAGGTGAATCATTTCCAAAATAGTTGAATATATTGGTCCTCTTCCCTTTGCATGCATACATATCTAATTATCTTTCTATAGTTTCACATTAGTTAGCTCTTTTTAATATAATAATATTCTATATCTTTTTTTTAAGCATGGTTTGAAAAACGGTATATAATGATCCAGATGTAACCAATTCTCTTAGAAACTTGAGCGTTAGTTGATCGTGACACGACCCATATATATCTTGGTATAGCGATGAACCTAGTTATTTGCAACTAAACATGTTCATATTAGGAAAAGAGATGAGATGAGGTGGGGAATGTGTCACGTGCAACATGATGCGAACGGCTCACTCCGGTAAATTAGGGGTCCGCAGTGTACTAAATAGGAAATTTTGTCGTGCCGTGAAAACCTAAAAAACTATTAAAAAACTTCCGGATTATGCTGGGTGTACGGATGTACAATTCATTTCTAAACGGGTGTCTGGGTGGCCACAAGCAGTCCAAAGAACGGTGCTCCCAGTGTTGGGAAACCGTGTTCGATACAGTATATAACGCTGAAACATCGTTTGCCAAGAGTGACTGGTGGTGTTAAAACCAATTGCAATGAATGGCACAAAGTCTGCACTCAAGTCACAGCTCGGTACTAGCAATTAGCTCTATATGCTTGGGTTTTAAGTGCGAAACAGCCTGTTATCACGCTGCACGACAGCTCGTTCAACACGACAACAGCCAAAAATATATTTAGAGGAGGAAAAGCCACCAAAAAGTGAGAAAAGCCCCGCAAGGGAAGTTTTTAATCGATAATAAATAAAATAAATTTTTGATTTTGATTTTTAGAGACTAAATGGTTAGAGAAGTACCCTTTAATCATCGAACGAAAGAATATTCATCATATGGACAGTGTGTTTTTCTAGGTAATTTTCGATCAATTAACTTATTTCAATTTAGTATAATTGAATACTTGAAGTACGTGTCTTCCCCTAATTGAGTTACAGGTCATTTAAAATCCCTTTTGTGTCAACCCTTTTTTGAAATATAAATCGATAAATAACAGACAATTCTTCGAGAAATTACTTCACTTACTTTGATATATATTTAAAATGAGTGAGAATAATATGAATCATGCGAATGGCGATAGTGCGGAGAGTGTTTATGAGTTTATTGCAGATGATGTGACTTCAAATAAGAGTAATACAGTCAGAAGAATGCTAATTAAAGAATATAGAAAGATTGGTAGAGGTGCTTTTGGTACCGTGGTACAAGCTAAAATAACACCAAACAAAGAAGATTGGTATGGACCATTTGCTATTAAAAAAGTTCCAGCTCAAACAGAATATAAATCAAGAGAATTAGAGATTTTAAGAGCTACTGATCATCCTAATATTGTTAGATTGGAATATTTTTTCACTCATGTATCACCAACAGATCATAAAGTGTATCAACATTTAGCTATGGAATGCTTACCTGAGACTTTACAATTAGAAATTACAAGATATTCAAGAAATAAATTGGAATTGGCATTGAAACACGTTCAATTATATACATATCAAATTGCTCGTGGGATGTTATATTTACATGCATTTGGTATATGTCATCGTGATATCAAACCTTCAAATATCTTAGTGGATCCAACGTCTGGAGTCCTAAAGATTTGTGATTTTGGTTCGGCTAAAAAATTAGAACATAATGAACCATCAATTAGTTATATCTGTTCAAGATTCTATAGAGCTCCTGAATTGATTTTAGGTTCAACACAATATACTACTCAAGTTGATATCTGGGGTTTAGGTTGCGTCATTGGTGAAATGTTAATTGGAAAAGCTGTATTTCAAGGTCAAGAACCTTTATTGCAATTAAGAGAAATCGCGAAGATTTTGGGACCTCCAGATAAAAAATTCATTTTCTTCTCAAATCCAAGTTATGATGGTCCTCTATATTCAAAACCTTTATTCTCAGGTACTCCACAATCACGTTTCGAAAAATATTTTAATCGTGCAGGTCCAGAAGGGATTGATTTATTAATGAAAGTATTAGTCTATGAACCGCAACAAAGATTGACTCCAAGGAAAATTCTGGCTCATCCTTTCTTTAACGATCTCAGAAATGAACAATACTTCTTCCCAAGAGAACATACTCAACCTGTCCGTCTACCTAATTTGTTTGATTTCAACGATTTCGAATTACGTATCATCGGTGAATATATAACGCAGATTAAACCTGTAGATGATTAATAAACAATAACCATTCTTCCCCTTTGACTATCACCTCTTCTCCTTCCCTACCTCCATCCGCCACATCGACATTACTGTGTATAACTATATCCAAAAACTGCTCTATGCTTTGTTTTTTTTTAACTTCTTCAAATAACATAAAAATAAAATTTAAAAAAGAATTGCACGTACAACTTCAATTATGATCCCTTCCCTTAATTACTAAATTTATCAAAACTTATTATTATTACTTTACGTATATTTATTATCTTTATCTATATACTACGTATTTCCCAATAAATTCCCATTCGAGTACTAATTATGTTTATCTCATGATAATATTTATATATCTATATCTATTTATGTAAAAATAAAAACAGAACTATAGAGTCAAAGAATATGAATATTCGTCTTCCGCATTCTGTGCAATCCATAAAATAATACAACTTAGTAACACACATATATTACCTAAGACATTATTCACACCCATTCCCACAGTTGGATAACTGGTAAAATCCTTCACCAAGAACTTAATGATTAAAACGACAATAGAACCCGATAGTCCACCTGCTAGTAATGAAAACCCAAAGAATAATATACTTCTTGCTTGCCATGCCATCCGGGAATCCATACCCCCTAACGAGGATCCCATCGCGGAATCCCCATGCAATTCTCCTTGTAATAGCCTACTCTTCTCGATGGAACTCACAATCAGCATACCAAACGTACTGCAAATGAATGGGATCCAATCAATGAAAGTGACATGTACATCGGATGCATTGGCGTGCTTGGAATATAACACAGCATCGAGAAAGGTCCAGAACCCTAGTGCATAAAATATACCGGAAAGATAGACACCAAGGGTCTTAATCCCTTGGAATGTAGGTACTTTGAAAGGTAGACGGAATAGTCTTTCTTGTGGTTCGTTATCCATTTATATATATGTTATGTTATGTTAAATTTATCTGTAGTGTATTTCCTGATTGAAATAATCTGATATCGTTATCTTAAGCCAAAAGATCAAAACTCCCTAAAATTTCTAATCAAGAGTACTAAACGGTTTCTAATGTTATAGCAATAAAGCAACTAGGTATTGTACCAAAGACAATATCACTACCTCTTGCAGGATTGGGACTCCCTTCTTTAAAGGGTCTGAAATTTCCTCAGGTTTGCCTCACTTTTTGACGGCTGGGCTGATTTCCCAGTTTGTGAAGACAAGCGGTGGGGCTTCCGTAAACAATGATCAGGAATGCGATCGAATAAACGATTTATTTGAATATATTCCAAGTTTATAAGCATTAAGTATAAAAAGTATTACAGATTGGATTAAATAAGTTAGATAGTTGTATAATTGTTTATTTTTAGTTGTTCCATAATTAGAAAGAATCTAACGTATTGGAAAATGACTAGTCAGTTTATCTTGTAGGGAGAAATGTTCACGACAATTTTCATTCATTGATAACCACTGTATCTGGTCGGAAGACTGGCAATGGATCTGTTGGAGTTCTTATTACGGTTTTGGGCTTCTCTAGCAGAACGGTTACGGTAACCTCTTGGTAAGAAATTTGTAATGATAGACTTAGAACCGCTTACTGCAGCCTCGTTTAGAGTCTTTGGTGAATCAATACGTGACACCCAATAAGAGGCTGCAAACCAACCGCAAATGGCAAGGAATATTAAAACACCAAGAATACCAAACCACCAAGCGTAACCACCTACACCTTCACCTGGCACTTTAACGTTCATACCAAAAAGACCAGTGATAACGTTCAAAGGAACTAACATCGTACCAATCATGGTGACTTTTCCTAACATTTCAGTGACCCTGTTGTTGGAGTTAAATGATTCGACTTGCAATTGAGCTAGATAATTCGAATGGGATCTAGAGAAAATCTTCTCGTATGCTGCTAAATTCTGATACATGGTCAGTAAATGATCCTGGATATCACCCAAGTACATGGCGATTTCAGCTCTGGGCTGACTGGCCATGCGATTATTCATCATTGCCTCAGTTTTGGCGGCCATAGCTGCAGCATTATGATGGTTTACACCACCTGGTCGTCTAGCTTGATTGACATTAGCATTGGCGTTATAATTGGATTGTAAGTTTGCAATATTGATTTGAGAAGTTAAAGCTGGACCAATACCTTTTGCTTCATCTTGACATCTCTTTGCAAACATTTTGATAACATCTGCCTTACCACTTAGTAATCTCATCAAAGTCATAGTCTTACGTCTACTTTCACCGATTCTTTGCAACATGACAGAAAAATCTTCATCACGAGCCATAAACACCGAGTCCTCGATAGCATCGGCTTCATATTCGATTGACTGGATGACTGGAGCAAAGCTATCGGTAATATCATCGATCAGTGCATAACAAATCCAATCAGAATTAACGTCAACATAATCTCTTAATTGTCTAACTCTTCTTCTGACATTACCTGGATGAGAAATTGGGTTAAAATGGAATGTGATAACACCGGATCTAAAGACAACGATGTAAACATTTATTGGTTCCAAAAAATCTTCAGATTCTTTATCGCTTTCGAAAGTATGGAAACAAACAAAATAATAAGACTTGAATAACTCGACTTTTTCTCTTGTTTCTTGCATCCTAATATCTTCAGCTGTCAAAGGATGGATACCAAATGCCTTAGCAATACATCTCATTTCATCATCCGTTGGACATGAACAATCAAGCCACCAAGTTGGTTGGCCACCTTTAAATAAGTCGTAGAAGCTTTGTCCCTTCGAAACCAAGGATGGGATATCAGTAGAATGAACAGTCTCTTCAGAGCTCGAATTGAAGAAGGAGAAACGATCTGGAGCGACATATGGTACACCGTTATAAGGCATAATACCACTGACGGTCTGTAATTCAATTTCAGACCTGGTACTAGATGGTAGTTGAGTACCTTCAAATTTCATTGGTTTTTCATCGAAAAATTCACCTTCGATCTTGTTGTTACCAAATGAAACACCTACTGCTTCATCCTTTTTGTTGTCTTGTAAAACATGAGATTGTTCAAATAATGGATTCTCATTTGAGCTAGAGGAGTTTACTTGCTGTTGAGCAGAAGGTCTTGGAGTATACTTCAGGGCAGCTGATGACATAGAGACAGATGTAGATGTCGAAGTTGAACCTAAACCGTTTGGATTAAAATTTCCAACTGCGGGAGCTGTGGCCATCGTAGTCAAGTAGTTAGCGTTCCTTTCAGATTGTGATTGAGCAAACTCTTCCAGCTCATCAAAATCAATACCGTTTATACGTGTATGTAATTGGGGTGACAATGGAAACCAGACATCTTCCTCAGTTTCCTGGCTCTCACCAGATGCTTGGGAGTTGTCACTATCAAACGATTCTCTTCTTCTAGAAGTTGGTATAGCACCGTCTCCTACTGGTTGGTTGGTTTTTTCACCCGTTCTGTTTTCTGCTGATTTATGGGATAAGGACCTTGCCAATAATGGGATAGGATTTGCTGAATTAGATGAGGTAAACGAATCGGTTCTTGTTTTATTCCTGCTCACCTGTGAGTGCATCTTTTCAGAAATTGATTGGGTTCTAGATTGACGACGTGGTCTGACCGATGGAGAAATAGTGATACCTGGTTGTGCAATGGTTGCATCTGTTCTTGAGGAAAATGGATCAGAACTGTCAAGTTTGCTAATTTTTTGTCCCCCTGATACATGGTGTCTACCAGACTTTTTGTTCGATGGAGGAGTCTTCCCACTTTTATGCCCAATAGCAGGTTTTGGTAAGGCACTGAAATTGTCATGACGATGGGAAGGTGTCATTAATGGTGAATTTCTATGCTGGTTTATAGCATCAACTCTCATTGAATCAGCAGCACCTACGTTCGTTTTTAGGTCTTCGGAGATAAATCTCATGTTGGGATCCGCTTCATCACTATCAACAATAACATCAGAGTCATTAACATCCTTCAAATTCACCTCAATATTATTATTTTCAATCTGCGATGCGATAATATCATTATGTTGTCTGTGATCATATAACTCGTTGTGCTCTTCAGTATTCATAGAGTCAAGAGAATCGACTAATGATTCATTATTGGTTGATTCTGAGTGGGAAGATGAGGATGATGATGATCTGGAGTGAATAGATGACATTTCTCTTCAAATTAGTTTCGTTTTTTTTAAAAAATTTAATGGTTATTTTCTTAATGTTGATATTGTACTATGACTGTTGTATCTTACAAAATATAGACGGTTAAAAGCTCCTTTTGATTTCCTTTACTAAATGGCAAAAGAAAGTATGTATATTATTTGACCATTAGTAGATTTACAAATGCAATAATGAAAATATTTCTCGATATGTTATTGTTTGTTTGTTTTGAATTTATTCTGACAAGTGACAGTGAATAGTTTCAAAATAGTATATTATAGGTGTAGAATGATTGTAATTCAAATGGTCACTCTAATAAAAAAAATTATCTAACTATTGGATGGTGTTGATTCTTGACCTAGCATCAAATAGATATATTCAACAGATAAGTGGCTCTGTGTATGGTTGTTTGTTCTCTATAAAGAATAGATAAGATATCGACTTTTAAAATAATTAAAAAAAAAGAGGGATTGCTAACTGTAGAGACAGGATATTATTACTTTTCTTGTTTTCTTTATTTATATAGTTGTTTCTACTATCCAAGGAGTCAAAGCTTCGAAATAAAAAATCTCCAAAAGTTGTTATTTAAAGTGTAAAATAATAAAGTTAGAAAGGTAATTGAAACAAAAGGTACAACGTTCAACTAATAATAGGAATATTTGTCTTTAAATTAGCTGTCTTATCTTTCTGTTAAATAAGGATGAGCAAAAGAAAAAGAATTTTTTTTCACTCCTCACGGCGAAACACAATAGCAAAGAAAGGATTTAATTTTTTTCAGTAAAAAAAACTGGAAATTTAATGAATGGGTAGCTTTTTTGAGAAATCAAAGTGATAATGTCAAGATAAGTTTACTATGCATGGAAATGGGATGGGTACAATACTTGATTCTTAGATCATTCAGTAACAAATCATTAACTCTTGTTGTTGTTTTTATCTTTTAATCCATTGAGATGGCCATTCAAGTCCAACATAACCTCGTGCAGATGAAATATCCTAAAATTAGTTAGGTCCTCTTTTTCTGTGTGGATGTTTTTTCCAATGGCTGGGTTTTCTACCCTTTTGCCATTTTTGTCTGTAAAACCGATGTAGAAGTAAGTAAATCACCCATGATGTATTGTGCTTACTTTCCCACTTGGTGGAGGTTTAGGATTATCGAGGGGAGGGGAGGTTCCATAAATAGATAAAAAGTAATACAATAGCAACATAAAACAAAAAAAGGTAATGAGAATAATATTTTTTCTATTAATTGGTTATAGTTGTCGTTGCTCATATCTATGGCACACCAATTATTTCATATTGTCATTGTTTTTCGTTTGACAAATATTTCTCAATATCTATATTGTAAAAGATTGTTTAATTTTTGCTACATTCATTATATTGTACGGATACTCACAACTTCAGTTACAGAATGGAGGAGTATGATATTTCGTATGATGTGTCTAAAGGATCTAGCATCGCAAAGAGCTCATATTTTATTGATAGCAAGTTTTTTGGGAGCAATGAACAATACTAAGCTTGATACACCTTTCTTATGTTTTCCTATTACTTATAGGATTACAATAATAGTTGTCCAATGTAGGTGTATATATATCTTCATAATTAATATTGGAGTTGATTGGATCTACAGCAGAGGAAGAACTACAGGGTGGAGCGCTCTCTGGTTGGTAAGAATGTCTTAGTAATTTATCCCTAATCAACGACTCATTCTGAAGTTCTAATTCGGCTTTCATACTCTTATGGCATTTACCCAGTTCTTGTCTAAATACTTGCAATAACTTAGCTTGTTCGGCTCTCCTTGTTATCGTCTTAACCAGATGGGATTCTTGGTCGGCGGTTAATTGGATGTTTATCATTAGCGGCTTATATGAAAATTGTTTCTTAATAATGTCAAACGTTTTGGGATAACAATAATAGTGTCAGAAATTAGTCGATTCAGGGTTGATTGGTGCTATAAAAGTTGTTGGTTCGACCTGAGATTTGTAGAAAAGAGTTCTTTTAAAAGGGTGGAGAATTCTACATTAAAAATCTCCATCTCTAAATATTTTATTAACCCCAAGTTTTGGTCACCGAGGAGGGCCCAGCGCGTGGCTATCAAAGCACAACAAACGAATCATTAAAATAAGGAATTAGAGTACTAAGTATTTATAAATATATACTTAATAGGAATTGCAAAGATCTAAAATATCATGTATGTATATGCTGTCGAAGCAATGAGCCAATACATGACTCGTTTTGGTGGTAACCTGAGGGAAGTAGAACTATTTTTCTTCACTTCCCTTTCTTTATGGTTACTGTCAGTAATTCCAGAAGACAATTGATTAACAATCTTAATACCGTTTGGGTTCTCCCAGATTGATCCATCGGTATCATATATCTTGTATTTTGTTTCGAAATCCTTGCTTTCTAATTCGCAATATCCACCTGTGGCCTCAACACCTTTCTCTATTAAGGCTTTAGCTAATTTTTTAGGTAAATCCATATTAGTTCCCAAATTCAGATACTTATCTTGACAAATTGGAGCAGTCGTTGAATGTTCTTGGAAGTATTGTACCTTTAGTGATTCGTCGATTGCTTGGTAGCGTGTTTTTAACGTCTTGAGGTCTTGTAGAATCTTCGTATTGCCGTTGGAGTCAATCCTAACTAACCCATAATTATTTGCCTCCTGTGTAAATTCGTAAACTAAACCGCCACTAAATACCTGGGCCATAATTGGTGAATACAAAACTTCTGCTTCATGAAATTGTCTAGGTAATACTTTATTGCAACCATATTCTGAGAAGAATACAGGCTTGGAATAATTTTGGTACGCCTTTATCAACTCATCATAACCAGACGTCTCTAGTGTTTGCTGACCACACCACTGGTAGGAATTAACACCATAAAAATCAACACTTTTCATAGTTGTATCTTGTGGTAGTTCACATTCTAAATACTTAGACAGAGAAACTCTATAACGAAGATCATCTGCTGCCGAATATCCAACAGGGATATCTCTTTCGCAATTTTTCAAAATGTAATTTTTGATATCAGTAACCAATTGTTTAACATACACTGGAGATACTTCAGAACTTTTCTTATCATTAATAATTTCATTCCCCGCAAAGAATCCTAAAGTATTATTATATTGTGAAAACTCCTGAACTACTTTGAAAACATGTTCCAGATATATTGGGTTATAAGTTGTCCATGGTTCATATCGATTAATGTGTTGATTTGGTAAAGGTGAATTTACATCTAGCATTAAATATATTCCAGCCGTGGCCAACATTGTCATACATTTTGAATGATCTAAATCTGGATTTATTGAGTATATTCTAATAGTATTTATTCCTAATTCCTGGAACAACATTATATCACGAACACATGTTTGAGGGTTTGCAAGTGGGTCACTAGAACCAACGAATCCCGAAGATCCATCGGGTTGATAGTCCACACCCTTGATAAAAAATGGTTCTTCTGTTTCAGAATCGTAGAAATGAGTCCCTACAATCTCAATAGGATGAACAAAAGCAAATGTATATTTTAACAAGTTGAACGTTAACAGGCATTGTAATAGATACATTTTTCTTGAGGTAGTATTCTATTTTATGTAAGATACCCCATGATTGGAGAGAGTAATTATTTTTTCTTTCTATTAAATAACACTATATTATCTTTATTTTCTGTCAGTTTACCTTATTTTGTGTCGCTGGTTCCCACATAGTAAATTCAGAAAAATTAAGGATAAAGAGATAGCACCGTCAAAATAACTCTTATTTTTATTTTAAATAAAAAGGACATGTCTACTAATTTGTAAATATACATCTTGTTTTAATTCTTATTTATTTATTTCCCATACACATATTTATTAAATTATAGAGCAAAATAGTGGTTATCGTCAAATGTTGGATAAATCGAACCTTGATCAGTCAACGTAGTACAACATTGCCTAGCAATACCTTCATCTATATTTAAAGTTTGAGCAACTAATTGAATAGGCACAGCAAATTGGTTCGCATCTTTACCTGTACATTGTTCCTTGATAAATCTAAGAACGTTTTCTCTCACATCACCGCCATTGTTTCCGCCATTATTATTAGATCCAGAATTTTCTGTAACAAATAATGATTGACCGTTAGTTGCAGAGCCATTTCCACCAACACTTTGAGAATCACCTGTGGTAGATGGATCTGGAAACTTACCTGTAGCCACAGAGTGCCATTTAATTGCATCCAAATGATGAGATAATACGTCGTTAAAGGATTCCATATTCTTAATGACCGCATATTGAATGTTCTTCTTACCACCAAATTCTTTCAAAGCACCGTAAACTTTGACGTAGGTACCAATCTGATATTGTTGAGCAATCTGTGAGCTCTCGGTTTGGGCACTATCTTCTTGACTAGTAGTCATATCGTTAGCATCATCACTCCATTTTCTTACTTCGATCTGTCCAGTGCCATCTTCGATAGTGACAAAAATATTAGATGTATGATCGGTGATATTTCTTATGACACCTACAAAAACGACGTGGTGTAACTCTTGGCCATGAGACACAAATGGGCCATCTTGAATCTCTTGAGTAGAGTTTAAAATCTGTTTTATGGTCACTGGTGTCAGTGTAGTAGAACGGTTCCCGGGACCAGAATCAGTAGTGGTAGGTCTTGATTCTGTACTTTCAAAGCCACCTCCTGTAACGGAAGAATATTCTGAATATGGTTGATATGCTGTAAAAACATGATGTTAGTAAATAAAGAACGGTTTAAAAAACTGTATGTGCAAAAACTATTAACTTTCAACGCCACCCGATATTAAGAACTACTGTCGAAAGGGTTGAAGATCATTCACACTATGAGTTCGGATATCCGAAGTAAACGATAAAGGGGGATAAACATACTAGCCATTGTCCTCTTAAAAAATGTTGGTTATTTCACGTTGATTGGATCGAACTTGATCTCCTCAACCGTAACAAATATATATATTGTTAACCTTTAACTTATTCATTTAACCTTTGCTTCTTCTTTATTTGTATATTTCTTCTCATTGAAAGTGCAACGCGTCAAAATATCGGAAAATTTCGTGTCTGCCATCACGTGACTGACAATTACTAATTTCTGAAAAATTTTCGAAATTCAAAATTTGAAGCTCATCGCTGGGAATTGCCACACTTAAATAGTCTGAAAGTTGATGGCAAGGCTACTTATAAGGGTATTGAGATGCATATTTTGATGCTGTGGTGATATTAGAAGGTCAAAATCAATTAGAAGAGGTATTTGCACCGTTGACCATGGAATTACTATTGCATACACACGTTTTGGTTGCGTCAAATGCCGATGTACTCAAGGGAGTGGGATCCTCTGAGGCCACATACGCAACTCATTTATTGAACGGTAAAAGTGAACTTGTTATCCAGGATGTATTGAACCAATTAAATCAACGTATCGATTTGTCTCATGTCTCCAGCGCAGACGAGATGGTATCTCTAACTAGAAGCTTTCTAGTAACCTATTTCAAAGAGAATATTACGTCATCATTATATTTTGCCATTGCTTTACTTCAATATTTCATTCAAAATAATTATACTGGTCCGTCTATAGATATGGATGTATTTGGTTTATTGTATGCAGCTCCACAAGATGACTCTTCCAAGTATCAAAAGTATTTTATACAAGCATTGACTATTCTTGGTCAACCGGCATATGAATTATTGTCTAATCCCGAATGTCTAACCGTTTCATTACTTCTATTTGAAATTTTAACTGACTCCCAAACTTTATTTAATGATCAGGCTAAGGATGATGACTTAGTTCTTCCAGAGATTGTTCCAGGTATGGATGGATTGTTGGCCATTGCCAACTGGTGGAGGGCAAGAGCATTATTAGCTCATTTATCTGTCGTACCAGAACCATCTGGTAATCAACCATCTGTAGCAGCAGCAATAATGTCTACTATAGATATTGCCTACTGTATTTCGAAAGCGTTACCTGCTGAGGTGGAAGAAGATTTCAAAAAGAAAATATTTACAATTTATTATTTAGAGAACGTTAAGACCTCTTTGGCTATCAATACTGAGCACCTATGTTTACCATCCCTAACGAAAGTGAAAAAATTGACAGATTTCAAATTTGTGCTGACAGGTGCTCGTGCTAAGAGAACTAAATTTCAAGAAATCGGCCATTCAGGTTTAATCATATTAGCACATTCATCGACCCAAGATGAAAACAATAATGCTAGCGACTCGAACAACCCTGAAAATTTTGTGCTAGAGTCAGATCTATTATTGGAGAAACCGATCTTTGATTCCATTGGTGCCGAACCATTAGATGAACAAATTATTAAACGTCAAAAGATCGATCCTGAATCAGAAGAGAATAATGGTATTGATGAAGATAGAATTCTTCCAATGGCAATCCGTCAAGAATATATACCAAAATCCTTACAAGAATTGGATCCTAATGAACAGCCAACATTAAATAATCTAGATACCATCCAGCTATTACTTCGTATATATGTGATCCGTCAGACATCGCCAGCTAGAGACCCATTGGTAGAAGAGGAACTTTCCTCCATTGTCTCAAGAATCATATATCAAAAGGGACAAGCTAATTGGTCTCTTTTCTCAAGATCACTATGGGAGAGATCAATCCTTGAGACTAACAAAGCAAAGACCGTCGAGAGAGGTCTTCTTCAAATGCAATCCCTTGTAGAAGAACTGGGACTGATGATCCAAACCAGGATGATTCCACAGAGTCAAGAAGAAGCTAATAACTCTAGTGCACCTCGATTGAAATATATTCATCAGTTACCATATATTCCACGTTGGGAGCTGGACGCCAAATTGGCTGAAAAATATATGTCTCTAGGTGTTTTAAGATCTGCTGTTGAAATTTATGATAGATTGCATATGTGGTGTGAAGCTGCGTTATGTTACGCTGCAGTAGGCGATGAAAAGGAAGCTGAGAAGATTCTGGCGAACAGAGTAATAGATGTTCCTGGTGATGCTCGTGCTTACTCGATTTTAGGTGATATCAGACAGGATCCTTCGTTATGGGAAAAGAGTTGGGCCATTGGTAAATATGTTAACGCAAAGAATTCTCTAGCTAGGTATTATTATCGTCCACCTAAGGACTCTGGGGTTACTCAAGATTTCGAGATTGTATTGGGCCATTTGAACGATTCCTTAAGGCAATACCCATTGAGTTTCGATACATGGTATTTCTATGGTTGTGTCGCTTTGGAATCTGGTAAATTAAACGTAGCATCTGAAGCATTCTCTAGATGTGTTTCATTAGACGAAACACACTCTATGGCTTGGTCCAATTTGAGTGCATCATATATTCAACAAGATAAATTGAAAGAAGCGTACAGTTGTCTAAAGAGAGCTGTTGGTTTTGATTCCCAGAAGAATTGGCGTATATGGGAGAATTTCATGATCGTATCGTTCCGTTTGAATGAATGGAATGATGTATTGACAGCCTGTAAACAATTAGTTAGTATCAGGAGAGATAAACAAGGTGAGGGATCTGTTGACATGCCTGTTGTTGAGAAACTGGCAGAATTACTTATTACTACCGATTACTCCGAGGAGAAACAAGACTATTTCCAGAGAAATGGTATTGAATTTATCTGTATCACTTTGCCATCGTTGATCACTACTAATGATAGATTATGGAAGATTGTTGCAAGAGTAGAACTTTGGAGAGAGAGACCCTGGGCTTCCCTTGATTGTCATGAGAAGGCATATAGAGTAACATTGCATAACCCTGCCATCGACACAGAAGAACCAGCTTGGAATAATACTGTAGATGCATGTGAGGATCTAGTTGCAGCATATGAATCCCTAGGAGAACGTAAAGGTAAATACGGTGAAGGAAGTATCGTATGTAAGGATTGGAAGTACAAGGCGCGTTCTACCATTAAGGCTTTAATAAGTAAAGGTAAAGGTAGATGGGATGATACAGATGGTTGGGAAAGACTAATGGAGATTAGATCCCAATTATAGAATCAATAGAATAAAACATTAAAGAATCAATAATTTTTTTTAAAAAAAACAAAACAGGGTATCGATATATCGATATGTAAGTATTACTATATAATAAAGTTGTACATGCAGAATAGATTATTATTAACTGAGGTAGAGATAACCTCTCTCATCACCCATACAGAAGATCTACCTCCCGCACCTGGCGAGTTGCCATTTCTGGTTATCCAGTGGGCATGCATCTCTAGTCTTGATCCACTTGTTGATGCAATGTAAATGGAAGGCGTGATTACACACACCCCATGCGGCAACACATTCATTATCTGTGTCTGTCATAGCTTTAGGCTGGCATTCAATACAAGGCTCCATGATGTGATTTCTACAAATGGCACAGTTATCCACAGCAATATCCCAGGACCAGAATGCGACAGCTGTCCATTTCTTGATCTCGAATCTCTTCTTATTTTCAATGGCCCCCTCTTGGTCAACATCCATATTATCCACACTATTACTCATTGCTATTATCACGACTCTCTATCCTTTTATTTTTCGTTGTATATATCTATCAAAACCCAATAGAGATGCACGCACTACTTCACGATCAACCAGTAGCTCTTGTGTTTGCCACTGTTCTTAAACGGTTCCTAATCAATTCGTTATTACAAATTTCATCAACCAAAGAATTCCTTTAAAGGTCATTTTCTGCGGAAGGAACATCGTGACGCACGACTAGCCCATCGTACTAAAAAGAAAATGAATATTTCCATCTTTAATGGGCAACTGAAAACAACAACAACAACCATCGCATCGATAAAGGAAGTATCATAAAGAGGTGCATACCTGTAGTATAATCACTTTATCATTGACCTAATTGTCCCAAGAAAACGTGCTGTAGCTAACTATTAAAATAGGAAAAACATGTCTCGTGTAGAAAGTAATGATATCAGTTCGCTATATCCACCACCTCCACCGTATATGAAGTTCTTTACTAATGAGAACTTGGAGAAGTTGGCTCAAAATAAACAAGAAAAGGGGTCAGAGGAAACTAAGGAACCTTCTGAAGAGGTAGGTAGAACAATTGAAGAAACCATAACTAGCGAATTGGACTTTTTGTCGCCACCACCAATGCCATCTACCCATCAATACAGAGCATTTGGTAGTGTTTGGCAAGTGAAGGATGAATTACCTGATTTGGAGACTCTGGGAATAACACGTCTATACAAAAAATCAGATAGCGATACTAATGGAGATGTTCCAACAAGTTACCAGTATAAGACTCAGGAATTACGTAAACTATTGAAATCACTGCTATTAAATTATTTAGAATTGGTAGGTGTTTTAAGTATAAATCCGGAATTATATGAACCAAAGATGGAAAATATTCGTACAATCCTGACTAATATTCATCACCTCTTGAACGAATATAGACCACATCAATCTCGTGAATCTTTAATCATGTTGCTAGAAGAACAATTGGAACATAAAAAATCCGAGATCCAACATATTCATGAAGTTTGTCGCCAAGTGCAAAAGCATCTAGACTCTATCCAACAAAGCATATAACATATCAAGTTTTAGATGGAAGGTAAAGTAAAGAACATGGTTGTCGTTTCCCATTGTTTTATGAAGTAAAAATGATGAGATTTCTTTTTTCTACTTCATATGGGTAAAAAAGACGTGCCTGTGACGTGAAAATTCACTGCATAATGAGTCTCATTTTTATTGTGTCACATAGAAAAAAGGAAAAAGGGTAAAAGGTAAAAGGTATAAAGTAGTCATAAGTGAGAGGTAGATCTAAAAGTAGAGCAATCAGCTACAATATTTTCTGGCGTGTTTCGTTAAAAAGAAATAAAGATAATGGAGATGTATATCTCTTATCTACCTTAATGAATGGCTCCATTAGTATTACCTATTGACATTTGACTGTTCAATCAGATTTCTAAAGATATATAAGGGACCGTAATATCCTTCCAAATGAAAATAATCAAATAAGCAAAGATGAAACAAACACATTCTAGTATATCCAAGTGTAATAACAACAAACCAATAAAACGTTTTACAAACATTAGCTCATAATGAATTTTGAAACTTTATCAATTGTATCAGAACCTAAATTATTTACGTGCATCAAATATAGATTAAATTCTTCCGCTGAATCGCTATTTTCTTCGCCTATTGATACAACCTCTCATTTTTCATCAAATGGAAAACCCATAAGCCCACTGTGTCAAGATGAATTAGGATCAACACTCACTAAATTTACTGATCTCGATTCTATGAGATTATTCTCTAAGTATATGATTATCCTTATTGGTCTCCCAGCTGCTGGTAAGTCGACCGTGTCACGACATCTAATTAAATACTTACAGGATACAAAAACTACGGCTCATATCCGTTGCAAGACATTCAATGCTGGTGATTTTAGAAGGAAAGAAAAAAAAATAGAATTAACTAATGAGCAACTGGAAGATATTTTTGATCCTAAAAATAGCGATAAGAAGGAAGAGTATGCACGTATTGCATTTAATGAAGCTTTACAGGATTTGGATAATGATATTTGTGATATTGGAATTTTTGATGCCACTAATTCAACTAAACTTAGAAGAAAGTATTTATTCGATGAAATTAAAAGCTTCAATCACAATTCAAGCTCCAATTTTTCAGTTTCACCTATCATTCTTCATGTTACTTGCTCAGATAAGAAATTTATCAGATATAATATTCATCATAAGTCATTTAATGCAGACTATTTTGGCAAACAATATGATCTTTCTGTTAAAGATTTTGCAAAGAGATTAAAGCAATATTATACCCAGTTTGTCCCTTATACAATGGATGAATTTAACCACATCTTATCGTATTCATCACCTGATAGTCATCATGGTACATTTTATTTCCATGTAGCCAATGCGGGCTCAACCTCTACAACTAACATTGTAGAATACTCAAATATGGCCTCACGTGAAACAAGAAATTTGATTAAAGCCCTACATCACTTTACAACAAATTATATTGTGATTTTCGGAAGCCAATATATTTCTAAAGTAAAGGGTTTCTTCAAAGTGTCCCAAGTGGTTAGTTCTAATAAACTGAATGTTAAAAAATCCTTCCAGCAACTATCTAGATTGAAAGTTCTAAATAGTATTATTAACGATAGCTATTTTAAGAAACTTAAAAATTTTCATTTAATTAATAACATTACACACAAAGATCAATGAGATTTGGGCGTAATTCTAATAATTAAATAAAAGTTCTAACTCGCATTATACGCCGACTACCTCCCTGGATAAAAAGAGGTAGTTGACATGAAATAACGGCTAAACTTTGAACGATACAGAGTCATTTGACAACTTTTTGTTTTTCTCTTTTTTATTTAATATGTATTATATTATATTTGTAAAACTATATACTTCTTTTAATAAAACAAAAAGTTCAAAAAACAAAAAAAAAGGATTTTCTCATTAAATATTTAATTAAGTCCAGGCAACGATGAATTCAAGCCTGGTAGGCCACCAGATGTTGGTGGTGGTTTCTTCACAGGTGATCCCAACATGTGTCTATTATTATTGTTGTTGTTGTTGTTGTTATTATCATGATGGTAATTATTAGTAGTACCTCTATTGTAGGAAGATGTAGATGATGGAGCGGTGTAACCACCAGGAGCTGCAGTGGTACCATCTAACGTTGGAGGAGCTGCACCAAATTCTGATTTTTCTCTTACTGCATTGATATTGTTATTGATACCAAAATACCAACCATTAATCTTTTGATCATTATAAGACGGATCATCAAATGCGTTCGGATCAAATGGTCTCGCTCTTGTCCAGAATCTGATAGTTCTATCCTTTGAGGCACTAGCCAAAATGTTACCCATCGGATTGTATGCCATGGAAGTAATACATTTATCGTGTGCAAATGGAATCGTATGGATTGGTTTTTCTGTATCTTGTAATAAATCGAAATGCTTGATGGATCCGTCATAACTACCAATCGTCAACATGGACTCGTTGATCGGGGACCATAAAAGATCCATATAATCTATCTCATCCTTTACGGCCATTATCTCTTTTGTGCCATACCTTATATCAAAAATACGTAAAGATTTGTCCTTGGAGATAGCACCCAATAGATTACCTTTAGTAGGCTGGAATCTAGTTTTTAGAACTGTGTGTTTAAAATTTAGTATCGTAGAAATACAGTTTCCAGCTCTAGGATCCCATAATTTAACCAAGTTATCCTTCGAAGCTGATGCAATCAGTCCCATAGTTGGATGCCAATCACAACTTTTAACATCCCAATGATGTCCCGATAATACTCTTTCCTCTCTACCATTACTGAAATTCCAAATCTTTAAAATATTATCATCCGAACAACTAACAAATTTTGAATCATTATTACAGAATGCGATGTCTCTTATACTCTCAGTATGTGCAGAATCCAGCTCTTTAACCATATTGAAGTTAGGTTGCCATATCTTAATAATCCCATCAGCGTCACCACTCACCATCCAATCCCCAGCATGAGAGTATTTCATCGTCGTCACTGCAGAATCATGAGCTTGCATTAAACTCTCAAAATTAAATGAAAAACCATTCCACAGGGAAAGTTCACCATTATAAGTGGCTACGATCAGCCTTCTTCCTTCAGGGGTCCACTCGATGGCCGGTATTACATGTTTTACTTTATTAGAAGAAAGATGTGTAAATTTGCCGATTACATTCACTGCTCTGTCATTATTGTTAACATAGGAACTCGGAGGCATTATATTAGCTGTGAAAGATGTCTCTGGTTCGATATCTGGTAATCGGAGTCCATGTTTCTTATAGTAATACATCCTATTAAAGGGAGATGTAACCTCAACTGTACGTCTGTGGGTAACGTACTTCTTCTGTGTATACGACCCATTGTCAGTTGTATTATTGTGATCCATCCTGGATATGTTTTGGCTTGACTAACTTCGATGATTTATTCTTATTAATCGACTCTTCTTCCCTTTTGTTCTTTTTCATTCATTCATTCAAAGTGTTGTTTTATTCATGATTCATTTTAGTTGATATAATTTTTCAGTTCCACATTTAATAAGGAGAAAGCGTTGAGAAAGAAAGATAAGCTGAATGAAAGAGAGAAATACTTGGAACCTATTAAAGGTTGCAGAAGGTTGTAGCGTGTATTGAAGCACTAGAATATATATGTATGTATGTATGTATGTATGTATGTATGTATGTATGTATGTATGTATGTATGTATGTGTGTATGTATGTATGTATGTATGAATGTATTTATGTATACTTGTATGAGTAAGTGTCCTATTCAGTTTATATCGCAGGTTTATTCTTTATTGAAACTCATCTATCAAAGGACATCGCTGTGTCCCTTGATATACCTTGGATAAAGCATCCAGATGAAGGAAAATAAAGCTACCATGAACCAACAAAGTGTAGGCATCCATTTGATTCCAATCAAGTGTGTTAGGATACCTGCAGAATACGGTAGGATGGCACCGCCACAACCACCCAATGCGACTGCAATCCCAACACCACTGATTTGTAACTTCTTTGGTAACACTTGTACTGCTACAATACTAGCTGATGGAAATAATGGGCCAATAAAGAATCCACAACAGAACATCACAAAGGAGAGCGATATCAAATAAGATAGGGATTCACTATTAATCCAACCAACAACCATGTATAAAGTGTAAAAAAATAATGTCAGTGCACAGTATACTCGACAAGCACGATATTCATTAGAGAATGCCTTCTTCGTGAAGAAACCTAAGATAAGACGCCCTGCAGTGAGACCAATCCAGAATGTTGAGGCAATGTACGACATCTTGATTTGGTCAGTAGATTTTGTTTCCAGTAAGTATGTATAGAACCATGCACCTGTTGTGATCTCTGCCCCTAGATAAGCAAATAAAAATAAAGCATATAGTAAGATTGGTGGCATGGATAGTAATGCAAAGAACGATTCTTTTTGAAGCGGTTGTTCTGAAGGTGTAGGTTCAGGAGTTGGTTCGGGAGTAGAAGCATTTTCGTCTTGTTCACATATGTAATGATACTTGGCTGCAGTCTCGAATCTAAAACTTGGAATAATAACACATGCGCCAATAACAGACATAGAGAAAGGGATCACAAAATACATTGACCAATGTCCCCATTTAACAAAATGAGCTACCAATGGAGGGGTCAGCATCGCAGCACACCCATATACGGCATGCATTATACCCATCAATTCATTCTTATGTACAATCATATTCCCAACTAGAACATTACAAGATGCATCGAGGATTCCAATACCTAATCCCAACGGAAAGCAACAGAACATGAATATCGAGAACTTTGATGGCTTTGACATTAGAATCGAAAAGAACACAATGCATAACGTTGCCGCCACCAGCATTCCACCTCTCATACCCCAGGAATTATGAACTCGTTCATTTAACAATGAGGCACATATATAACCAGATAATTGAATCAAAAATATATTAGATACTTGAACCTTTGTAGTGTTGTAGTATTCCATCAATTTTGGGAGCAAAGTACCTACAGACTGGTCATTAAATCCAAACACTGCAAACATTATAAAACAAGCCAACACTTGGTATTTAACAATTGGTACTCTCTGGTAGTCTAAAGGGTATACTTTCAAAAGGTTCCCCTTCCATTCAATATCCCTAATAAGATCTCTTGATAATGGTGGATCTCTTCCGTCCCCATTTTCGTCTAACTCAAAACTTTCTTCTGGAAGTGAAGACGGATCCATTAATGCATCTGCATCTGCAAAATTTGTCCACTCCTCAGTTCTCTCATTGATCTCCTCACCTCCCTTAGAGGTTGTCTTATTATTCTGAGTAGTTTCCATTTCTTGTTGTAATTATGGCTGTAACAATAACAGTAATTAGCTCAATATTATGTGTTGCACAACCTAGTTCAGAACGGGTAGACTTTGAATAAAGATAATAATTAAATCTCTAATTGTCTAATTGAACAAATTCAAGAATCAGATATTGTTTTAAACAAGTTTCCTTGTCGTTTTAGTTATGAGTTCTTTTAATTGACCTGAGTGGGATGAGCTGCCAGTCTCGGTGCGTTATTTCCAGCTCTCGTTATTTTGAAACAATAGCAATCATATAAATGGCCCACCTTTGAAGACAAAAGCACAGTTTATATGTGAAAGATCCACAAAGACATAGAGTTTGGTAATTGCTACAAGGTCAAGAAAATAGTTGCCACCATTAATGAGTAATATTAGCAGTCCTCCTCGAAAGGATCGTATTGTCTATTCACCTACGGGATCCATTCCTAAAGGAAAGACGATATATACTGGTGGTTCCCTTGGAAGACCCGATTTGAAGCAAGGCTCTTCAACGAGCAGGCTTAATTTACCATCAGCACCTGGTTCTTCTTACAAGATATTGCACCAACATAGTCATTCGAATCAAATGTTTACTACAGACGGTTCCGGGGCAACACCTGGAGTCAGACCTTCTTTGAACCCTAGACACACGTTCAATGGGACATATACTGGTCTAGGGGGTACGTCATCCGATGATAACTCGAGTACTGGACACCGTGCTAGACGAGGTGGTAGTAGCCCGTCTCATAGGAATAACCAGTCCTCAGGACTGGTGTTTAGTACCGTCGCAGATAGAGAATTAGCAAGTATTGATAAGATCAATGATCCGCTGGCGGATTCATTGGTTTGTGCAGGGAAGAGTCATGTAGGCATATACAAGTTTAATAGAGAAGATAGATCCATACGGTTGGTACAGGATGTAACCAAAACAGATTTATCATATTCAAGATTACAATCATCATCGATGTTTGCCTCTAGGAGAAACAGACAATCAAAATTTAGTACGATATCAGATGTTAAAAGTGGATTTCAAAACTTTAATAATTATATTGCAGTTTGTGCAAATTCTACTTCCATTTCTATATTCGATATCAATAAACAATCAGGCGAGGCTATTAATCCCTTGGTCACGTCACTTAATGAACACAAGAGGTCCGTCAATAGTTTTGATTTCAACATGGTTCAGCCTAATCTTCTTATTAGTGGTGGTCAAGATGGTTGTGCCAAGATATGGGATCTTAGAGCAAATAACATGAAAAATAATGGAAGATGTGAAGTAAATATTAACACAACTTATGATTCTATAAGAGATATTAAATGGATGCCTAGTTATTCTTTTGGATCTCCCGTTTCAAATGAAGGAACACCTTCATCCATAGGGAGTACAACTAGTTCAACGCCAAGATCTAACTCGGGTTACAAATTTTCATCAATTCATGATTCTGGGGTACTGTTGAAGTTTGATTTAAGACAACCACAACAATTTGAAAAGAAAATTAACGCACATACAGGTCCTGGTTTATGTTTGAATTGGCATCCAAACTTGGATTACGTAGTAACAGGTGGTAGAGATGGTAAATGCTGTCTCTGGTATATCGGTGATAAAGAGCCACGAACAAATAATCCAAACAGTACTGTAAATGGTTATACGTCGTCAAATCCGTCAGTATTTCCGGAAACAACAATTAATTTTGGTTCCCCAATTACTAAATTGAAATTTTGCCCGACTTATAATGATGAGCCACATAATTCCTTATTAGCTATTTCTTCGATGGGAGAAGAAGCTCAAGTTGGCATATATTCATTAGCAAGAAAATATATACCAAAATATTTACTAGAGACTTCGGCTGCATCATTGGGCCTCGTATGGTGGGATTCTGAAAATATATTTACAATTGATAAGAGGAATAGAATTAATGGATGGAATTTAACTAATGAACCAACAGTATTAGAAAACTTAACAAAGACTGTTACTACCTGGAGAGACATTGAGGGTAATGGCCTATTATTTGTCGATCAAGAGGAAGGTACATATGATATTTCAGATCCGTACTTTGTCAGAGAAAACATACATGACCACGCTACTAATAACAGTAATTCAATGTTATCAAACACAAGTATTAATCATTTTGATATAGGTAATAAAAGAATAAGTTCTCCCCCTACTCCTATCCCAAATGAGAGGCCACCCATGTTTAAAATGAATTCTGCATTCAATAATAAGAGTTATGCGTCCTCTCCGATGTCATCTACTACACTTTCAACGACTCCGTCTATCCATTCAGGAACTTTACCAATTGTTGTCCAGGATAAACTTGCTTCATCAATAGTGTCGCCTCTGGTGTTCACTGTAGATTTGCCTAAAATAATTAGTAGTATGAGAATAGAACAGATTTCCAGTTTTCAAAGTTTAAGGAATAAGAAAAAAATTGATAAAGAAAGTTTAGCTAAGCTGCAGGAATCTCCTATAGAAGTGTTTAAATACTTGGCAAGAGAATTGGAATTTTCAATTAAACATGACGATTGGGCTAACCAACTTAATCAGAAGAGTATTAGTGATCATCACAGTGCTAATGAAAGTCTACAAGAAGATAATGAAGATACGGGGAAAAACTTGATGAAGAAATTTGGTCTCGCAGAGAATGGAACATGGACAAATTTAATTAATAAGAAAAACGATCAGCAAGAAAGAATGAACTCAGAAGCTGGACTGACAGGCATTTTGAACTCTGGAACAAAGCCAAGCTATCACGATTCATCAAGTAACGATAGGAGCAGTAAATATAGTAATGCGCATATTGACAGCATATCACGCTCAGATTCGCACTCCAGCCAGTACAAACATAATGAAACAGATGATTCGGAGTCTAGTATAAATCAAATGGTGGAACCCAAGAGTGAAAAAATCATAAAACTGCAGCAGAGGATGAGTATGTTCGTAGATTTTCTTTCTGTAGCCAGTCACAATGCATCTGTATATGCAAATATCAATGATGCTTTAAACTTCAAAGTCTGGGTTCTGATTAGAGATACTATTATGTGGGATTTAAAGAAGATGGATTCGTTCCTACCTAAATCCAATGATCCACTCGATCAAACCAAAAATCATGATTCAGAATCTGTGAATTCTTCAGTGGTAGAGGATACTGTGATCCCACTTCATGATCTTCGTAAACAATCTATGGATTCAGAATATAGTCGTTTTAATGAAAGTATCAGGACTTCATCGTTGGTGGAAGAGCACCCACAGATATTTAGATCGCCGTCCGACGACTCCGGAGTCGATCCCATAGATAGAGAGGTTATTGCTAACTTAAGAAACCAATTACGTAAATCAAAGGAAGAGCCAGCACATAAATTTGCAACTGCTGAGACTTTGAGAAACTTAGATGGTGATGGTGCAGTTTTGAGTACTTATCCAGACGAGAAACGAGCACCTTCTAATGAGAGCGCATTAGATCCAGAAGATGAAGATGAAGAAAGAAAAGAGGACGCTAAACCAAACGATGAATCGCCAGAAGGTATTCCAATCTTGAACAATAGACGCCAAAGGTTATCATTTATAGATACATTTTTGTCTGATGCACATTCACCTTTGGGTCATTCGGATGAAGAGCATTTAAGAAGTGGTAGCTTTACAAAAGGAAAAACAAGCGGTGGTCCTTATTCTGAATCCTTCGATCACCACAGTATTAGAAGTAAGGTGTCATCTCTGGATAGTATCCCTAGTACCTATCAATCACGCGCACCATTTTTAAAGAGATTATCAGACACTAAGAAATTAGTTCCGACAATAAAGGAATCGTTCTCTTACGAAGATGTTCTCAGGAGTGTAGACGATCTGGGGGTATTTGCTAACACTGACGTTAAAAATGATAGTGCTATACAAAATAAGAAAAATGCAACAAGATTGTTCCCACCACCGTGGGATACCAGAACCATACTACAACAAGTGTACGAACAAGCTGCAGAAGGCGGTAATATTCTGCTGGCTGTGAATATATTACTATTATTCCAGGATGTGTACCAACTTACGTCACTACGCGTCGTTAAGAGTAGTGTTTCGGAATTTATCACGTTATTACATCGATACGAATTGTTTGAGATCTCAACTGCTTTGCTCAAGTACTGTGGGTGGGATGATATAATGGGTCCCGAGAGTGAACAATCAGATATCCGTCTCTTCTGTGACCGTTGTGGTGAACTGATAGTAAATGAACCTTCTAAGGAGAAGTACACACGTAGTTTACGTCAAAGCCATCCTCATGAACAAGGTAAGATAGATGCCCAATTTGGGTTCTGGTATTGCGACAATTGTAAGAAACCCAATACATTATGTGTTCTGTGTGAACGTCCCATTAAGAAATTGGCCATGGGTCTCCTAGAATGTGGCCATGAGGGTCATTTTGACTGTTTCCGTGAATGGTTCCTTAAGGAAGGTATGACTACATGTCCAGCAGGTTGTACTGCAACTTTAAACATCTGAGAAAACAGAACAGTTCAATTTTATAATACAGTACACTCAATCTGGGTACTCTCAAAATATATTTTGGGTATCAATGCACATACTTAAAATGCAACTTTGGAGCACATATATAAAATCTCTCTGTTCAAGGGTTATGTAAACGCTTTGCAAATGCAGAGCTTGATTTGAGTGGTAATTGAGGTTGACTGTAATATCCGGTCAAGTACAATACCAATTTGAGTTTATATATAATCCAATTTCATATTGTTTTCTTCCTATTCTATTGAATTGATACGAATTTTTTGGCGACTTTTCTATAGGTGATATAGTATGTGGAACTTGGTAGTATTGCATAGCAATGTATTTGATAGATATTTAATCCATTATTCTATTGCTTTTAATAGAAATATATTTTCATGAGTCTTCCATTTTTGGAGTTCATGATCTGAAACTAATTTACCGAAACGTCAATGAGAACTACTTCATTAGAGTAGAATGACTACCAAAATATCCCTATCAGAACTGAAAGCAGTTTCGAAGGATGTTATAATTTTGAGCTTGAATTAAAGGGGGCCAAACATTCTTGGACTTATGGTAGCCATTCCATATGTTACAACAATTGTGCAAGGAAATTTTCGTTTTTTCTTTTTGTCAACCAGACTAGGATTAGTACGTTCATCGAAAGTCTCTTGTTCAATAATCACAGTGCAACTATATTTATTTTCTCTTTTGGGAGAATGCCATAAAATACGAAAAGAAATAGTGAAGTTTCTTTCTCTGCACTTTTTATAATTATGTCTCAATCTATTATTATCTTGGTATCAATAAAATCTGGTGTGGTAATCTATAATATGCTGCAACTTAAACTTTGGTACCGACATTTGTAAAGCTTTTCAGCTTGGTTACCTCTTTTCACTGTTAGGATAAATAGTATATTTTACTATTTTTGCGAAGATAGTAATCTCAAATACTCAATAGAATAACGTTTTAGGGTTGATATTGTTAAAACTTTTGCAACCGGAACCATATGTTTGTCTCTTATTACCAAATTTGGTAATATAGAACCTCAGGAAAAGATTTCCCAACTACAATGTACAACCTGAGCTGCAGGAAGAACAGAGATAACGGGATGTGAACCCAAGTGAGTTTGCTAATTAATAGTTAATGCATTGCTACTGCTAATTTCAGAGGAGAAGAAAAGGCTTAAAATGATAAACACATTTTATTTTCAGACATTCTTTGAAAAATTAGTATAAAAGGGGTGATATTTCTAAAAGTGTTTCTAAATAAAAGATAACACATTTTATTTGAACTGAAGCTTGCATAGTAGAGTTGGATTTTGATTCGTTCATTATACTTAATGTTAGGTAGAGAAGTGTAGGTGTAGGTGTAGTATTAGTTCTAATGTTAAGAAAGCAAAATGTATTTGTTTTTCTTTTCTATTTAGTTGTAAGTAGTTTCTTCTTATTATATAAGATTTATAGAACGAATAGAGTCTAACTTAGAATGTAAGTCCAAAATTTTTGTCATTATACATTATTTATTTTCTTGAAACTCTGTATCTTTTATTACCTACTATTTCTTTCACCATTTCCTTACTTCGTGTGTTATTCTTATTAGTACATTTGAGATATGACATACCAACATAATTTCTCTCAATATCCATACATTATATCCCTACACAAAATATCTTCTTCACATAAATCTGGGATCATGGATTCAGTTCTTCTTGATGTCTTTGCAACGACAAGTGCAAGGAGACTTGTCATCGATAACTCGTGAAAGAAGAAGTTTATTGCGAATTGAAGAAAGTACTAAAAATATACTAAAAAAATTATTCAATAAAAACAATGAGAATACTATTATATTATCCATCGTCAGTGTAATACTATTACGGATCTAAGAGTAAAAACATTGAGAATAAGACAGATGTAAGTTCAATTTGAAATTCGTTCGCTTTTTATATAAAGTATTAAAACTCTTCTCAAGCTAAACTCCCTCTACTCTTGCTCTACCACTAGTTTGGTGTTCTTGTTATAGAGATAGCACAACAACAGTCGTGGACTTAATTGCGTATGTAGAGCTTCAGTATCTGCCCTTATTCAGTAGTTAATAGCAACATAAACATTTGTGAAAATTATTTAGTAAGGTGGTCAGTATATTAACGTACGGAATAGACTGTATATTAAAGTCTTTTTTACATGATGTTCTAAACTGAGGATACAGTCA